ACGAGTAATCATCCCCAGTGCACCAGTAATCATCCCCAGTGCACCAGTAATCATCCCCAGTGCACCAGTAATCACCCCCAGTGCACCAGTAATCATCCCCAGTGCACCAGTAATCATCCCCAGTGCACTAGTAATCATCCCCAATGCACCAGTAATCATCCCCAGTGCACCAGTAATCATCCCCAGTGCACCAGTAATCATCCCCAGTGCACCAGTAATCATCCCCAGTGCACGAGTAATCATCCCCAGTGCACCGGTAATCATCCCCAGTGCACCGGTAATCATCCCCAGTGCACCAGCAATCATCCCCAGTGCACGAGGAATCATCCCCAGTGCACCAGTAATCATCCCCAGTGCACCAGTAATCATCCCCAGTGCACCGGTAATCATCCCCAGTGCACCGGTAATCATCCCCAGTGCACCGGTAATCATCCCCAGTGCACCGGTAATCATCCCCAGTGCACCGGTAATCATCCCCAGTGCACCGGTAATCATCCCCAGTGCACCGGTAATCATCCCCAGTGCACCGGTAATCATCCCCAGTGAACCGGTAATCATCCCCAGTGCACCGGTAATCATCCCCAGTGAACCGGTAATCATCCCCAGTGCACCGGTAATCATCCCCAGTGCACCGGTAATCATCCCCAGTTCACCGGTAATCATCCCCAGTGCACCAGTAATCATCCCCAGTGCACGAGTAATCATCCCCAGTGCACCGGTAATCATCGCCAGTGCACCAGTAATCATCCGCCACTGCACCGCTTTCGCCCAACAGTCTTCTTTCCCCAATGCAGGGCGCGTCACAACGAGGTGGACACGAGACTCGGGTTCGTTAAAAAAATAACGCGAGCGTTCTTTTAATTGCAACATCACTCTGGAGCCTTTACATTCACAAGAGCGCGGCACGGCGCGCCACGCGCAGCCGTGGGGGGGGGGGGGGCACGACAGAGCCACCGACGTCGAGGGTCAACCACCCAGGCCCTGCCGCTCCAACCAAGTCGTCGTCATCATCACCACGTGCTAAAACAAGCCGCGTCACAGCCGCGTCACAGCCGCCGGCGCGCGCGTCACGGCTCGATCGAGGAATGCGGCGGCGGGGCCATGTTATGCACGCTTTGGTTCGTCTAGAACGGTGTCCTTCACTCGTTTTCGGGGGGCCGGTGGCCGCTCTCGCCGAGTGAGAGGGGCCGCTGCACGTTACTTGAAACCATTGTGAAGGTGGGGGGGGGGGGGGGGGGGGGAGTGTGACGGCAGCAGGACGATGATTGGGGGGGGGCTGTTTTAACTCCGTGTACATAGTTGAGGGGCCGCACTAAAGGCCACCACAGGGAGGCCGCCAGTGCTCCGCCGGCCACGCAACTGAAGGCCACAGAGCTAGCCAGCCCGGACTGACGCAGTGACCGGGGCTTCATTACGGTTGGAGCTGCCCGGGGCTGAGCTCTGAATAAAGCCCCCCCCCCGCCGCCCACACACAGCCCCCCCCACCCCCCCACCGCCCAAGTTAAGCGGTGGTTGATGAGCGTCTGAATATTTCCCATTAAAGAAATTAAGCCCCGGCCTTTGCCGCTGCTTTGCATTGTACCGTCCCGATCGCCTCGCCGGCAAGCGCGAGCCTCCCGTGTGCCCGCCTGGCCTCCTCATCGGTGCTCCCCGCACCAGCTCACCTGCTGCCCTCTCCGTCATTTCGCACTGGCGCCGTGCTGCCACCCGGGTCGTTGGCGCTTTCCGGAGCGCGTCGGGTCTCGATTGCATCGTCTCGTCGAGTCCGCGCACGGCAAGTTCGCCCGAGTCGGTAATCGAACCCAGGCTACACAGCCCTTCTTGCCGCGAGGGCCACGGGTGTCAGCACCACCATCAGCCACCTTGCCCCAACCAAAACCACATCTGGCACCCAACGGAACAATGCGACATCACTACCTGTCCACGTGACATGCCACATCATGTGGTCTGCAATCTCACACACGCACTCATCGCCATTACCACCACCACTACCATCATCGCTTAAGCGACTCGCCAGACAAGATTAGTTGAGTGAACCTGGTTTCCTTCGGCGTTTGTGTGTCACGCGCGTTTTATTCATTTAAAATAACGTCACCTGTGGGACACCTGCGGGCTGCGAGGGTTACCCCGAGGGCCCGTTGCAGCGGCGCTTCGTGATGGCGGCTGCCGTCCCTAGCTGGAAGTCTCGCGAAGCGTTCGCCGCTCGCCCGCAACGTGGCCAGCGAGTTCCCCGTGGTCGCACACCGATCTTGCTGACGAGTGCATGCCAGGAACAGCCGGCCCGACGTTCCGAAGCTTCGGTCGGGCCGCAGCCGAGCGACGGCGCGAGCGACATCGTCGTGACGTGCGGTCGCGACGTCACAACGAAGCCGTCGTGACGCGCATCGTCATCCGCGCCGATCCACGTTGTTCGTTGCCGTGCGGTCTGCGCGTCGCCCTCCGGACAATTCGCTCGCGGCTCTTCGGCGGGCACAAACAAAACAAAAAACAACAACACGAATTGGGATCTCGAAGAACCGAGTTTGGTTGCACGAAGCTCTTCCCCTCCCACCGGCACGTGGCGCGAAACGTTGGGGCTACCGTCGTGCCCAACGCACGGGCGGCAACAGCCCGAAAAACACGCGGTAGCAGAGAGAGCCGCGCGCGTCAACCCTGACTCCATCAAGTCTCTTCTCGTATGAAACCAAGCTTCTAGCTTGGGTGCGACAGCGGTAAGAACACACGGACGGGGGCTGGCGCGTCTGAAAGGTCGCGGACTTCTTATCCCTTCAACGGCTGCCGCTTTCCTGCTTCGACTGGACGTCTGAGAAAAAAAAAGAGCTTGATAGCTCATCGGATTCCTCCAGCGATGAATACGTATTCTCATTCCGACTCCGGACGGACGGACGGACGGACGGAGGGAACAGAGGCGAGAGAAACAGGCCGCTTTCGAGGCGGCCAACAGCGTCCCTCGTGACGAAGGCGGCAAAGGCGAAGCACGTGCGGGAGCGCTACGGAAAGGGCCAACCACAGGGCTCCTCTCTCGGGACGGCTCGCGACCACGTGACACAGGTGGGCGAAGTTAGGGGAGGGGGGGCAGCAGCCAATCAAACGCCCCTCCACCTCCCCCCCCCGCCGCCTCAACCAACCACGATTATTATGATGACGATTAACGCAACAACCGTTCGTCGATTTGCGCGCGTGCATAACTTCATCGACGTTTCGAACCCTGTGCGCGAGAACCACTTGGAGCAAACATGGGACGAGTCGTAACGACTGCTGCCGTGACATCGGTGCTGAATTGTGTTGACCTACTAAGTGCTTTCTGCTGGGAGACACAATGGGGGGAGGGGAGAGGGGGTGGGCGGGCGGGCGGGAGAATTCCACCCCACTCCCCCAAAGCGCGGGGCCCCGGGCAGTCACCCCGATTCGCCGCGTACCCGAGGGACGGCTCTGGGGGGGGAAGAGGCAAGGCTCGACCCAAAACGCCACGGTGCCTCCGATCGGCCCAAGAGACCGCACCGGGCGCGAGCGTAAAAAATAAAATAAAAAGAAGAATCACCCGCGATGGTTCCGTCTCTCAAACTCGCGCCTTGCGGTAAAGAGTCCCTGAAGAAAGACAATTTTTTTTAAAAAAAATGGAAATAATTACAAACGATGCGGCGTTTAACCCCCAAAGTAATCGGCGACGGCCGCTCCCCCCCCCCACCCCACCGTGTCCCCGAGAATTGGGAGGCTGCAGTCCCCACCATTGCTCGTCGGTCATCGGAGAACCGGAGAGCATTCGAATGTCGCGAGGGGGCCGCCCGCCCGCCCGCCACCACCACCACCACCACCCCCCCCCCCCCCCCGTCTGGCGGCCAACAGCCTGGGATGCACCAAGCACTCTCAATCGTTCGTGCGCGCGGATTTATCCGCCAGTTGCAGAGTTGCAGGGTTGCAGAGTTGTAGGGTTGCAGGGTTGCAGGGTTGACCGCAGAGCGAACAACAAGTGAACGGTTCGCCACGTTGGCGCCGGGGGTTAGCGATCGGCCGCCACCCCCCCCCCCCCCCCCCCCCCCCCCCCCCCCCCGCTCCTCGTCGTCGAGGGTCGACAAACGGATTAACCCCCTGCCCACACCCGGACCGCAAACGCGCTGGCCAGCAAAACCGGATCATCGCCGCCGGATGTACACGACCGTCATCATCTTTGTTTTTGCGTTTTATCGTGGTCCCCCCCCCCCCCCGTTTCATTACCCTGGATTATAATCACGGCCCCTTGCAGCGACTACATTCACCAAAACGTCACAACACTAAAAAAACGTCTGAGATCTTGAGTTGAATCGTGACCCTGAATGGCCGACAATGCATCGAATTGCTATGGTGGTGGTGGTGATGATGACGACGGTAGCGCTGGTAGTGATGATGGTGGAGGTAGTAATGGTGATGACGTTGGTAGCGGTGGTGACGATGGTAGTAGTCGTGATTACGGTGGAGGTAGTAGCGGTGATGTTCGAAGCAGTGGAAGCAGGCGTGATGATGGTAGTGGTGGTAGCGGTGATGAGGTTATTGATGGTAGTAGTGGTGGTGGTTGTCGTGATGTTGAGGGTGGTGGTAGTGGTGGTGATGATTGCAGTGCTGTTAATTGTAATGATGCTGGCGGTGGTAGTATTGGTTATATTGGAAGTGGTGGTGGTATTGTCAGCAGTTAAATTTTTAGAACCCTAAAATATCCTATTTGGAACAAACGCTGCGTCGCGAGCCGCAGCTCAAACGGTATCGCCCATCTCCTGGAAAGCGGTGGCTAGGAGATGTTAACTACCTCGCCTGGATTACAGGAGGTCGTGGGTTTGATCCCAACCCCGACGCCTGCTGCTGTATATTTGGCGTCTGCGTCTCTCTCATCATCATCATCACAGTGGCTCGGAGATGTTAACTACCTCGCCTGGTATGCAGGAGGTCGTGGGTTTGATCTCGACCCTAACGCCTACTAATGTATGTTTGGAGTTTGCGGTGTCTCTCTCCCCGTGGTCGCGTGGATCTTTTCCTCCGGGTCCTCCCGTGTTTCCCCCCCCCCCATATTTATATTTAGAATCAACATCGCGCGTTTAGAGTAAATTATTATCCAGCAGCACTTGGGTAAACAAACTCTGGGCCAGGGTTTCGAGTTTCTGAGTCTCAACAGCAGAAATTCGACTCTTGAAACAAGTTCGCTTTAGGAGTTTTAAGAGAGCTCCCTCATGGCGTCAGCCATGTCCCCGTAGAGGTCGGGTCAACGTCCGTGGCCCGGGGGGCCTCGTCGAGCTGGGGGGGGGGGGCGGCGAACGCCTGAAAGGTCACGGACAAATATGCAAACGAGGCGGACGAGCGAGTGTGCGCGTCGGCGAGAACGCTTGCCGACGTCGCTCCAAGGGGAGCGCCACACACCCACCCCCTCCCCTGCCACGCGCGGTCGTCGCCGCCCTGATTCGCAAACTTACAAAATATATATTATCCACGCGCCCCCACCACACTAGAAAACAACAACAACAACCCGCCCTGGACTCTCTCTCTTTCTCTCACGCACGCCGGCTGCATGACACACACACACACACACTAACGCACGTCGTGAACAAAGCAGCTGTGTGACCACAAACTCGCGAAGATAAAACGGTTCCTGGCTCTTTTAAGGCTTCCTCTTTTCTTTTCCCTGGGCCAGAATCCTCATTCAAGTTTCCCCCCCGCCCCCCCCCCCCGCCGCCCCCACCACCGCCCCCGCCGCGCCGAGGTGGCGTCGCGCTCCCCCCCCGTCTTCTCCCGCAAGCGGCTCTCTTCGCGACGGACGACGACGCGGACGTCGGCTCAGGCGACGGCTCAGGCGACGGCTCAGGCGACGTCCGCGGCGGGGTCCCCGGGAGAGGGCGGCGATGGCGGCGGCGGGGGGTCGCCTCCGTCCCGCCCTGGCTCGGCGGGTCGCTCCGTCGGAGCGGCGGACGCGGGGCAGCCGTCGGCCGACGGGACGTCCTGGGGGTCGGCGGGGGCGGGCGACCGCCGTGGGTGCTTGGAGCTGCGCGGGGGGGGCGGGGGGGGGCGTCAAAACGATCGCGCGACCTTCAAGGTCGCGGTACTTGAACTCGTGTAGCGCGGGGAGTTTAATCGACCGCGTCATCCCTCCCCCCCCCAACGGCAACGACAGCCGCCGCTAAGCGGAGGCGACGTCGCCACGGCGCTTGCGCCAGGCAGGGTGCACTTTAAGGCCAGGTTAAGCGTCGAACGGCCGCTGGCAGGAGGTCACGGGACAGACCCCAGCAGGTGCCGCGGGTCGACTGACCGAGATGGCCGGCTGATGCACCACCTGTGCCCCCCCTTACTGTGCCAGCTTGCCGTGCTTTAGGCGCTCGGCTCGTTGTCGTGAGCGTCGCACCCCCACAAACACACGCGCGCACACACACACACATAAAACATACATAAAACGTCTTCTTTGGTTCTTTCGGTAAAGTCACGTAGAATGAGAATAAAATAATACATTGATAAAATAACACAATAATATTCTCACGACGTTTCGGCCACAACACAAGCGGCCTTCATCAGGTGAAGGGACGAGACTGTCTGGTAGGACAGCGCTGGAGTGAACCAAACAAACACAAATATCCCCTCCCGTATAGCCTGTAACGGCTGTTGGGGCAAGTGCTGTTAATTTGAACAGGCAAGGCCCACTGAGCTCTACGGCTCTTTTTTTTCAGAAGAGACCTTGCGATAAATGAAAGCTCAACGGAAAGTGGCTTATACTCTTTGGTTCTATTCGGTAAAGTCACGTAAAAGTATAAAACAATAAAAATAAAATATTTTACTTTTGTTGTTTTATACTTTTACCTGACTTTACCGAATAGAACCAAAGAGTATGGATCCTTGCAGTCACGAAAGCTTCAAATCTAGGAAAGTGGCTTATCATCACGTGGAAGTTTATCGCAGCTAAATACTCTAAAGCACGTGATGTTGACTCTAAAAATGTGGAAAAACCGGAGGACCCGGAGAAAAATCCACGCGACCTACGGGGAGAGAGAGATACCGCAAACTCCAAATACACAGCAGGTGTCAGGGCCGGGATTGAACCCTCCTGCCGACCAAATCGGGGAAATAAAATCTCGCCACCGAGTATGACGCGGCTGTTAGCCACGTAGCGGGGAATCCAACTCGGGTCGCCGGGATCCTGGCGTCGTGCGCCAAACACTGCGGCGCCGCTCCCTCCCGCACAGCGACACGCTCGCGCACGCGCACACACACACGTGCCCACGCGTTGGCACGCGCCAGCCGAGTGCCACGCACTTGTCGAAGGAGGCGCTGGCGAGCGAGAGGCGAGTCCTCTCAGCGTCGTAGTCGTCCTCATCCACCGCCTCGAACAGGCTCCTCACTGCCGCACACAACCACGAGACGGTGTGAGTGTACGCGTGTGTGTACGTGTGTGTACGTGTGGGTACGTGTGCGTACGTGTGCAGAGTGCTGGTCGGGAGCTGTAGTGTAGGGGTTGGCGCTATGCTGCGCTACGAACCTAGTGACCCGAGTTCGATTACCGCTCACGGACAAAATCAGTGACCATTATCTGAACCGGTCCCGGGCCTCCCCACGGGCGACTCAGCCTCAAATGAGTACCTGGTGCGGTGTGTAAACATCGCCACTGGGGAGACAAAGGCGGCCGGGTGTGGTGCTGGCCACCCACCTCCCTCGTGTGCCGTTCTGGCCTTCATAGGTGCTCGCTAACAGCACTTTCCCAAACAGTCTGTTGCAGGCTATACGGGGGATCTGTCTTTTGTGTGCGTGCATGTTGTGCATAGGCCTGTGCGTGCTCCCTAATAGCACTTAGCCCTACAGCCTGTTACAGGCTATACGGGGGCCCTTTCCATTTATGCGCACGATGAACTTGGTGACCCGAGTGCGATTCCCGCTCACAATCAATAACGGTGACGATTCTCCTAACTGATCCTGGGCCTCCCCCAAGTCGACTCGGCCTCAAATGGGTACCTGGTGCGGTGTGTAAACGTCGCCACTGGGGAGACAAAGGCGGCCGGGCGTGGTGCCGACCACCCCCCCCCCCCTCGTGTGCCTTCATAGGTGCTGCTCGCTGAAAGCATTTGGCCCTACGGGCTGCAACAGGCTATACGGGGGATCTTTGTCTTTGGTGCGGTGTGTAAACATCGCCAATGGGGATTCTTTGTTTAGGTCCATGTGTAACCAGACTGGATTATGTGCAGACCCTTGAAAGATGTGTGCACAGTACCCATCACCAGTGAGCTCCCCCCCCCCCCCCCAGCGCACGAGGCTGTGTTGGCTAGGTCGTGTAGCCCGCACGCCCAGCCACCGCATCATACCCAAGAAGCTTGCTTGGCCAGAGAGATGGTGATAATGGTAACGATGGTGATAATGGTGATGATGGTGATAATGGTAACGATGGTGATAATGGTGATGATGATGGTGATAATGGTAACGATGGTGATAATGGTGATGATGATGGTGATAATGGTAACGATGGTGATAATGGTGATGATGGTGATAATGGTAACGATGGTGACAATGGTGATGATGGTGATAATGGTAACGATGGTGATAATGGTAACGATGGCGATAATGGTGATGATGATGGTGATAATGGTTATGGCAATAATGGTAACGATGGGGATAACGGTGGTGATAATGGTAATGATGATGGTGATGATGCTGACGACGGTGGTAATGACGATGGCGATGATGGTAATGACGGTGATGATAATGACGATGGTGATCATGGTAATGATGGTGATGATAATGGAAATGACGATGGTGATCATGGAATGATGGCGATGATGGTAATGATGTTGATGACGGTGTCAATGACGATGCTGATCATGGTAATGATGGTGATGATAATGGTAATGACGATGGTGATCATGGTAATGATGGTGATAATAATGGTAATGACGATGGTGATCATGGCAATGATGGTGATGATAATGGTAATGACGATGGTGATCATGGTAATGATATTGATGACGGTGGTAATGACGACGGTGATCATGGTAATGATGGTGATGATAATGGTAATGATGGTGATGATAATGGTAATGATGGTGATGATAATGGTAATGATGGTGATGATAATGGTAATGATGGTGATGATAATGGTAATGATGGTGATGATAATGGTAATGATGGTGATGATAATGGTAATGATGACGGTGATGATAATGGTAATGATGACGGTGATGATAATGGTAATGACGGTGATGATAATGGTAATGACGGTGATAATGGTAATGACGGTGATGATAATGGTAATGACGGTGATGATAATGGTAATGACGGTGATGATAATGGTAATGATGGTGATGATAATGGTAATGATGGTGATGATAATGGTAATGACGACGGTGATCATGGTAATGACGACGGTGATCATGGTAATGATGGTGATGATAATGGTAATGATGGTGATGATAATGGTAATGATGGCGATGATAATGGTAATGATGGTGATGATAATGGTAATGATGACGGTGATCATGGTAATGATGGTGATGATAATGGTAATGACGGTGATGATAATGGTAATGATGGTGATGATAATGGTAATGATGGTGATGATAATGGTAATGACGACGGTGATCATGGTAATGATGGTGATGATAATGGTAATGATGGCGATGATAATGGTAATGATGGCGATGATAATGGTAATGATGGTGATGATAATGGTAATGATGGTGATGATAATGGTAATGATGACGGTGATCATAATGGTAATGATGACGGTGATCATGGTAATGATGGTGATGATAATGGTAATGACGGTGATGATAATGGTAATGATGGTGATGATAATGGTAATGATGGTGATGATAATGGTAATGATGGTGATGATAATGGTAATGACGACGGTGATCATGGTAATGATGGTGATGATAATGGTAATGATGGCGATGATAATGGTAATGATGGCGATGATAATGGTAATGACGATGGTGATCATGGTAATGATGGCGATGATAATGGTAATGATGGCGATGATAATGGTAATGATGGCGATGATAATAGTAATGACGATGGTGATCATGGTAATGATGGTGATGATAATGGTAATGATGGTGATGATAATGGTAATGATGGCGATGATAATGGTAATGACGATGGTGATCATGGTAATGATGGCGATGATAATGGTAATGACGGTGACAACGGCGATGACGGTGACGATGGGGCTGTCCCCTTCGAACGACGCCGTCGGCGCGGAGGCGGCCACCCCACGCCACGGCGTACCGCTGCGGTGGCGCCGGGCGCCAACACCGGCGCCGTGCCCAACCCCCGGCGGGGAGCGGGGCCCCCCACCGTCACGGCCGTCCACCTCGGACCCCCTCTCCTCCGCCTCCGCTCTCTCCAATAGCTCCAGCACCTCCTGCTCCTGCGTTTGGGAGGAGGGCGGTGGGGAGTGGTGGGGGGGGGGGGGGTGGGGGGGGGGGATGACTCAAGAGGTCAAGGGTTCGATCCCAACCCTCACACCTGCAGGGTATTTGGAGTTTGCGTGTCTCTCTGATCACCATCACGGTGGCTAGGATATGTCGACTACCTCGCCTGGTACATAGGAGTTTCGTGGGTGCGATTCCCACCCCGTCCCCTGCAGTGTATTTGGAGTTTGCGTCTCTCTCTCGTCGTCATCATCACGGTGGAGGGGCTGTGATGCTGGCGGCCACGCACGCACAGCGGCGACCGTTGCCCCCCCCCCCCCACCCCCCCCCCCACCCCCCCCCCACCCCCCTCCTGAAAACGAGTCCCCGAGACTCGGCGAGGGCTTCCTTCCTGGAGTGAACGAAGCAAACGAAAGCTGGAAAATGTGCAGGGAAACTGCAGCTCAAACCCACTCACCACCCCGCCTACTAGCGCTTCCCCCGGTGGCCCTGCACCAACCCCCCCCCCGTGGTGGCCCTTCACCAACCCCCCCCCCCGGTGGCCCTTCACCAACCCCCCTGGTGGCCCTGCACCAACCCCCCCAGTGGCCCTTCACCAACCCCCCCGGTGGCCCTTCACCAACCCCCCTCCCGGTGGCCCTTCACCAACCCCCCCGGTGGCCCTTCACCAACCCCCCTCCCGGTGGCCCTGCACCAACCCCCCCCCCCCCCGGTGGCCCTTCACCACTGCAAGCTGTGCCGGCGTTCGCTGCTGGCGGTTCTTGACGGCGGCGCTGGCGCCCGCGTACAGCAGCGCCCGCACGGCGTCGGCGCTGCCCGCGCGCGCCGCCTCGTGCAGCGCCGAATCCCCGCGCCGGTTCGCCAGGCACACGCTGGCACCGTGCTGCGGCAGGCAACACACACACGTGGCAACACACACGTGGCAACACACACGTGGCAACACACACGTGGCAACACACACGTGGCAACGCACACGTGGCAACGCACACGTGGCAACGCACACGTGGCAACAAACACGTGGCAACAAACTCGTGGCAACACACACGTGGCAACACACACGTGGCAACACACACGTGGCAACACACACGTGGCAACGCACACGTGGCAACGCACACGTGGCAACGCACACGTGGCAACAAACACGTGGCAACAAACTCGTGGCAACACACACGTGGCAACACACACGTGGCAACACACACGTGGCAACACACACGTGGCAACACACACGTGGCAACAAACTCGTGGCAACACACACGTGGCAACACACACGTGGCAACACACACGTGGCAACACACACGCGGCGACGCACACGTGGTGACGCACACGTGGTGACGATGGCGGCTGTGCGTCCAATGCCGCTCTAGGTGTGTGTCTATAGAGGTGCAGGCATGTGCGTGTATGGGTGTGTATGGGTGTGTATGTATGGGTGTGTATGGGTGTGTATGGGTGTGTTTTGGTGTGTATGTGTGTGTATGTGTGTGTATGGGTGTGTATGTGTGTGTATGGGTGTGTATGGGTGTGTATGTGTGTGTATGGGTGTGTATGGGTGTGTATGGGTGTGTATGGGTGTGTATGGTGTGTATGGGTGTGTATGGGTGTGTATGGGTGTGTATGGGTGTGTATGGGTGTGTATGGGTGTGTATGGGTGTGTATGGGTGTGTATGGGTGTGTATGGGTGTGTATGGGTGTGTATGGGTGTGTATGGGTGTGTATGTGTGTGTATGGGTGTGTATGGGTGTGTATGTGTGTGTATGGGTGTGTATGGGTGTGTATGGTTGTGTATGGGTGTGTATGGGTGTGTATGGGTGTGTATAGTTGTGTATGGGTGTGTATGGGTGTGTATGGGTGTGTATGAGTGTGTATGGGTGTGTATGGGTGTGTATGGGTGTGTATGGGTGTGTATGGGTGTGTATGGGTGTGTATGGGTGTGTATGTGTGTGTATGTGTGTGTATATGCGTGTATGGGCGTGTATATGCGTGTATGGGTGTGTATGTGTGTGTATGGGCGTGTATATGCGTGTATGGGTGTGTATGGGTGTGTATAGGTGTGTATGGGTGTGTATGTGTGTGTATGTGTGTGTATGGGTGTGTATGTGTGTGTATGGGTGTGTATGGGCGTGTATGGGTGTGTATGGGCGTGTATGGGCGTGTATGGGCGTGTATGTGTGTGTATGGGTGTGTATGTGTGTGTATGGGTGTGTATGTGTGTGTATGTGTGTGTATGGGGGTGTATGTGTGTGTATGGGTGTGTATGTGTGTGTATGTGTGTGTATGTGTGTGTGTATGGGTGTGTATGTGTGTATGTGTGTGTATGTGCGTGTATGTGCGTGTATGGGTGTGTATGGGTGTGTATGTGCGTGTATGGGTGTGTGTATGGGTGTGTATGTGTGTGTATGTGTGTGTATGTGTGTGTATGTGTGTGTATGGGTGTGTATGGGCGTGTATGGGCGTGTATGGGCGTGTATGGGCGTGTATGTGTGTGTATGGGTGTGTATGTGTGTGTATGGGTGTGTATGTGTGTGTATGTGTGTGTATGGGTGTGTATGTGTGTGTATGTGTGTGTATGTGTGTGTGTATGGGTGTGTATGTGTGTATGTGTGTGTATGTGCGTGTATGGGTGTGTATGGGTGTGTATGTGCGTGTATGGGTGTGTGTATGGGTGTGTATGTGTGTGTATGTGTGTGTATGTGTGTGTATGTGTGTGTATGTGTGTGTATGGGTGTGTATGGGTGTATGTGTGTGTATGTGTGTATATGTGTGTGTATGTGTGTGTATGTGTGTGTATGTGTGTATATGTGTGTGTATGGGTGTGTATGGGTGTGTAGATGGGGATGCGAGTAGGCGCGCCTACGGGGGAGCAGGCGCGTCCATCGGCCCTGCCGCTCAAATTCGCTGCGAGGCCACGTCCATTCCCCCACTCGGCGGCTTCGGAAGCCACCGAGCGGGAGGCCAACCTGGACGTCCAGCTGCCGGCTTCTCCCGTCGCACAGAGGAGGAGGGAGGAGGAAGGAGGAGGAGGAAGGAGGGAGGAGGAAGGAGGAGGGAGGAAGGAGGGAGGAGGAGGAGGATGTGATCGTCACCTGTACGAGGAGCAGCACAGTGAGAGCTGAGGGGGCGACGCACGCCAGGTGGAGCGGGGTGTTCCCGTCGCGGTCTCGCTTGTTGACCTTCGCCCCGTGCTCCAGGAGGATGTCGGCCACCTGTGCACCGACACACGGATACACAGCGACCCACCCGCTCACTACCCCACCCACTCACACCCCCACCCGCTCACAACCCCACCCACTTATCCACCCACCCGCTCACAACCCCACCAACTCATCCACCCACTCACACCCCCACCCAACCACACCAACTCATCCACCCACTCACAACCCTACCCACTCATCCACCGACCCGCTCACAACCCCACCCACTCATCCACCCACCCACCCGCTCACAACCCCACCCACTCATCCACCCACCCACCCACCCACACCCAAACCCACCCACACCCCCACCCACTCATCCACCTATCCATTCACTCACACCCCCACCCACTCACACCCCCATCCACCCACTAACCGCCCCGGCCCACTTGCCCACGCCCACCTGCGCGAGGCCCAGCCGGGCGGCGGTGTGCAGCGGGGTGTGGCCGCTGCGGTGCGTGCCGACGTCCGGGTCGGCGCCGTGCCGCAGCAGCGCGGTCGTGACCTGGGCAGCGGCGCCGGCGTTGGCGCAGGCCGCGTGGAGCGGCGTGAGGCCGTCCCGGTCGCTCGCGTTCACCGAGAGCCCCGAGGCCGACAGCAGCGACGCCCGCTGTGCCGTGCACACGCACAAACACGCACGCGCACACACACACACACGCACACACGCACACACAAACACGCGCACGCGCACACGCGCACACACGCACTCACACACACGCACAAACACGCACACACTCACACACACACACGCACACACAAACACGCACGCGCACACGCGCACACACGCACACACACACACACTCACACACACACACGCACGCGCACACACACACACACTCACACACACTCACACACACGCACAAATACGCACGCGCACACGCGCACACACACACACGCACACACACACGCGCACACACACGCAAGCACGACAGCAACATTCGCCATTAAGTGCCCGTGCCAGGCTACGTGCACTTCACGGCCACGTGAAGTGTCGAACGCCCACTGGCAAGGAGGTCACGGGACAGAGCCAGGTGCCACGGGTTGACCGACTGAGATGACTGGCCTATGCACAACACGCACATGTACACATGCACACAAAAGGCAAAGATCCCCTGGAAAGGTTTCACAGACTGTTGGGGCAAGTGCTGTTCGCGAGCAGCACCTATCAAGGCCGGCACGGCACACGAGGGGGGTGGGCGGCCAGCGCCACGCCCGGCCGCCTTTGTCTCTCTAGTGGCCATGTTTACACACCGCACCAGGTACTGATTTGAGGCCGAGTCGACCTGGGGGAGACCCAGGACCGGTTATAATAAATCGTCACCGGTGTTGGTGGCCTTTATGAGCAGGAATCGAACCCGGGTCGCCGGGTTCGTAGCGCAGCGTAGCGCTAACCGCTGCACCACCGCTACCGCATCAAACGCGTGCAGGGACGCATCTACTCTTGCGCGTGACGACGGCAGCGAGATGCTCAGGAGCGAGCTGCCAATGTCGAGGTCTGCTACTGCCGCTCGCCACGGCGAGAGGGCCTCAGGAGGCGGGGAGAGTCCGTGTTGTTTTGCCGTTCCTCTTCCGCCTCCCTCCGTTGAAACGAGCCCAGACTACACCGGGTTTACCGCTGCGGTCCACGTAGTTTTGGGTTGCACGGCCACGTTTTTTTTTCTTCTTTTCTAATTTTCGCACCCCTGTCCCGTGTCTTTAATGTTAGATTCATGAAGGAGATGTGGGACGCATCGGCCTGGTGGTGATGTCCTGATGCGGGTTGACAGTCCCTCCCACCGGGAGGGAGGGAGGGAGGCTGTGGGGGTGAGGCGCACATTCCGTTCGTCCGCGTTTGCTCCTCGGCAAATCTGGATTCGAATTAACGACGACCATTCCCATCGACGGCGGTACCAGTTGCGTTAAGGGGGAAACGGGGAAAGGAAAACAACTGAAACTATTTTTTATTTTACCAGGTAAGGCCCCACTAGGCTGTGTTAGCTTCTTTTTCAGAAGCGACCAGGCCACAAACGATAGCTCAACCAAGCGGCCGCTTATCATCGTGTGGTACCGCAGCCACCAAGCTCTTTGCCACAGTGGTTAGTGCACTGCCCGCCACAAACCCGGCGACCCGAGTTCCATTCCCAGGCACGGCTAACATTGGTGGTGAATGTCTGAACCGGTCCCTGGACCCCACACGTAGGTCGACTCAGGCTTAAGAGAGTACCTGGTGCGGTGTTTATAACATCGGGGGGGACAAAGGTGGCCCCGGGCATGGTGCTGGCCACAAAACAAATTGTTAACGCTACTCGCCAACAGCACTTGCCCCAAAAGTCTGCTAAGGCTGTGGGGTGGATCTTCGCCTTTGTCTTTGTGAGTGCACGCACCCTCTGTTGAGGCTGGCACGTCGCGCACTGGCACAGCGGGTGGCACAGCTGGAAGGTCGGGGGGAACGCCTCTGTGTCGCTCTCGTCGCTGTCGTCTGTCCAGCCCAGCAGGAAGCGCGTCTGTCCAGCCCAGCGGGAACCGCACGGGGAGGGGAGGCGGACACACCACGCACAGTCCTGTTAAACCACGTGATCATCGCTGAAGACATATCTTGTCTCTCCCCTCTCATCTCACTACTTCCCTCCATGCACTCTCCTACCTCTGCCCTCTCATCTCACCCCACTCCCCTCCACTCACTCTCCTACCTCTCCCCTCTCATCTCACTCCACTCCCCTCCACTCACTCCCCTGCCTCTCCTCTCTCATCTCACTCTACTCCCCTCCACACACTCTCCTGCCTCTCCCCTCTCATCTCACTCTACTCCCCTCCACTCACTCTCCTACCTCTCCCCTCTCATCTCACTCTACTCCCCTCCACGCACTCTCCTACCTCTCATCTCACTAATTCCCTCCACGCACTCTCCTACCTCTCCCCTCTCATCTCACCCCACTCCCCTCCACGCACTCTCCTACCTCTCACACACACTGACAGAGAACCACACTCAGTGACCCACAGACTCTGAGACCCAAAAATTCCCAGAGTGACCTAGACTCAGCCACCCACAGTCACATCGTGACCTACAGACTCCGACACCCACAGATTCACATGACCGAGACTCCGAGACCCACAGATTCACATGACCTAGACTCCGAGACCCACAGACTCACGTAGTGACCCACAGACTCCGAGACCCGCAGACCCAAAGAGAGACCCGTAGGCTCGCGTAGATACCAACAGACTTGCGTAGGCACCCACAGACCCGCACAGGGAGGGAGCCGCGATGCCTGCGTGCACCGCGGCCTCGTCTACGGACGCTGCCCGCGCGCGAGGACCCTCCTCGTCGCGGCCGGGCCCACGCGGGGGCAGAACGCTCACCATGACGAGGTCCCCGTCGGCCACGGCCTTCAGCAGGCGCTCCACCTGCACACCCGGCACGCGCGCCCGCGGGAGACGTTCGGAGTTTGGGACTCGTCCCGCAAATGGGACTCGACGCCCGTGAGTCGCATAGCACAGCAGCAGAAAGCCGCGCGGTAGGTTCCCCGACCGGATGATGACGGCTACGATGATGACGATAACGATGATGGCGACGATAGTGATGGCGGCGATGATGATTGTAGCGCCGCTGGAATAACAGCGGCTGGGCTGAACGACCAGCAGCACCACCACCACTAGCACCAGAGACAAATCCCCCATATAGCCTGAACAAGCTGTTTGGGCAAGTGGTGTTAGCAAGCACCTATGAAGGCCGGAACAGCACACGAAGGGGGTGGGTGGCCAGCATCACGCCAGGCCGCCTTTGTCTCCCTAGTGGCAATGTTTCCTACACACTACATGAGGTTCTAATTTGATGCCGAGTAGACCTAGAGGAGACCAAGGACAGGTTCAGATAATCATCACTGGTGTTGGCCGTGAGCGGGAATTGAACGCAAGTCGCCGGGTTCGTAGCGCAGCGCGCTAATCGCCAGCACCACCAGCACCACCACAACCAGCACCACCAGCACCACCAGCACCACCAGCACCACCACAACCTACCAGCGCCAGCACCACCACAACCAACCACCAGCACCACCAACCACACCACCACCAGCACCACCAGCACCACCAGCACCACCAGCACCACCACAACCAGCACCACCAGCACCACCACCACCACCAACCACACCACCACCAGCATCACCAGCAACCACCAGCTTCAACACCACTAGCACCAGCACCACCACCACCAACCACACCACCACCAGCACCACCAGCAACCACCAGCTTCAACACCACTAGCACCAGCACCACCACCAGCCACACCAACCCCACCAGCCCCACCACCACCAACCACCACCACCACCAGCACCACCACCCGTACCTCACGCATCCTGCTCTTCTCGTCGTCGCTTTGTGACTCCAGCATCGTCGCCGACAACGACAGCGACGACGCGTCCGACAGCGTGGATGAGCGCCGGCTACTGTTGCTGCACTCCGGGCTCCGATTGGCCGAGGGCGACGGCCTATCGGATGCCTTGCTGCTGTCAGGTGGCTGAAAGCGACCAAGGTGGGCGGGGGGAGGGCACAGACCCGGGTCACGAAACAAAACGACAAACTAAACTTTTTTATTTTTTACCAGATAAGGGCCACCGAGCTACGAAACTTTATTTTTTAAGCGACCCTGCCACAAACGACAGCTCAACCAAGTTGCTTATCGAGTGCAAATTTAATAGCAGCTACGTACACTCGTGAAGGGCTGGGATGGCTGAAATGGCGAGAGATGTTTTGGTGTGGTGGGCGATAAGAGGGTCCCCAGTTTGGTTGCAGGGAAAAGTGTGCAGTGTATAGTGTAGTGTATAGTATAGTAGTGTATAGTGTAGTGTATAGTGCAGTGTATAGTGTAGTGTATAGTGTAGTGTATAGTGCAGTGTATAGTGTAGTGTATAGTATAGTAGTGTATAGTGTAGTGTATAGTGCAGTGTATAGTGCAGTGTATAGTATAGTAGTGTATAGTATAGTGTATTGTATAGTGTAGTGTATAGTGTAGTGTATAGTGTAGTGTATAGTGCAGTGTATAGTGCAGTGTGTAGTGTAGAGTGCAGTGTATAGTGTAGTGTGTATAGTGTAGTGTGCAGTGTACAGTGCAGTGTACAGTGCAGTGTATAGTGCAGTGTGTATAGTGCAGTGTGTATAGTGCAGTGTATAGTGCAGTGTATAGTGCAGTGTATAGTGCAGTGTATAGTGTAGTAGTGTATAGTGTAGTAGTGTGTAGTGTAGTAGTGTATAGTGCAGTGTATAGTGTAGTAGTGTATAGTGTAGTAGTGTATAGTGTAGTAGTGTAGTAGTGTATAGTGTAGTGGTGTATAGTGTAGTGTATAGTGTAGTGTAGTAGTGTATAGCGTAGTGTATAGCGTAGTGTATAGCATAGTGTATAGCGTAGTGTATAGCGTAGTGTATAGCGTAGTGTATAGCGTAGTGTAGAGCGTAGTGTAGTGTTGTATGGGGATGCGTGCTGGGGCACAATACAAAGGGAGGACCAAGCGATGGCAGTCACAGAGATGAGGATGTTGCGGTGGATGTTGGGGTTGAAACAAGGAAGGAGAGGGGCGTGAGAAATGAAGGAGAGGAAGACTCAAGGGGGTAGAAATCACAGAGAAGGTGAGCGGGGAAAAGGCCGCTGTGGTTCGTGTGCAGAGACAACAGGAAAATTACGTGGGTAAGAAGGTGCAAGTGGTGCAAGTGGAAGGAAAGAGATCAAGAGGAAGGCTGAAGAAGAGGTCGGGGGGGGGGGGGGGGGGCGATGTGGTGGGATCGAACACAATGGCCCGAGGAGCGGAAAGAAATATGGCGCAGGACAGGGCGGCGTGGAGACGGGGCGGCGGAGTAGGTAACGTTGTGATTTCGGCCAACAGCGGATACCATGATTGCTTTGCTTTTTCGTTACGACAGGAAACCGGTGGAACATGGAGGAAATCCATGCAGAACAGCACCGCCAGCACCACTGCCAGCACCACAACCAGCACCAAAAGACAAAGCTCCCCCGTATAGCCTTAACAAACTATTGGGGCAAGTGCTGTTAGCAAGCACCTATGAAGGCCGGAACAGCACATGAGGGGGTGGGTAGCCAACACCACGCCCTTATCTTCCCAGTGGTGATGTAGGTAATCATTTGAGACCGAGGCGACCTAGGGGAGGCCCAGGACCGGTTCAGATAATCGTCACCGACGGTGGCCGTGAAGGGGAATCGAACCCGGGGTGGCCGGGTTCGTAGCGCGGCGGCGATAACCGCTGCGCCGCCGCTCCCCGCACACAACCAGCAGCACCGACTTTAAACAGGGCCAACGCACCTCGTCAGAATGCAGACTGGAATTGTGGATCAGAGCCATCACCTGCGGAAGAGACACGGGGGTGGGTGGGGGGGGGGGGGATACATCAGACACAGCCTCTGTGCACACGGACGACGGCCCCCTACTTTCCCGACCCCAGTCCAATCCACCGCGGGTTCCCACGCTCGCAAGCGGCCGCGACACGGCGGCGGCGGTGGTGGTGGTGGTGTCGGTGGGCAGAATGAAGGCCGGGCTGCGCTGGTCTGGCGACAGGGCGACTTCGTGTAAAGCCCCGGGTCCACGTCCGCCGGTGCCGTCACCCACGCCCGCGTGACCGCACGGACGCTGCTCGCCGTCACGCCCGCACGGGCGACGGGCACGGCCGGCTACGTACGGCGCCAAACAAGTTCAACGTACGCCGCCCGCCGTTGCCGCCGCGCCGAAGGCCTCGCCAAGCACCGAGCACCGCGCGGTGGCGGGTGGTCAGGGTCACAGCTGGCCACATTCCACCGCGGCGGTCGGTGTGGGTTGGGGGAGCGTGGGACGGTGGAAGCGCCATGGTGCGCTACGACAACCAAAATGGATTTTGCCGTACAGTGCTCTGCTGCCCGTAATGTAGCCGCCTGCAGCGCCGGCTTAGCGACGTCGACTGGTAACGCTGCGCCCGCCGTGGCCGCTTCACCGGGCCCTCCCGTTTCTCCCTCCACCTTTAGAAATGCGCGCTTCGAGCGTCTCTGTCTGCGATGCATTTCCACGTGATAAGCCACTTCGTTGAGCTATCAGGCACGGGGGCCCCCCCCCCCCCAACCCTCCACTCACCCGCGAGTTGAGCGCGCACGTGAGCGCCGTCTCGCCGGCGCGGTTCTGCAGCTCGGGCGCGGCGCCGGCCTCCAGCAGGGTGGCCACCACGGGCTCGTAGCCCCAGCGCGCCGCCACGTGCAGCGGCGAGTCCCCGCGGTCGTTCTGGGCGCTGGGGTCGACGCGGCGGCCCCGCGCGCTGAAGAACACCAGCGCCTTCACGCACTGCCGCCAGCACACGCAAGGCAGGGGGGGAAAGGGCTTCACGCACTGCCGCCGCGATGGGCTCGAGAGATGTTGACCACCTCGCCTGGTGTGCAGGAGGTCGTGGGGTCGATCCCGACCCCCTGCTGTATATTTGGAGTTTGCGTGTCTCTTTCTCTCATCATGATCATCACGGTGGCTGGGAGATGATAACTACCTCGCCTGGTATACAGGAGGTCGTGGGTTCGATCCCGACGCCGACTGCTGCTGTATATTTGGAGTTTGCGTGTCTCTCTCATCATCATCATCACGGTGGCTAGGAGATGTTAACTACCTCGCCTGGTCTACAGGAGGTCGTGGGTTCGATCCCGACACTGACTGCTGCTGTATATTTGGAGTTTGTGTGTCTCTCTCTCATCATCATCACGGTGGCTGGGAGATGTTAACTACCTCGCCTGGTCTACAGGAGGTCGTGGGTTCGATCCCGACCCTGACTCCTGCTGCTGTATATTTGGAGTTTGAGGTGTTTCTTTCTCTCTCTCTCTCCATGGGTCGAGTTAATTTTTTTTTCCGGATCCCTCCACATTTAGAATCAGCGTCACGCGTTTAGAGTAATTGTGGCTGCTATACATTTCCACGTGATAAGCCATGACCTATCGTTTGTGGCCAGGTCGCTTCGGAAAAAAAAAAGCTGTACAGCTCAGTGGGCCTTGGTACAACAAAAAGAATAATGCGTAGTTTTATAGTTTTCACCTTAACAGGCAGTTGGGGCAAGGTGAGCACTGTGCCCGGCTGCCTTTGTCTCCCTAGCGCTGATGTTTAGATGCACAGCACCCATTTAAGGCCGAGTTGACCTAGAGGAGCACAGGCGGTGCTTCTCTGACAGTCAACTCGTGGCACGCGTGCCTGTGTCGTAACCTGCCAGCGAACCTTCGACACTTCACGTGGCCTCAAAGTGCACCCAGCCTGGCACAAGCGCTTTGGTGATCATCACGGCCGGCCAGTGGCGGATGGAGGCTGCTGCTGTTGTCGTGTGGGGAACAGCGGCGCAGCGGGGTTAGCGCGATCCCCTACGAATCGATTCCCGCTTACTGCCAACATCGGCGAGGGATACCTTCACCGGTCCCAGGCCCCATCTAGGTCGACTCCACCTTAAATTAACACCTGGTGCGGCGTGTAAACATCAGCATCTGGCGAGACAAAGTCGGCGGTGCGTGGGGGTTGGCCACCCAGCCCTTCATAGGTGCGCCGTGCCGGCCTCCATAGGGCGCACTTGCCCTAACAAGCCCGGCAAAGGCCGGACGGGGGTCGTGAGCCTTTGGGCGGGTGTGCCCCACTGAGGCCTGCAGTGGCCCGACAGTCGGTCGCGAGGCAGAGCGAAAGCAGCCCCGGCGAGCGGGCGACAGAAAGCGCGCCACAGCTGTCTAAGGCAAGTGACACCCAAATCCTCTCCAGTTGCTAAAAGGGGAAGAGTGAGATTTGCGCAACGTTTGGTTTACACTTCCTCCTTCCTTCCCCTACCCGCACCGCCTCCCCCCCCCACCCCCCAACAATTATATTCTGAACACGCATCACCCTCCGATTGATCACCATCGTCACTGCGCTCGGTTGAACCCAGGAAAGCCCTCGCCGAGTCTCGATGCTCGCATTCAGGAGGGTGTTGCCAAGCTTTCGCAGAAGTGCTGCTGCTGCTGCTGATCCTGCTGCTGCTGCTGCCGTGAGATCCCAATAGAGTAATTTGCAGGTAACGTTTCAGCATTGGGACGCTGCGATTTTGGCCTGCCACGTTTTTCGTTTGTCAGGTGCGATGTTGCTGCTGCTGCTGCTGCTGCGTGTGATCCAAACGGAGTCATTTGCAGGTTATTATTCAGCATTGGGGGCGGTGGAGGGGGGGGGGGGGTTATTGTTTGGCCGGGTTTTATGTTTTGTTTTAGCTATTGAAGGGAACCAGAGAACCGCAGAGGAAACCCACTCAGAGCAGGTGGAGAGAGCGAGAGAGAGAGAACACACAAATCCCACAAAGAAAAGCGCCACAGTCTGGAATCGAACCCGGGTGCTCCTTGCTGCGAGGGCGGTCAAGACCCCCCAGGGCCCACCCGGCCGCCTCGTTCCTCTCGCCCCGCTCTCGCCGTAACCACCCCCCACCCCCACCCCCCAACCCTCTCTCACCGCCTCGTGCCCCCCACCGCAGGCCAGGTGCAGAGGCGTGTTCCCGCTCATGTCCTCGGCTGACGGGTTGGCGTTGCGATCCAAAAGCAGCAGCTGCGTGGGGAAGAGAAGATCCGACAACGCCGACGAGGGGGGCAGCGGATGAGGGGGGCAGCGGATGAGGGGGGCAGCGGATGAGGGGGGCAGCGGATGAGACGCGCAGCGTGCGACCGGCTCCAATGGGAGGGCGACACGCGGCCAGGGAGGGCGACGGAAAGCCCGGAGCAATGGCTGGGGCCGTCCTCAGAGCGGGCTCCAGGCAGGCGTGGCTTCGAGCCGGCTCACTTGAGCCCAAGTCAAGCCTGAGCCGAGATGAAGAATAAGGGGGCAGCGGGACAGACTGTCTGAGCCCCCCCCCCCCCCCCGCCACCCCAACTGGGACCGTCCGGGACAAACTGGGGGACGTGAGCCAGCGTCAGCGCAAGGCCCGCGGGCCACTGGCGGCCCCTGGTGGCTTTGAGTGCGGCCCACGACAAGTACACAAGGGAGAAAACGCCCCTTGCCGTCGAGCTGCCGTCAAACCCCCCCCAATGGGTTTCAAACGTGTGGGGGACCCTCACGCTGACGATGTCTCATCGGTGAAAGTGGGCCCTGCCCTCCCACCGCCCACTAACACCCCCCCTGGAAATCAGTGATGAACACCGGCGCTAAGCGGCGATCATACTCACCGCGGCAGCCTGGTGGCCCCGCGAGCAGGCCGAGTGGAGCGGCGAAGCGCCGTGATAGTCAACCGTGTTCACCACCGCGCCCGCGGCCAGCAGCATCTCCAGCAGGGAGAGGCGCCCTGCGCGCCGCCGTGGAGGGAGCGAGGGAGCGAGGGGCGAAGGAAGTGACATCACAAAGTTAGCCTACATTTTTTTTTTTAAAGTACGTCGCCTCAATGTCTTAAAACCGGTAAACGCACGGCGGCCTTCGTCGCCATCCCCCACCCCTCCCCACTCCGAAAACTTCACAATCAAAATATTGTATTTATACTGCAAGGGGAATCTGATGAGCTATAACAGCTCTTTTCACTGATGTCCAGCTGGCGCAGGGGAAGAACGTCACAGGCAGGACCCTCCCTGGAAAATTATGTCCCGAGACTCGGCAAGGCTTCCCCGTGTAAACAAGCATGAATGACAACAAGAGTAACAATCATAATTTCACGTACCGTTTTATAAACACGTGCTGCTGCGCTGCAAAAGCGTGGCGACACCACTGGCCGGACTCCAATGCCCCGTGCCGGTCGGCGGTCACGTAAAACGAAGCTAAACTACTTTGATCGTTTACCTGGCAAGGCACAACCTGAGCTACACCGCTCTTTATCAGGAAGCGACCTGGCCCATCGCGAATGATAGCTCGCCCAAGCGGCCCATCATCACGTGGACATTCAAAGCAGCAGCCAAACAGCGGCCGGCATTAAACGGCCAACGTGACGATCAAGAACACGCGTGAGGGCGAGGAGCGAGCGATGTGCGGGGGGGGGGGGGGGGGGGGCTGCGGGGGTTGGGGTGCGACCGCGGACCGTGCTGAGCGGCCACGTGCAGCGGCGTGAGGCCGTGGTCGTTGCGCGAGAACGGCGTCACCACCGAGGGGTCGTTCAGCCGCCTGCGAGGGGGTCGAGGGGGCAGCAGAAGGGGGAGGGGGGGGGGGTCGGGGAAGCCGGCAAAGGTCAAAGAACGGATGGAAGGGCAATCCGTCGTGGTACACTTTTGGGGTTAGGGTCACGCAACGATCTGACAAAATCTGTCGTCGTCGTCGTCGTTTCCCGTGCCACGGTGCGCGTCTGTGCGACGGCGATTATCATCCGAACCAGTCCTGAGACCCCCCCCCCCCCACCCCCCTAGGTCGACTAGGGAGACAAAGGCGGCCCTGGGCGAGGTGTGGCCCACACCACCCACCTCGGGCGCCATGCCGGCGTTCATACGTGCCTGCCATTGATAACATCGCTTGCCCCAACAGTCTGTGAAGGCTACACAAGGGGGATCTTTGGGTGTGTACGTGTGCACTTCCCGTGGCCCCAAAATGCACCTGGGCCTGGCACAGGCGCTGCGGTGACCGTCACCATCGCTTAGCACCGAATGGCGGCTATTGGTATCGGTTCGTGTGTGCGCGTGCGTGCGTGCGCGTTCGTGCCGCACCCGGACACGATCCTCTCGCACGAGTCGCACGAGCACAGCGGGTGGCACAACGCCGCGTCCGCGCCGCCTCCTTCCCCGCTCGTCAGCAGTCGCGACACCTCCTCGTCGCGGCCGCTCGCCACGCACTGCACGCGCACGCGCACGAGGCCAGCCGAGGGCGAGAGGGCACCGTGGCGATTAGCCAGACCTTGGCACGGATGTGCATCCGTCTCTTCTTCCACTGGCACATCTAAACCGAGCCAGCTGCGGGAGGGGGAGCCAGGCTCGGTATGGGTGGTTTTCCACCGACACTTCCGAGCCGAGCTAGAGTGGGGCCAGCGTGGTGAGCACGGATGGCTACGTGCGGTGCGCAACAAAGTTCAATAAACATTCGGGTGGTTATCCACTGCCACATGCGAGCCGAGCCAGAAGCAAACAACAAAGAAGACATCCGAAACTGGCTCAGAAAGGGGGGCCAAGCAGGGCCCCAACACGGCTCGGTCTTCCGCGGTGGTGAAAACATCCAATGGGGGGGTGGGGGAAGGGGGGGGCGAGCCTCCCGTGCCGGCGTGCCGAGCTGCCGGCTCGCATGGACGGGGAGCAGAGCGAGGTGAGAGGGGGTGGGGAGCAGGCGGGGGAGGGAGGGGGCGGGGGGGGGGGGGGCGAGTCCGCGGAGGATCTCCCCCGCGTCGATGGCGACACGGGATGGGGGAGCCGGAGCCAGCGGTGGCGACGAGCTCCCGCGCGCGGGGACGGGGCAGGCGGCGGCGGTCACCTCGAAGAGGAGGTCGATGGCGCAGGCAGAGGGGGCGCGGGAGATGGCGCCGCCGGGCGAGCTCCACGGAGACCCGTTGCCGGGCAACCCCGTGCCGCCCGCCTGCGCACAGGGGACGAGAATGAGCGCGAGGGCGACGACGAGGACGACGACGAGGACGACGACGAGGACGACGACGAGGACGACGACGAGGACGACGACGAGGACGACGACGAGCCGACCGAGATGACGATGCACTGGGACGACGATGGTCAGGGCGATGATGACGGCGACACACGGCCGTGGCGATGCCGACGAGGAAGCTCACCCCGGGAGTGAGGATGCCCGCGTGGATGTGCTCCACCGCGGCCTCAAACGAGGTGAGGCAGTAGCCCAGCTCGTCCTCCAGACCCCCGCTGAAGCGCAGGTTCTTCACGTAGCTCAGGTTCGCGCGCCTTGCAAACGCGCGCGCGCACGCACACACACACACACAAAATAAAGACAAAGATCCCCATGGCACGGCACACGAGGGAGTTGGGTGGCCAGCACCACGCCCGGCCGTCTTTGTCTCCCCAGTGGCGATGTTTACACACCAATCCAGGTAGTACTCAATTGGGGCCGAGTCGACCGAGGGGAGGCCCAAGACCGATTCAAATATTCGCCGCTGTTGTTGATCGAGAGTGGGAATGGAACTCGAGACGCCGGGTTCGTAGTGCGGCGCGCGCTAACCTTCGACACTACCGCTCCCCCAACACAACAACAACAACCGCCATTCGCCATTAAGTGGCAGTGACATCACCACGGCGCTTGTGCCTGGCTACGTGCACGTTAAGGCCACACGCACGCGCGCACGCACGCACGCACACAATCCCATTCACACATACACACACGATGAGACCTACTGTCAGCAGTAAGGAAGGGGTTCTCACCAGTTTGGGATTTCGGTTTTGACGACGAGGAAGATGAGAATTGGCAGCAGGTCGTCCGTCGTCATCGCCTGGACGTTGACTGTGCGCGGGAACACGGGTCACATGGCGGCACACACGCGTGTCTCATCGCCTGACAGGTAGGGTTACACACACACTCTCTCTCTCACCCAGACATACACACACAGCAGCGCACACACGCACTCACCCAGACACACACATTCGCACACAGTAGCACACACACTCACTCACCCAGACGCACACACACAGCACATACACTCACTCGCACAGACACACAGACACACACACAGCACACACACACTCTCTCACCCAGACGCACACACACAGTAGCACACAAACTCACTCACCCAGACACACACACACTCTCTCACCCAGACATACACACACAGTAGCACACACACTCACTCACCCAGACGCACACACACAGTAGCACACACACGCACTCGCACAGACCCAGACACAAAAAGACAAAGATCCCCCGTATAACCTTAACAGACTGTTAGCGAACACCTATGAAGGCCAGCACCGTACATGCCCGACGGCCTTCATCTCACTAATGCCAATCTTTTTACACATTGCACCAGGTACTCATTTGAGGCCGAGTTGACCAGGGGAGGCCCAGGACCGATTCAGATAATCGTTACTGGTGTTGGCCATGAGCGGGAATCGAACTTGGGTCGCCAAGTTCGTAGCGGATCGCACTAATCACTACACACACGCACACACACCCACGTGCATGGCACGAGTGACAGAGAAAGTGGCTGGTGCCAAGCGGGTACCTCTGTGGCTGGGCCAGAGCAGCACACACCCACCCACTCCCACCATCACTCGCCCAGACGTGCACACACAGCACACACAAACTCACTCACCCAGACACACACAGCACACACAAACTCACTCACTCACCCAGACACACACACACACACAAACTCAGTCACCCAGACACACACACACACAGCACACACAAACTCACTCACCCAGACACACACACACAGCACACACAAACTCACTCACCCAGACACACACACACCCACCCACTCACACCCTCACTCACCCAGACGTGCACACACAGCACACACAAACTCACTCACTCACCCAGACACACACACACAGCACACACAAACTCACTCACCCAGACACACACACACAGCACACACCAACTCACTCACCCAGACACACACACACAGCACACACAAACTCACTCACCCAGACACACACACACAGCACACACAAACTCACTCACCCAGACACACACACACAGCACACACAAACTCACTCACCCAGACACACGCACGCACACTCACACTCTCACTCACCCAGACACACACACAGCACACACAAACTCACTCATTCTCCCAGACGTGCGCACACACACTCACTCACTCACCCAAACACACATACAGCACACACAAACTCACTCACCCAGACGTGCGCACACACACACGCTCCCTCACACACACACAGCACACACAAACTCACTCACCCAGGCGTGCGCACACACACACACAGCACACACACAAACTCACTCACTCACCCAGGCGTGCACACACACACACAGCACACACACAAACTCACTCACTCACCCAGACGTGCGCGCACACACAGCACACACACACACACCGCACACACACACACCGCACACGCACACACACAGACAGCACACAGCACACACACATACAGCACACACACACACAGCACACATACACAGCACACATACACAGCACACATACACAGCACACACACACAGCACACACACATACACAGCACACACACATACACAGCAAACACACATACACAGCACACACAGCACAGCACACACACACACAGCACACACACACACACAGCACACACACACACACAGCACACACACACAGCACAGCACACACAGCACAGCACACACAGCACAGCACACACAGCACACACAGCACACACAGCACACACACACAGCACACACAGCACAGCACACACAGCACACACACACAGCACACACACACACACAGCACACACACACATACACAGCACACACACAGCACACACACACATACACAGCACACACACAGCACACAGCACACACAGCACACACACAGCACACACACACACGCGTGTGGCACCTCTGTGGCTGGGCGAGAGCAGTACGGTGTGCACGGCGCTACGCAGGCACAGCACACACACAGCACAGCACACACAGCACAGCACACACACACAGCACACACACACAGCACACACACATACACAGCACACACACATACACAGCACACACACATACACAGCACACACACATACACAGCACACACATACAGCGCACACACACAGCGCACACACACAGCACACACACACACAGCGCACACACACACAGCACACACACAGCACACACACACACAGCACACACACAGCACACACACACACAGCACACACACCACACACACACACACACAGCACACACACACACAGCACACACACCACACACACACACACACAGCACACACACACACCACACACACAGCACACACACACACAGCACACACACACAGCACACACACACACAGCACACACACACACAGCACACACACACAGCACACACACACACACAGCGCGCACACACACACAGCACACACACACACAGCACACACACAGCACACACACACAAGTGGCACCTCTGTGGCTGGGCGAGAGCAGTACGGTGTGCACGGCGCTACGCAGGCACAGCACACACACAGCACAGCACACACAGCACACACACACAGCACACACACACAGCACACACACATACACAGCACACACACATACACAGCAAACACACATACACAGCACACACAGCACAGCACACACACACACAGCACACAGCACACACACAGCACACACACACACACAGCACACACACACAGCACAGCACACACAGCACAGCACACACAGCACAGCACACACAGCACACACAGCACACACAGCACACACACACAGCACACACAGCACAGCACACACAGCACACACACACAGCACACACACAGCACACACACACACACAGCAGACACACACATACACAGCACACACACAGCACACACACACATACACAGCACACACACAGCACACACAGCACACACACAGCACACACAGCACACACACAGCACACACACACACGCGTGTGGCACCTCTGTGGCTGGGCGAGAGCAGTACGGTGTGCACGGCGCTACGCAGGCACAGCACACACACAGCACAGCACACACAGCACACACACACACAGCACACACACCACACACACACACACACAGCACACACACACAGCACACACACACACCACACACACAGCACACACACACACAGCACACACACACAGCACACACACACACAGCACACACACACACAGCACACACACACAGCACACACACACACACAGCGCGCACACACACACAGCACACACACACACAGCACACACACAGCACACACACACAAGTGGCACCTCTGTGGCTGGGCGAGAGCAGTACGGTGTGCACGGCGCTACGCAGGCACAGCACACACACAGCACACACACACAGCACACACACACACAGCACACACACACACGCGTGTGGCACCTCTGTGGCTGGGCGAGAGCAGTACGGTGTGCACGGCGCTACGCAGGCACAGCACACACACAGCACACACACACACAGCACACACACACAGCACACACACACACACACAGCACACACACACCACACACACAGCACACACACATACATACACAGCACACACACACACGCGTGCGGCACCTCTGTGGCTGGGCGAGAGCAGTACGGTGTGCACGGCGCTACGCAGGCACAGCACACACACAGCACACACACACAGCACACACACACACAGCACACACACACAGAGCACACACAGCACACACAGCACACACACACACACAGCACACACACACACGCGAGTGGCACCTCTGTGGCTGGGCGAGAGCAGTACGGTGTGCACGGCGCTACGCAGGCACAGCAACTTCTCCTGTGACGTGCGGCACCGGTTCAGCTGGCCCAGCACTCGCTTGGCGCGCGGGATGTTGATGCTGCAGCAGACACAATAGCAGACAAAGGTCCCCCGGGTAGCCTTTTCACGAGGGACGTTTGGGGCAAGTGCCCCGTTAGCGAACAGCGCGACGAGGAGGAGGAGGCAGTGTGTCCAGGAACCCCACGCTCGGCCGCCTTTGTCTCCCCGCTGCCGACGGTGACGCGCAGCCCTGGGTACTCGTTAAAGTGGCGGCTCTTAACCTTTACTGCAGCCTCTCACCCCCACTTTTTGGTTCTCATTCGAAAATGCACCGTGAGTAAATGCGCAGGGATTGACGAATCAAACCAAGTCGTTACTTAACGCGCCCGTGGTTACTTTGTGCTTTCGATGGTTTACCTTCGAGAAAAAAACTGGCCATGGCTAGCACACCCAGGGGGTGCGTGCACCCCCGGTTACGAAACCACCGTGTTGAAGGTTCCCCTTAATGGCCAGGCCTGAAGGCTTGTTGTATTACATAGCCACGCATTCTGGGCGGGCAGCTAAACCTGAGGTCAGAGGTGATGCCGAGGTCCTTGAGCTGCAGGTCCTGCAGGGAGCGTGTGCGTTTGTTGAAGGCTGCGTCCTGCACACGAGCACAAAGACAAAGACCCCCCCCCCCCGCCATATAGCCTTAACAGACTGTTGGGGCAAGTGCTGTTAGCCAGCACCTATGAAGGCCAGCGCAGCACACGAGGGGGTGGCCAACACCGCGCCCGGCCGCCTTTGTCTCCCTAGTGGAGGTGTTTACACATCGTACCAGGTACTCATTTGAGGCCGAGTCAACCTAGGAGAGGCCCAGGACCGGTTCAGATATTCGTCACCTGGTGTTGGCCGTGAACGGGAATCGAACCCGGGACACCAGGTTCTTGGCACAGCGCGCTAACCGCTACACCACCGCTCCCCACACATGCACACACACGTGTGCACACACAATTGCATGATCGCATGCATGATGGAGGTTGCAGTTGTGTCTTCTAGAGATGCCAGCGTTTGTGTGCGACTGCGAGCGAGCGGTAGGCAGGCAGGTAGATAAACATGCGAGCAAGTGGGTTAGTAGGTGGCGAGTGGGTACATAGGCGAGTAAGTACATGAATAGGTATGCGAGTAGGTAGGTAGGCAATTAGGTACGTAAACGGGTAGGTAGGTGAGTAGGTAGCAGGTAGGTAGGTGAGTAGGTAGGCGAGTCACACCTGGCTGGCCTCCATGGTACCGATGGCCTTGAAGATGGCGTCGTGGGTTCCGTTCAGAACGTACATCTGTGGCACACGCGATCACCACGCTCACCACACCGTATAGCCCGAGCAGACTGTTGGGGCAAGTGCTGTTAGCGAGTGGCACCTATAAAGGCTGGAACGGTACACGAGGGGGTGGGTGGCCAGCACCCCGCTCGGCCGCTTCTGTCTCCCTAGTGGCGATGTTCACATACCGCGCCAGGTGACCATTTGAGGCCGAGTCGACCAATGGGAGGCCCAGGACCGGTTTAAATGATCGTCACTGGTGTTGGCCGTGAGCGGGAATCAAACTCGGGTCGCCGAGTTCATAGCACAGTGCGCTAACCGCGACACTACCACGCGTTCACCCCACACACACACACACATCCCACTCAGCACGCACACCACACTCACCACACTCGCCACACCCTCACACACCACTCATCCACATACACCACACGCGCCCTCACCACACACATCCCACACTAACCGCGTGCCCTCAGCCCACCAGGGTGAGGAGGGCGAGTGGCTGAGCTAGTTAGGTGAGCCCTTAGGCAGGCGAGTGGGTGATTTGCGAGCTAGGCGAGCGGGTGAGCTGGTAAAGCGGACGAGTGGGCGAGCTGTGGCGGTGAGCGAGCGGGGGAGCTGGGCGAATGGGTCAGCTGATGAGGCAGGCGAGTGAGCGGGCAGTTGTGGCGAGTAATGCGGGTCAGCCGGTGAGCTGCTCAGCATTTGAGGTTGGCGAGCCTGGTGATCTGGGTGAGCGGGATAGCCGGGGTGAGGTGGGTGAACGGCTGAGCTGGCGAGGCGGGCGAGTAGGCGGGCGAGTAGGCGAGCACTCACCTCCACCGCCTGCTTGAGGAGCTTGAGGGAGGCCTCCTGCCTCGCCAGCGATTTCTGCAAAGCACAACGACGGGCGCCGTCAGCCATCGCCGGCGGCCACGATCTATCCGCTATCATCGTCGTCATCATCGTCGTCATCGTCGTCGTCGTCGTCGTCATCATCGTCGTCGTCATCGTCGTCGTCATCGTCGTCGTCATCGTCACCCCCTAGCCGTGACGACGCGTCCTGGCCAAGCCCCACCCCTCTAGCAGCTGTGGATGGTTGTGGTGATGTCTCTACTGCACGTGCTCCTCAGTGTAATCATCATCATCACCATGGTATATCCACTGCTGGATGAAGATCAATGTGATGGTGGTGGTGATGTCTCTAGCCTGCGTGTGTCCTCTACTGCACGTGCTCCTCAGTGTAATCATCATCACCATGGTATATCCACTGCTGGATGAAGATCAATGTGATGGTGGTGGTGGTGGTGATGTCTCTACCCTGCGTGTGTCCTCTACTGCACGTGCTCCTTTCGCTGCCCTCTCAGTGCGATTCCAGGCGTGCGTCCAGTTGCTAAGAGGGAAAATCTGCAGTGCAGTTAGTCTGCCACAACGCCTATTATCGCATTTGTTTACCCAGCAAAGCTTTGGCCAAAGGGGGCAATGATACTGCTCTATGCGATCCCAATTGAGTTACCCACAATAATGGGGGGTTTTTTTCACGTTAGATTGCGTAAATACGAATGCGTCGGTTCAACCCACCGCCACCCGACACAGCCAATTAGAGAGGTTTGTCACGTAAAGAGAACGTGCCAATTCCTTACTCGTTCAGCGATAGCCGGTGCATCGGAGAGTAAACCCACGACATTTACGACTCCGCGCAGAGAGGGCACGCCCCGGTCGGGCATCGAACCCAGGCTCCCTGTGCCACCGTGCCTTAACTGGGCCAAAGCCTGTGCCGCTGGGGAAAGTTGCTCACCAGCTGTGGGTCCTTCAGCACGACCTGCAGACACTTGCTGTACAGAGCGCCGACTGCATCCTGCACACACAAAACAAAGGCAAAGATCCCCCGTATTGCCTTTAACAGACTGCTGGGGCAAGCGCTGTTAGCGAGTAGTAGCAACTGAAGGCCGGCACAATGCACGAGGGGGTGGGTGGCCAGGCCAGCACCACGCCCGGCTGCCTTTGTCTCCCCAGTGGCGATGTTTAAAGAACGCACCAGGTACCCATTCAGAATGCTGAAACCTAGGGGAGGTCCAGATAATTGTCACTGGTGGTGGCCACGAGCGGGAATCGAACTCCGGTTACTGGGTTTGTAGCGCATCGGCGCTAACCGCCACACCACACGTACGCACTCATGCGCGCGCGCCAATAATAAGTACGTGTGTGTACAATGCACACGTAGCAACATCGCCCCCTGCTGTGAAACTACTGCATAGGGGTAGCTGCCACTGGGGGTGACCTGCGGCAAGACCACAGAGCAACATGATGAAAATGCCTTGCGAATTACTCGAATGTGTGTATGTTGAACTTAATTCGCACCGTCCGTAGCCAAATGCACTAATTGGGGTGGTGAGAATGACATTGCACACGGCCGCAACATCGCCACCCCTACAGCAAAACTCCTGCAGACAGCGTCCGCGAGACACTGCACAGCCTTCCGTCGCGACGGAATTCGGCGCTAGAAAAACGACAGCGCCAATAGCCAAATCTACTCCGTTATTGTCAATGATAAATATACACCCCCCTCTCTCCACGCCACCCCCTCCCTCCTCCCCCCTCCCTCCCTCCCTCCCTCCCTCCCTCCCTCCCTCCCTCCCCGCATGGCTCACGATGTGGTGCCGCAGGCTCCTCCCCTCCAGCTGGCGGAACGACGCGGTGAACACCGCGATCCGGCGGTCCACGTCTCTCCGCGCCCCCGTCGTCACCGACCCGCCTCCTCCTCCTCCTGTGCCGCCGCCGGCCAAGGCCGGCGACTCGGCCCACGCCAGGACCTCGCGGCACTCGTCCATGGAGCCGGGGCCCAGCGAGGCGGGGGCCTGGAGCGCGGCGCCGGAAGAGGCTCCCCCCGGGCAGGACGTGGAGAGGGAAACGGTCGCCATGGAGACACCGGAGCCCTCTGCATCTGCGGGGACAATGTGGGAGAGACCGCGCGCGGGCGAGTCGAGCCTCGGAACTCTCGTCCGTGCGGCGCTCGCCACGCTGCGTTGGCGTGCGGCTGCCCGGGCGAAGACGTCGCGAAGGTCGCGCTCATCACGCACAAAGCGCTTGCCACGAATGAACCGCGATGATGCGCAGCCAACCGCGGCGATCGTAGGTGCGGGGGAAGGGCAACCAGCTGAACACAAAAAGCAGCTCGAAAGAAATTCGTTTTCCAATCGAGTGCATTGCTCCGGTGGCTTCCTAACATCGGAGGAGGCGTTCACAGACGGCCGCAGAAGCGCATCCGAAAGCGCCGCGCGACGACGCGGTGACCACCGTCTTCGTCCGACGGCCCGCCAAAAGAGCCGCTGCTGCGAGGACGAGCGGAGTTCGCGCGACGACGGTTCACGCTCCCTTGCCGAGGTCGGCGAGGAGCGGGGGTGGGGCCCGGAATCGTGGGATCCGGGAGCGAGCGAGCGAGCGAGCGAGCGAGCGCGGTGGCCGTGCCTGGGTGGGCGGGCGGCGGCAGCGCGTCGAGCGGGCGGGAGATGCAGATGAGGCTGAGGCTCTCCTCGCGGTCCGTGTAGAAGGTCTCCTCGAAGAGCACGCGGGCCGACACGGAGGGCCCCTCTCCCCCAGTGAGACACAGCTCCCCCCCACGCAGCGACACCGCCTGCGGATGCACGGCGAGGGCGAGAGAGAGAGGCACGGGTACACGCACGAACGCGGCGCAAGATTCCCCCGGCCCCATCGCCCCGTGTACGCGAAAATCGGTGCTCGTCACTCATTCTCAGACATCATCGGTGCGAGGGCCGGCCAACACATTTGAAACCAACGGGAATTTGACAGCAGCACGATGATGATGAAGATGATGATGGCGGGAGGGGGGGGGGGGGGGGTGTTTTCACTCTTTGTGTGTTGTCAGGGGGAGGGGCCGCACGTCAGAGGCCGCACTGAAGGCCACCAGGCACTGAAGTACACTGGCCTAAATAGACTGTTGGGACAAGTGAGCACCTACCAAGGCCGGCACGGCACACGAGGGGGTGAGGTGGCAAGCACCGTGCCCGGCTGTGTCCGCCTCCCCAGTGACGATGTTTTTGCTTACACAATCGCACCAGGCTTCCATTTGAGGCCGAGTCGACCTTGGAGAGGGCCCACGAACGGTTCAGACAACAGCCACGGGTGCTGGGGGCCATGAGCAGCAATCGAACTCGGGTTACCAGGTTCACAGCGCAGCGCGCTGACCGTGACACTACCTCTATCCACACAACAACACGCGCCATTCGACACAAAGTGGCGGTGACGTCACCACGTCGCCTGTGCCAGGCCAGGTGCACTTTAAGGCCATGTAAAGCGTCGAAGGGTTGACCGACCGAGATGACAGGCAGATGCACCACCTGTGCCGCCTACTACTCCCCACACACGTACACACGTACACACACACACGTACATTCAGACACTGCGGGGCCCTCTGCTCCTAAGAGACATCGTCATCGTCATCATTATTTCAGCCATCGAGAGACGCAGGGTGCGAGCCGACAACCCCACCTGGCCGCCCATGGAGACGTAGCGAGTCTGCTCGTCGGCGGACGGAAGCAGAATGTACGACTCGAACGGGCAGGAGGACAGAGCCCCGGGCCGAACACTACCCTGGCAAGGCACCAGCACCTGCGGACACAAGGGGCAAGGCGTTTACCGTTGTTACCGTTTTTTTATTTTCTATTTTACCAGGCAAGGCCCCACTGAGCTTAAACGTAGCTTCTTTTTCCAGAAGCGACCTGGCCATCAAACACGGTGGCTCAACGAAAGTGGACTATCATCATCATCATCGTCGTCACGTGGACATTTATAGCAGGCATGTACTCTAAAAGGCGCGACGTCGATTCTAAACGTGGAGAGAAAAACCGGAGCGCCCGGAGAAAAATCCAAGCCACCGGCATGTGCCGTGTTCTCACAGCCAGTAGGGGAGGGGAGGGAGGGGGTGGGGGGAGTGTGCCGCCGATTCGAATGGGAGCGCAGCAGCGGTGGCGCCCGGTGTAGAAAATCAGTGGAAGAATCCGATGAGCTATAAAGGTCTTTTTCACAGACGTCCAGAGTCGTTGTTCACACGGAGAGAGCCAGCGAGGGTGCGTGCATAGCCGTGGTGGTGGCGGGGAAGGAGGAGGGGGGGGGGGTGTGCCGCTGGCGCCGTGTCCACCCACCACGGCGTGCAACTCGGCCGCCTTGCGGAACAACTCCGGCCTCTTGCGCTGCAGCGCGAGGAAGAACGGATTCCTCGCGATGTCTTCATCGTAGCTCGACATGACGGCCGGGACCGGACCGCCGCCGCCGCCGCCGCCGTCAAACGTGCACCCAAGCGGTCCACGGCGTCCCGTGTCAGTCAGACATCGCCCGTTGCCGCCGCCGCGGCCGCCGCGGCCGCCGCGCTCGACCGAAGCACGCGGTCGTTCTCTCGAAACGACTCGCCGGGGGAAACCGACAGACGTGCGAGGTGCCGCCGGGCGAGCTCGGCGCCGGAAGGGCGGCGAGGGGCCCGGGGGGGAGGAGGCTCGGTGGCCCAAATCAGGCCGAGCGGAGGATGAGATGGCGATCGCGAAGTCCGCCCGGGATCATCTTCGCGGCAACGGCGTGAATCTGCGAAAGCACGACGACGACGACAACGATGACGACGATGACGACAATGACGACGATGACGACGATGACGACGGCGAGTACATCGATTAAAGCGGCAGGATGGTGGCGGCAGCGTGGCGGTGACACTCGCGGCTCACAGCAAGGGGGGGGGGGCGGGCCTGGGTTCATTTTCCGGCTCAGGAAACCTTTCACCGAGTTGCTGGCCCGGTCACCACAGACTTGCACAGAGACCCGTAGACTTGCACAGAGACACGTAGACTTGCACAGAGACCCACAGACTTGCATGGAGACCCATAGACTTGCATAGAGACCCGTAGACTTGCACAGAGACACGTAGACTTGCATGGAGACCCATAGACTTGCACAGAACCATAGACTTGCACAGAGAACCACAGACTTACATGGAGACCCATAGACTTGCACAGAGACCCATAGACTTGCACAGAGAGCCACAGACTTGCACAGAGACCCATAGACTTACACAGATAACCACAGACTTGCACAGAGAACCATAGACTTGCACAGAGACCCATAGACTTGCACAGAGACCCATAGACTTGCACAGAGAACCATAGACTTGCACAGAGAACCATAGACTTGCACAAAGGACCACAGACTTGCACAGAGAGCCACAGACTTGCACAGAGACCCACAGACTTGCTCAGAGACCCATAGACTTGCACAGAGAACCGTAGACTTGCACAGAGACCCGTAGACTTGCACAGAGAACCATAGACTTGCACAGAGAACCATAGACTTGCACAGAGACCCATGGACTTGCACAGAGAGCCCGTAAACTTGCACAGAGACCCATAGACTTGCACAGAGACCCATAGACTTGCACAGAGACCCGTGGACTTGCACAGAGAACCATAGACTTGCACAGATAACCATAGACTTGCACAGAGAACCATAGACTTGCACAGAGACCCATAGACATGCACAGAGACCCATAGACTTGCACAGAGACCCATAGACTTGCAGAGAGACACACAGACTTGCACAGAACCACAGACTTGCACAGAGACCCGTAGACTTGCACAGAGAACCATAGACTTGCACAAAGAACCATAGACTTGCACAGAGAACCATAGACTTGCACAGAGAACCATAGACTTGCACAGAGACCCATAGACTTGCACAGAGACCCATAGACTTGCAGAGAGATCCATAGATTTGCACAGAGAAGCATAGACTTGCACAAAGACCCATAGACTTGCACAGAGACCCATAGACTTGCACAGAACCATAGACTTGCACAAAGCCATAGACTTGCACAGAGAAGCATAGACTTGCACGGAGACCCATAGACTTGCACAGAGACCCATAGACTTGCAGAGAGACCCATAGATTTGCACAAAGACCCATAGACTTGCACAGAGACCCATAGACTTGCACAAAACCATAGACTTGCACAAAGCCATAGACTTGCACAGATAACCATAGACTTGCACAGAACCATAGACTTGCACAGAGAACCATAGACTTGCACAGAGACCCATAGACTTGCACAGAGACCCATGGACTTGCACAGAGACCCATGGACTTGCACAGAGACCCATGGACTTGCACAGAGACCCACAGACTTGCAGAGACCCACAGACTTGCACAGAGACCCACAGACTTGCACAGAGACCCATAGACTTGCACAGAGAACCATAGACTTGCACAGAAAACCAGACTTGGACAGAGACCCATAGACTTGCATAGATAACCATAGACTTGCAGAGACCCGTAGACTTGCAAAGAGACCCATAGACTTGCACAGAGACCCATAGACTTGCACAGAGACCCGTAGACTTGCACAGAGACCCATAGACTTGCACAGAGAACCATAGACTTGCATAGAGAACCATAGACTTGCACAGAGACCCGTACTTGCACAGAAAACCATAGACTTGCACAGAGACCCATAGACTTGCACAGAGAACCATAGACTTGCACAGAGAACCATAGACTTGCACAGAGACCCGTAGACTTGCACAAAGGACCATAGAATTGCTGAGAACCATAGAATTGCAGAGAACCATAGACTTGCAGAGAACCATAGACTTGCAGAGAACCATAGACGTGCACAGAGAACCATAGACTTGCACAGGGACTCATAGAGTCGCATGTAGGGTAGAGACATAATCACACTGGACTTCATGATGATAGAGATTTGCCAGACTTGGAATTCCATTGACAGACATGGAGAGGAGCACGTGGATTAGAGAACACGCGCAGGGACAGAGACACGTCATCCATTATCCACACTGCTGCTTAGGGGGATTGGGTGGCTCGGTCAACATCGTCACGGATGTTGTACAATGGGGCCGATCGCCTCTCACACCCCCACCCCTCATACCACAGCAGCAGCAGCAGGCGAGGCAGCAGGCGAGGCAGCAGGCGAAACAGCAGCAGCAGATGCAGCTGCTTTGCAGCAGCCGCCGTGTGTGGATGTATGGGAGGGTTACGGTGGGTGGCGAGAATCGGCCGTGAAGAGCCGGCCGAGGTGGCTCGCCGCTTGTGGTGGAGGGAGGGAGGGAGGGCGAGGTAAGACGCGGTTCATCCAGCAGTGGAGTGACCCTGGCCTGTCGAGTTGACCTGAGGGGGGTGGCGGGGGGGGGTGGGGGTCACGCCTCCCCGCTTCCTCCCGGGGGCGACCCGAGCTAGCTCAGCCGGACGAATGTCACAAACGTTGACCCCGACGGCGACGACAACAACAACAACCGACGAGGACAAGAGCAACAATAATAATAAATTAGCAAGACAATGGTGGTTAGGAAGTGACGGGGCTCAAAGTGTAAACACCGAAGCGAAACCCGTCCGCTCATCGCTGTTAACCGGGCCGAGGCGCACGCGGGAACCCTTTAAATATCCTAGCGCGGATAGGGCCACCCGCCCCTCACCCCCCTCCCCCCTCAAAGCTGCCCATTGGTCAAGCGGGCCTCGGCTCGCGACAGCGCCGACCAATAGGAGAAGGGCGGCTCGCCTATCCGCTCTACAGATTCCAGAACCCGCGATATTTCGTTTCCTGGTCCGATGACGCCTCGTGATTGGGGGACGTCACGAAACCCCCCAGCCCCGCCCCTACCCTTCCGCCCCGCCCCTACCCCTCCCGCCCCTACCGCCCCGCCCCTCCCGCCCCGCCCCTCCCGCCCCGCCCCTACCCTCCCTCCCCGCCCCGACCCTCCCGCCCCGTCCCTCCCGCCCCGCCCCTCCCGCCCCGCCCCGCCCCGCCCCTCCCGCCCCGCCCCTCCCGCCCCGCCCCTACCCCTCCCGCCCCGCCCCTACCCCTCCCGCCCATTCACACCCCGTCCACCGCCCCTTCAATCCCCCCCGCCCCTTATCCGCCCCTCCCCCGCCCCTCCTCCCTTATAGTTACTCCCCCCCGCCCCTCCCTCTTGCCCCTCCCCCCTCCTCCGCCCCTCCCCCTCTCTGCCGCCTCTCCCCCTCCCATTCACCCTCCCCCCGCTCCTCCGCCCCTCCCCCCCTCCTCCGCCCCTCCTCCCCCGCCCCTCTCCTCCCATTCATTCACCCTCCCCCCCCGGCCCCACCCCCTCCGCCTCCCACACGTGACGCGTCACGCTGACAAAGCGTCATCAGAATCTGTAACAGCGATTGCTGTTGGGTGTAGATAGCGTCACGATAACAGTGTCGTGAAACCCGCCACCACCCGACACAGCCGATTGGTCGCGAAAACCTACGTGTTCAAACAATTGCTAAGGTTGTGTGTCACGTAAGGGGCCTCCATATATGACGTCACGCACCTAGGGGGGTCAGACATTTGTGACGATGTATGACGTCACATCAAAATGCGCAACTTTAAATAAATATAGACAACACGTTCTACAATGACAATAGTTTAAAGCGTTTTGAAGCATAAATTTTGATTTAAAGCTTTCGTGACTGCAGGGATTCATATTCTTGGTTCTTTCGGTAAAGTAACGTAGAAGGGAAACAATAAAATACAAATATAAAACAATAAAATTCTCACGACGTTTCGACTGCAACGCAAGCAATCATCATCAGGTGTGAAAACCACAGCAGGAAAATTTGAAAAAAAAACGCCACTTTTTTCAAAATTTCTTGCTGTGGTTTTCACACCTGATGATGATTGCTTTTAGGAGACATGGTGGCATTGCGTTGCACTTTATTGCAACTTACTGCACAGTTTTGGTAGACCAACGTGTAATTGAGATACATTTGCGGGTTTGATCTGTGAAAAAGTTGGCAACGTTACCTCCAAGGCTCGTGACAATATCTAAAACAAGCACAACTCCACTCTGTCTCCGCATAAAAGTGCAAGTCCATCAAGCCTTATCCGCATTGCTGGACCAATATTATCCCGCAGCACTTAGGTAAACACACTCTGGATCAGGGTATCGACCTTCTGGGCCTCATCAGCACAGTTAAGACTCGTTAAACAAATGCTGCTGGATTATCAGATCTTAGGGTCAAGGGCACTCGCCATCTAGCAGAGTGGGGCATCCCACCTTCAGGAGGCGAGATGCCCAGTTAAACCCATGTCACGGGGTTGCATTTGTTCAGCTGAAACGGGCGTTTAAATTACTGGGATCATTTTGGCTGCTATACAATTCCACGCGATGATAAGCCACTTCGTTGGGATATCATTTGTGATATCCAGGTCGCCTCTGAAAAATAAACTTAACAGCTCAGTGGGCTTTATCTGGTAAAATAAAACACAGTTTAGTTTGTATTTGTTTTTTTTTGTGATGTTTACCTTTCCGACACTTTGCACTCCTATCGTGTTGTTGTATTGTGCTTGTTGTTGTAAGGTTCATGACCCTGTGCCCCTGACTGAACATCCGTGAAAAAAAGAGCTTTATAGCTCATCGGATTCCTCCAGTATAAATATTCTGATTCTGCATTATGGTGAACAGTACAGTACAACACTCCTGTACGAATATTGCTTTTACTCTGGGCCTCTGCGTTGTTCCACTGTTCACTGGCGGAGCGCCGCGCGGCTCCCCGTGGTGGTGGCGTGGATTTTTCTCCGGGTCCTCCGGTTTCTCCCTCCACGTTTTAGAATCAACGTCCTCACGCGTTTAGAGTATTTGGCTGCTGCTAAACGTTTCCACGTGATGATAAGCCGCTTCGTTGAGCTATCATTTGCGATGGCCGGGTCTCTTCTGAAAAAGAGCGCTACAGCTCAGTGGGGCCTTACTTGGTCAAATAAAATAGAAACAGGTTTTAGTGAGACGCAGCGAATAATTGAAGAACGAGGATAAACACCTCTATCGAGACCCACACATCGCACCACCTCCTGGCTTTTACATTCCTCCTCCCCCACGAAGACACTGGTGGTGGAACCATCAATCGCATCATCTGATCATCAACAGGCCGATGCACACCACATCTCCATGAACGCAAAATAAAAGACAGGCCACAGTACAATTGTAACCGTGCAACCCAAACTATGGACAATATTAGTAATCCGCTGTAGTCGCTGTAGTCGGTGCTCTTTCAATGGATGAAAAGCAAAATTACTCTCTCCTGAAGCCCTCTCGTGGTTGGCAGACCTCGAATATTGCCATTTAGCTTCTGAACCATATTGTGAAAAAGAGCTTTATAGCTCATCGGATTCCTCCAGTATCAATAAATATTCTGATAAAAAAAAACATATTCTGATTCCGCATAGAACATAATTGCTTTTATTGTTTACACAGAATGCCACACTCATGGACATATCCAAAATAATTCTATCAGCTGTAACCGAGATCTGTGAAGAACACTCACGCGCACTTAATTCGTGTGGATGACGGACATTGTTACGTTCCGTTTGTGTACACGCGTGTTTGCAAGCCTCCTCCACAGCGCCCTGTTGCAGGAGGCTCGTGAAGAACGCTGCTACTGGGCAGATGGAAGTGGGCACCCTCCAGCGATGACAGACGGCAGAGGAATGCTGCTCACAACAACGAGCAGAGCGCCGGGAGGCTTAGACGCAGCGAGTTAGCACAGTAGGGAGCACAGGTGGTAAGTAACATCTGCCAGTCATCTCAGTCAACCCATGGCACCTGGGTCTGCCCCGTGATTCCCTACGAGCAGCGAACATTCCACACTTCGCGTGGCCTCAAAGCGCACCTACCCTGGCACAAGCGTCGTGGTGACGTCACCGCCACTCAGTGGCAAATGACTGTTGCTGTTGTTGTTGTTAATGTGTGGAGCGGTGGCTTAGGGGCTGACGCACTGCGCTTCGAACCTGACCTGACAACTTGAATTCGAATCCTAGCCGCGTCTACTACCCGTATCCCACTGCCACATTTGTGTCTCCATAGCCATGCCGGGCTCGGTATACAGACCCATAGACTTGGCACGGCCTTGGCACGGCTCGGTTGTGCAGTGGAAAGAGGTAGCAAAGCGGTCCTTAAACCTGTCCTGGGCCTTCTGTAGATGAACTTGGCCTTAAATGAGCACATGCTAAGTGTGTAAACATCAGCGGTGGGGAGACAAAGGCGGCCGGGCGTGGTGCTGACCACCCACCACCTCGTGTGCCGTGCCGGCCTTCATCGCTGCTCGTTAACGGCACTTGGCGCAACAGCCAGTGAAGGCTACACTGGCGGGGGGGAGGGTATCTTTATCTTTGTTGCGTTGGTGTGTTGTGCGCTTGCCAACTCATACTCATGAAGGCGGGGGCCCGGCCCTCCTCACGTGAGCGGCCTTCAGGCGACCCGCCACCGTGGCCCAATCGCAAGGGGGGGCCCTCTCCAGGCGGTCTGGGTCCGAGTGGAAGGCTCGCGCCAGGTACGCGTCAATGTCCGGCTGGTCCAGGCAGGGGTCGACGCGCAGGAAGGCGGCACGGAGAGACGACACCGACACCTCCCTGATCGCCATCGTCACCATCACCACCATCAACAACAGCACCACCATCATCAACATTAGCATCATCACCATGATGATGATGTCCTTCCCCCGCTGGCGCGCGTGACTGCAACCTCATGGCCTAGCCCAATACCAAATATGGACCCATTGCAATGACTCAGAACTTACGTGAACTCCACGTGTTCTGGTCAATGTTGCCACGTCTTCCATCAATACAAAGACAAGTATCCCCCGTATAGCCATAAACAGACTATTGGGGCAAGTGCTATTAACGAGCAGCACGTATAAAAGGCTGAGGACGGCACGCGAGGGGTTGTGTGGCCAGGACCCCACGTGCCCGCCTTTGCCTCCGCAGTGGCGATGTTTATACACCGCTGCACCAAATACTCGTTTGAGGCAGAGTCGACCTCGTGGAGGCCCTGCACCAGTTCAAATTAATCGCCAACGGTGTTTGTGACCGTGAGCGGGAATCGAACTCGGGTCGCCGGGCTCGTAGAGCGGCGCCCAAACCGCCGCGCCGCCGCTCCACACTGCCAATGACCAACGTGGCCACCAGCGATCGCGAGCTGCTCGCTCGACTGCTGCTGAGCCACCTGGCCGGACATCGAGACCAACCACGCCACGCCACCGCAACGACAGTGGAACAACGATGACGACGATGACGGTGAGGATGATCGTGGCGGCGATGGTGGCGGCGAGGTGTTAACCATATTGCCTGGTATACAGAAGGTCGTGAGTTTGCTCTCGATCCTGATGGCTGTATATTTGGAGTTTGCGTGTTCTCTCCTTGGTCGCGTCCATTTCTCTCTAGGTCCTCAAGTTTTTCCCTCCACATTTATAATCAACGTGCATTCATAATATTTGGCCGATATGAATTTCCACGTGATAATAAGCCACTTCGTTGAGCTATAATTGGCGATGGCCAGGTCGCTTCTGAAAAAGAGCTACATAGTTCAGTGGGGCCTTAACCTGGTAAAATAAAAACGGTTTGGTTTGGATCGTGTGGGTTGTATCACATACTCCGTGTCCCCCACTGCCTCCTCCACCTCCTGCAGGTAGAGCAGCTTTTCCTCGTGCGTCTGCCTGTGCAGCGTCTGCATGAACTCCTGCGAGCTGGGCGACTCTCCCTGCTCGTCCGCACAGCACAAAGACAAAGACCCCCCCCTCCACCGTGTAGCTTTAACAGACGGTTGGGGCAAGGGCTGTTAGCGAGCATCTAATTAAGGCAGTCAAGGCACAGGATGGGGTGGTGCGGGACTGGTGCTGGTGGTGCTGCTGGTGCTGCTGTTGGTGGTGCTGGTGGTGGCGGTGCTGCTCGTGGTGGTGCTTGTGGTAATGCTGGTAGTGGTGCTGGTGGTAATGTTGGTGGCGGCGGTGGTGCTGGTGGTGGCGGAGATGGACCTCTGTGAAGAGGGCCCTATAAGGGATGGAGGCGTCGATGCTGTCCAAGCCCAGCTGGGCACAGGCCCCCTGGTGGAGCTCCGCGATGAGGCCCTCCTCCTTGAGAGGGAAGGCACGGTGGAGGGCATCCCTGCACACAAGACAGAGAAGGGACGCCGCCTTTAGGTTTAAATGAAGTGATGAGTTGTTCTTGATAGAGAGCCCACCTTTACACCGGACGTCTCAGAGTACTGTACACACAATAGGCCACTTACACCTCATCTCATCCCAATCGTTCGGAGGGCACCCCCAGTGGCAGCGGTCCCTGTGCAGCACAAGGTGACTCAGTACCTGGGCCGCAAACATGCAGTACAGGAAAATTAATGCTATAATCCCAATTGAGTAATTTGCGGTGTCATCTTTCGAATTTGGAAAATTTGGACCCAAGACGCTGGAACACAATGGCCGACTAATTTCGAATGACATCATGAGATCTTTAACGTCCACTGTGAAGCAGATGGCATGCAGTATGTTGCGGTTAATACACCCGCAGTAATAACCAGGGCGGCCTGCCATATTCGAACCGCGAACCTCTGCAACAAGCGGCTAACGTGCATTTACAACCACGATCATTATTATATGTTTGTTGGCTTGAGTGGATCGAGTGGCTGAGTGGCTGGTTGAGTGGTTGAGTGGCTGGCTGAGTGGCTGGCTGAGTGACTGAGATGCTGGGTGAATAGCTGAGTGGCTGAGATGCTGGATGGCTAGCTGAGTGGCTGGCTGAGTGGCTGGTTGAGTGGCTGAGTAACCGGCTGAGTGACTCCCTGAGTGGCTGGTTGAGTGGCTGAATTGCCGGCTGAGTGGCTGAGTGGCTGGTTGAGTGGTTGAGTGCCTGGCTGAGTGGCTGGCTGAGTGGCTGGCTGAGTGACTGAGATGCTGGGTGGCTAGCTGAGTGGCTGGTTGAGTGGCTGAGTAACCGGCTGAGCGACTCCCTGAGTGGCTGGTTGAGTGGCTGAATTGCCGGCTGAGTGGCTGAGTGGCTGGTTGCAACGAGTCACGCGTGATGGAGGGCGCACGTGAATTGCTGTGCGGACAGAATGCCGGTTGCCGATGAGTCAACCACCGACAGAGTCCGCTCGAGCTGGGAGAGAATCTGTATCTGCCCGTGGTACAAAGACTCATCCAGCTGCGGAGACATGCGCAAACACACACATACGCACAGAGGCAACACGCATGCCATTGTTACATAAATAACCGGAGTGATGCGTCCATCCAGCCAGTCACCTAAGGACCGGCTAGAAATGAGCTCTGGTTTGGTGACATGTACCTCTCCGTGTGTCTATTCGTCCGTCTGTGTATCCACCTGTAGGACCGCTGGCGGTGTGGTGTGGCCTTTGCGCCATCTCTCCGTCCACGAGTACCCTGCCATCTCTCTTTCAGTTTCTAGTGTTGTTGTTGTAATCTACGGTTGCAACCAGGAAAGCATACGCGGAGTCTCAAGACTCCTGTGCAGGAGGGTCCCGCCAAGTTTTTTTGCAGGAGATGATGATGTTGCTCAACGTAATCCCAAGATTGAGTAATTTGCAGATAACTTTTCAGCTTTGCGATGTTTGGTCAATACCGGTTACATTGTGTGTGGACTTATATTTAGCTATGGGGTAGGAAACCAGAAAACTTGGAGGAAACCCATGCAGAACAGGGGGAGAGAGAACATACAAACTCCGCACACACTCACACTCATTCACTCACACTCTGCAGAACAGGCGGAGAGAGAACAAATATACAGCAGGCATCAGGGTCGGTATCGAACCCACGACCTCCTACATACCAGGCGAGGTAGTTAACATTTCCTAGCCACCGTGATGATGATGATGATGAGAGACACAAACTCCAAATATACAGCAGCAGGCGTCGGGGGTCGGGATCGAACCCACGACCTCCTGCACACCAGGCGAGGTAGTTAACATCTCATAGCCACCGTGATGATGATGATGATGAGAGAGAGACACAAACTCCAAATATACAGCAGCAGCAGCAGGCGTCAGGGTCGGGATCGAATCCAAGAGCTCCTGCACACCAGGCGAGGTAGTTAACATCTCATAGCCACCGTGATGATGATGATGAGAGAGAGACGCAAACTCCAAATATACAGCAGCAGCAGCAGGCGTCAGGGTCTGGGATCGAACCCACGACCTCCTGCACACCAGGCGAGGTAGTTAACATCTCCTAGCCACCGTGATGATGATGAGAGAGAGACGCAAACTCCAAATATACAGCAGCAGCAGGCCGTCAGGGTCTGGGATCGAACCCACGACCTCCTGCACACCAGGCGAGGTAGTCAACATCTCCTAGCCACCCTGGCGCCCAGGTACGACGAGTGCCACCGCCGTGCCGCCCCGCGTCCGATGCGTCAAGAGTGCGGCGGCACTGCCAGGGTGCGGCGTACCTCTCCGTCGAGGATGGAGAGGAAGAGGCGGATGGCGCCGGCGCGGTCGCGGTGAGCGCGGCACGCGGCCCGCACGCCGCGCGCCCACTCGGCCCCACGGCCGCGGGCCGACGACCCCTCGCCGCCCGCTGCTGCCCGCGTCTCCCCAAAGTTCACCAGAAAGTGCGACAGCTCCGAGCGAACACCGGCCTGACGGTGGTGGGGGACACGCGGCGGTGGTGGCGGTGATGATAGTGGTTGTCATGTGGATGGTGATGGTGGTGATGGTGGTCATTGTCATGTTGATAGTGATGGTGGTGATGATAGTGATTGTCATGTTGATGGTAATGATAGTGATTGTCATGTTGATGGTGGTGGTGGTGGTGGTGATGATAGTGATTGTCACGTGGATGGTGGTGGTGATGATAGTGATTGTCATGTTGATGGTGATGATAATAGTGATTGTCATGTTGATGGTGATAATAGTGATTGTCATGTTGATGGTGGTGATGATGATAGTGATTGTCATGTTGATGGTGGTGATGGTAGTAATTGTCATGTTGATGGTGGTGATGATAGTGATTGTCATGTACATAGTGGTGGTGATAGTAATTGTCATGTTGATTTGGGTCGGTAGTGATTGTCATGGTGATGGTGGTGATGATAGTGATTGCCATGTTGATGGTGGTGGTGGTGATGATAGTGATTGTCATGTTGATGGTGGTGGTGATGGTAGTGATTCTCATGTTGATGGTGATGGTGGTGATGATAGTGATTGTCATGTAGATAGTGGTGGTGATGATAGTGATTGTCATGTTGATGGTGATGGTGGTGATGATAAAGACAATCAGCATCACCATCATTATCATCAACATCCTACACTGACGAATGTAACAACAGGAATGATGATTCTTACAAGACACTGGAGATTAAAATGACTGCCATGATGATTTACAAGTTAGTATCGACTATATAAATATTTGGTTGTGAGAATTGTTCTTTCATTTACCGGTGAGCGAGGTGACACAAGAATAATAATCGGTGCATCATTAAACGCTTGTACACCGCGTGACAATTCAATTCGTCTGGCCATGTTGGGTGGCCGGGGTGTCAACAACAAGCACTTGGTCAAATAATCACGTGGCCTCACCCAAATATCAATTGTGAATCGTGAAGATCAACTGGCTGATATGATGATGACGACGACTGTGACTCTCCACTGATATACATTTTAAACGTGTTTAACAACACACACAAATGTGTGCAGCGTCGCACGTGCAAAAAAAAATAACACCTATCGGCCTTATCCAGACCACCGGCTCGACAGAACTGAATGCGTGGCCATTCTGTCGCTCAGAACCACCGACTAACCCTCGTGCGCTTCGAGTCGGTGGTTCTCAACGACTCAAATGGCCACGCGTCCAGTCGTCTTGAGCCGGCATGTCTGGACAAGGCCGAGCGCTTTTGCACATGCGATGGCGCACCGGTACTTTCGCTGCGATGGGTTCCTCTCGTCATCTACAGGCGCGACCGACGGACAGAGCGGACGACAACCCTGAAAGAGGGAGGAGAGAGAGAGGGAGAGCGGCCGTCGGGAAGCTCACCGCGCCATCGTCCGCCCGCTTCTCCCTCCACACGTCTCGCACCACGGCGCACAGATCCTCCACGCTCCAGGCCCCGTCGGCTCCACCGCCCTGCGACGGCGTGAGAGGGGACGGGCCGCCTCATCGACTGATCTCTTCATTCGTTTTCGACGTTGCTTGGTCGTAGGGGTTTTCATTGACTCGGCGTGTGCGTTGGGCTTCTGTCACGACGTGACAAGCCAACTGCGTAAATGGGATTTGGTCCTCATGTATAATTAACGTACAGCGTTGTGGGATGCTGTTGGCATGAATGACGCGATATAAAATGAAAGTATTATTATTTCATATTCTTAGTTTTTTCGGTAAAATCACGTTGAAGAGAAACAACAAAATAATAAAATATATACAAAACAATATATTTTATTATTTTGTTGTTTCTCTTCAACGTGACTTTACCGAAAAAACTAAGAATATGAATTACTGCAGTCACGAAAGCTTTAAATCAAAAGTATTATTATTTGTTTCATGATGGTTCCGCAAGAGTGTGTCTCCACCACGGGGGGAGCTCAAGAGAGACCCTCTACGAGGGTGCTTGGCCTACTCTTCCACGCTGACGCCCCAGACCTCTTTAAGAGGTGGGAGTAGCCACGCTTCACCCCACCGCTCCACGCGCCACCTGCCGATTGTCTAAGCATCATAGCCTCTTAACCGGGCCTCGCAAAAAGTGGAAATGAAATCATGATTACGTTTGTGTACCCAGGAAAACCTCACTGAGTCTCTACTCTTGTTCTCGCAGTAGGGGGCGATAGTGCTCTTGGGTAAAAAAAAAAAGTGTCAGCATTGGGATGTTCGGCCAATTCCAGTTACACTCTTTTTGGTGTCAACTCTGGGAGGAAACGCGTAGCGAACCCATGCAGAGCAGGTGGCGGAGGAGAACATCCACACTCCACACACGGACAGGCGCCCCGGTCGGGAATCGAACCCAGGCCCCTTCTAGCTGCGAGGCCCGAGTGTCACCGCTGCGCCACCCTGCCGCCCCAATGACAAAAACGCTCCAGGGAACAGCAGCACCACCACCTCTTGGTCAGCGTTGTCCTCGGTGAAGCCCGGGTTGGAGACTCCCGTCACCTCTGCGAGCAGCAGCTTCATGATCTCCCCGCTGCTCCTGCCCTCGCACAGGTGAGTCCACCTGTCCACTCCACCCTCAATCACGGCTGCAGGTGAACAGGGGGGGCGGTGGCGGTGGGTTGGGGGAGGCATGTGGGGACACACGTGAATTCACGCACCCGCATACCGCACACGCACAGGTGTGGATTAAGTGCGACGTGTTAGCCTGCGTTCCCCATACACATGACACACACATAGGACCGGATGAACCTTCATGCGCTAACCACTGCGCCACCTCTACCCATACACCCCTTATTAGTACAATAGTCACCCTATATCTGTTTAATCTTTCTGCAACTTAATTGTAACTGCGCTACGATCAGTCTCAAAATAATCTGCCCGAGCCGACTCGCGCTACAGGTAATGTATCATTTAACAGTGAATTATCTCTGCGCATAATTTTAGATTTGTCATGTGACACGGTTGCTTTTGGTGCTGTGCTTCATTTTCCTTTTGTCACATTTGGTGACCCAGGTCACCCTTGAGCTCACAACTGGCCAAACGAAAACAAACTCACCCCCGCACTCCTCCCACGGAGGCCTGGGCGTGGAGTTCCACCGCAGGGCCTCCACCTCCGCGCTCAGCCCGTCCCTCTGCTGCAGGAGCTGCTCGTGGAGCTCCAGCAGGGAGCCGTGCTCCTGCTGGAGCAGCAGCAGGTCCCTGTCGCGGAGCTCCGCGTGGCGGGCCAGCGCGGCGTGGCTGGCCGCCAGGGCCTCGTGGTCGCGGCGCGGCACCACGTCGGCGTAGTCGGCCCTCGCGCACGTCAGCTCGTCCTGCACGCGCGACAGGTCCTGGCGGGCCACGTGCAGCGCCAGACGCAGGCCCACGGGGTCGGCCCAATCGTCCTCTGGCGGGAGGCGCAAGGGAAGTAGGGGGGGGGGGGGGGGAGGGGGGGTTAGGGTTCATTAGAATAGGAATCGTTATTATCGCTTTTGTAAAGAGTGTTTGTTTACCTTGGGAAAAGTGTCACTCTTTGCGTTCTTAAAACCGATTTGCAGGAGCGTCCTTTCGAGTTCTTTGCAGCACGGGGCAATGTCGCTGCCACGTGTACTCCCAACTGAGCGATTCACTTGGTGATTTTTCAACATTGCGATGTTTTCGCCAATAGCAGTCATATTACAGGCATGGTGGGGGGGGGGGGGGGGGGGGGAGTAGTTTTGAGGAGAAACGAGAACACACAAACTCCACACACAGCAAGGCACCCAAGTCGGGAATCAAACCCAGACCCTTCAAGCTGTGGGGTAAAATCGCTACCCCTGCGGCACGCCGCCGCCCTGATTTTTCATTTATTTATTTACCACGCGGCCCTCCTTTACACCGGGAGCCTCAGAGTGCTTTACACACGGTATGCGACTGACACCACATTTCATCCAAAACCTTCGGAGGGCACCCCCAGTGGCAGCTGTCCCTGTGCTGCACAGTGGTCACCGCCTCGCGCGACGCTTTCAGGCGCGCTTCTGCGGCCATCTGGAACGCTTTCTTCCGATATGAGGAAGCCACTGAAGCTACGTACTTTCGAATTATCTAGGTTGAAAACGAATTTCTTTCGAACTGCTATATTGTGTGTGTTAGTTTGTTGTCCTTCCCCCGCACCTCCGATTAGCACGGTTGGTTACGTACGGTGCGATATAAGTTCAACGTACGTAAGCACCTGCGGGCATAAGGCTGCCAGCACAGGGCAATATTGCTGCGTGGTTTGATTATGAACTACGGACGATGATGCCATTCGAACGCCATTCTGTCGATTACTCCGGGAAACATTTAGCGCAGCAACTATGCTAACGAGTAATAGTTATTCATTGGTAACTTTTAATTATTGTTTTTTGTTATCTCGTGAACATTTATTAGTCAGGAAATGCAAAACGAAAACTTAATTGAGCAACAATATTCACAATGTGGGTCACTGCGCGTGCCACCGTGTGGGGAGTGGTGGCGCAGTGGTACGCGCCATCGCGCTGCGAACCCAGCGACCAGAGTTTGATTCCCATTCACAGCCAACATCGGTGATGAATATCTGTTGCTGGGCCTCGCCTATGACGACTCGGCATTAAATGAACACCTGTCGCAGTGTTGTGTAAACATCAGCGCTGGGGAGACACAGGCTGCGGTGCCGAGCACACCAGTCAAGAGTCTGCCGTGTCAGCCCCTTTAAGTGCTCGCTCATCGCACTCGCCCCAAGAGCCTGTCTCAGGCCATGTGGGGGGGATCTTTGTCTGTGCTTTGTCACCGTGTGCCTGCAAGCGCTGCGCATTCTCCTGCAGCGCCCTCAGCTCCAGGATCTCGTTGTTGAGGAGTCGCCGAGCGTCGGACTCGTCGCGCCTCCGCCGGTACTCAGCCGACAGCTCCTCCTTCAGACGCTCCACCTGCCAGCCGGGGGAGGGGGGAGGGAGGGAGGGAGGGAGGCAGGGAGGGAGGTAGGGAGGGAGGCAGGGAGGGAGGGAGGTAAGGAGGGAGGGAGGTACCAACGGTTGCAGAGACTTGGCCGAGTGACTCGGGAGTCGGAGCCACTGAGCCAGCACCGCTAAGTCCATGTGTTCGACACCCAGTTTCGCAGGCAAAGGGGCGGAGGGGTGAAGCCAACAGAGAGGATAGAGTGAAGAGTTGTAAATGTGAGCGCACGAAAATTTGAATGTGAATGAGAGTGAAGAAAAGGATGAATGTGAATGTTAACATCTCGGTGGCGAGATGTTAACTACCTCGCCTGGTATACAGGAGGTCGTAGGTTCGATCCCGACCCTGACGCCTGCTGTATATTCAGAGGTTGCATGTTCTCCCCATGGTGGTCGCATGGATTTTTCTCCGGGTCCTCTCGTTTATACCTCCACATTTATAATCAACGTGAGTTTAGAATATTTGGCTGCTATAAATGTCCACGTGATAAGCCACTTTGTTGACCATTTGTGATCAGCTCGCTTCTGAAAAGATATCCGTATAGCTCAGCAGTAGGCCTTACCTGGTAAAATAAAAAAATAGTATAAGCTCGTAGTTTATTTTAGAGTTGTATGAGAGAGGTGTGATGCGATTAGAGACGCGAATGTGTATATGCGTGTATGTTGAACTTCTTTCGCACCATACGTAGCCAACCGCGCTAATCGTAGGTGTGCAATGTTCGCTGCAAGTAAGAAGTCACGGGACAGACCCAGCAGGTGCCATGGGCTGACTGAGATGATGCACCAGCTGTGCTCCCCACTGTGCTTACTCGCACCGGCGCGCCACTCATTGCTGTTCGCAGCATTCCTCTGCCCTCTGCCAACGAAGAGGGGCAGAGGTAATCGAGACCGAACGGCTGTAGATTCAAGCGAGAGAGCAGAGGGGTCTGCGCGCGTACAGAGAGAGAGCTCGAGAGAGACGGGGACGTGCGTGTGAGTGAAACGCGCGCGTGACGCCGAGGGAGACACAGAGCGGACGTGCGGACCGCCGGCACCTGCAGCTGCGCCGCGTCCGTGCGCCCGCTCTCCTCGTGCAGGCGTCGCGACAGCTCGCGGTTGTCCCGGCGTAGCCGCGCGGCCGCGTCGCCCTCCTCCCGGCGTGCGTCCACCCCCTCAGCCGCCCGCCGCTCGCTCTCCGCGACGAGCAGCCCCCGCAGCGGCTCCAGCTGGGCCACGCGGCGCCGCAGGTGGCCTGGCGGCGGCGGCGGCGGCGCAGAGGGAGGGGAGCGCGTGGGTTAATAATGAATGTAATAATGAATGACATCGCGACGGTTAAATGTCGATTTAAAGCTTTCGTGACTGCAAGGATTCATCTTCTTTGGCTCTTTCACGTTCTACGTGACTTGACCGAAAGAACCAAGGAAGATTGCGACGGTCGTTTAGCCAGCAAAGCCTCGCTGAGCCGCGAGACAGTATTTTCAGGGGGGTCCTGCCAATTTTCCACAGGATGGGGAGATGTCGCGAGTGCGTAATTGCAAGCGAGTCATTCGCGGTGTCGTTTTTTTCGAATTTGAACCATAACGCTGGCACACATCTTTAATGTCCACTGTGAAGCAGACGGCGCATAAGTGCACGGTGAATACATCTGCAGTATTTGACCCCACGGACCTCTGCAACGAGCGGCCAACGAGCTTTCGCTAAGCACAGATTTTAAGTGGAAAGGCGCGCATGTGCACATGCACGCGTGCGCACATCCACACGCATATCTGTGTGTGTGGGGAGCAGTGGTGCAGCGTTTAGCGCACGGCGGCTACAAACCCGGCGTCCCGAGTCCGGTTAACGCTCACAGTCAACACCAGGGAGGATTATCTGAGTCCTGGGCCTCCCCTAGGTCAACTCAGCCTCAAATGAAGAGTACCTGATGGGTAAATACCGCCACTGGGGAGACAAAGGCGGCCTGGCGTGGCGCTGGCCACCCACCCTCTCGTGTGCTGTGTCGGCCATCATAGGTGCTGCTCACTAACGGCACTTGCCCCAACAGTCTGTTCAGGCTATACGGGGGATCTTTGTCTATGTTGGACATCGCGACTACTCCGTACCTAACGTGGCTTCGTATTCGCACTTGATTGCTGCCAGCAGTGGCTTGTAGGTTGTGAAATTTTCGATGATGCAATTGAACGCCTCTCGAAAAGCCTGCAAAGGATCGTACAAGAGACACCAACTTTACTGTCACACTGCCGGCAAGATTAGCACGGTTGGCTACGTACGGTGTAAAAGTATTTCAATATACATACAACAATAAAACTGTATCAGCATAACTACTGTAATAACATTTATTGAACAGAGATTAACGAATAGGTAGATTGCAAGGTGCCTGAAAGAACAATAGAGTAAGTTGCTGATGGAATTACTCAATTACTGATGCCTTGGTAACTAACTTAAAGGATGAATTAATTGATAAATGAGTGGCTGGGTAATTAACTAGATGAGTGGATGACTAGATGCACGAATGACTGATTGAATGGATGATTTCGTGAATGACTGCAAGACTGGATGACTGGGCGCCTGGATGACTTCATGACCATATTAATGAATGAGTGAGTGATTGAGTGACTGGATGATTGAATGACTGCGTGACTGTGTGACTTGGTGAATTAATAAATGGATGACTGAATGGTTGGGAAATTTAATGAAAGACTGAATGGGTGATTGGACGACTGCATGGCTAGGTTGCAAAATGAGTGAAAGAATTATGCAATTGGAGTGGTAAACAATACCTGGAGTCGAAGCTCCTGTGCGGCCAAATCCAGGTCCTGTGAGTCTGGGTTCAATGATTTGAGTGTCCCCAGCTCCTGTAAGTTATCATTCGCAAACAAATGCGAAATTACATTAATTATTCACAGTAGTTATTACCATTAGCCCGTGTTTGTATTGTCACTGGGTAACTAAATGATCGGATGAATGATCTTCCCATGGAACCACCCACCTACCTACCCACTCATCGACCCACAAACCCATCCACCTCACTGCCCACCCTCCTACGATCGTGCGTATCCAACCACTCACCTACCAATATTACCTACCCACCTGCCCATCCACCCTCCCACCCAGTGAGTAGGTGGGTGGGTGGGTAAGTTGGTTGGTGGGTGAGTTGGTTGGTGGGTGAGTTGGTTGGTGGGTGAGTTGGTTGGTGGGTGAGTTGGTTGGTGGGTGAGTTGGTTGGTGGGTGAGTTGGTTGGTGGGTGAGTTGGTTGGTGGGTGAGTTGGTTGGTGGGTGAGTTGGTTGGTGGGTGAGTTGGTTGGTAAGTGGATGAGTGAGTGCGTTGTTGTGACCTGCAATGTCGCGGGTTCGATCCCGACCCTGACGCCTGTATATATTTGTAGTTTGCGTGTTCTCCCCGTGATCGCATGGATTTTTCTCCAGTTCCTCTGGTTTTTCCCTCCACATTTTAGAAACACGTGTTTACAGTATTTGGCTGCTCCGACAAATTTCCACTCTCTAAGTCACTTAATTGCGCTATCGGTTGTGGCCAGGTCGCTTCTGAAAAAGAGCTATATAGCTCAATGGGCCTTGCGTGGTAAAATAAAAGAAATAGCTTAGTTTTAGTTTCCTTAATGTGATGGTTCAACAGTGTGGATGAGATAAAATGATGTGGCCAATGTTTCTGCACAGCGTCTTGAGACAATAAGAATAATAATTTGTTATTGATCTAGCTCCCTTCATGTCAGGAGGTCATGGGTTCGATCCAGACCCTGACGCCTGTATATTTGCAGTTTGCACGTTCTCCCCGTGGTCGCGTGAATTTTTCCCCCACGGGGTTCCCTCGGTTTTTCTCCCCTCCGCATTTAGAAACAAACGTACATTTTGAGTATCTGGCTGCGATACATTTCCCCGCGAGAAGCCGCTTGCTGAGCAGTTAACCCGCGGGGGAACTGTGGAACTGTGCGTGGACCAGCAACGAATCAAAGCCCTCACGGTCAGCTCTCGAAACCTCCGGAGAAGAGACTACGAACGGCTGGCGGAGCGGTCCCCTCTTGGTCGCCACCACGGCCACCCACCTGCCTGAGGTCGGCCTCCAACTGCTGCAGGAAGCGCGGCTTTGCAGAGGGGTGCGAGGCCGGCGGGTAGGGGGTCCCGTGAGGCCTGCGGAGGCCCCGGGAACACTCGGAGGGGCCCGGTGCCTGGGGCGAAACGGCCAGAGGACCCGCTGGCCACACGGACAGCTGAGCCGAGCCCACCGGTGGCTGTGGGGAAGAATAATGATCATAATTTTTACGTTTGACAACAGAGCTCTCTTTCCCAGTAATGTTTATGTTTGTTATCCTTCCACCGCACCTCCGATTAGCACGGTTGGCTACGTACGGTGCAAAATAAGTTCAACATTTGCACATGCTGCAGGTCACAATATTCCATGCATTGAATCCTCTTCCCATGTTGAGGACTCGATATGCCAGCCTCATCCGCACTGTGTTTAAACACCACACTGCAGGTCACAACACACTCATCCACTCTCACTTACTTACTCATCCTCTCACTGACCCACTCCTCACCCACCCACTCACCACACTGCAGGCCAAAATACTTCACACCCCCCACCCCCTCGCACTGCACAACAAAACAAACTTGAGAGAAACCTGAACGAAAGAGGTTTGTGGAATTGAGCAGGATTATTGCAAGAATTTGATAAAAGAGGCGATGATGGCAGGAGGGGAATCCAAAGTGGAGCAGTGCGCTGCAAGAATCAGGAAGAGAAGCGGGGTGACCTTCAGTGTGGTGAGTTAGTGAGGAGTGTGTTGTTGTGACCTGCAGTGTGGTGAGTTAGTGTGTGTGTGTTGTTGTGACCTGCAGTGTGGTGAGTTAGTGAGTGTGTTGTTGTGGCTTGCAGTGTGGTGAGTTAGTGTGTGTGGATGTGTTGTTGTGACTTGCAGTGTGGTGAGTTAGTGTGTGTGTTGTTGTGACCTTCAGTGTGGTGAGTTAGTGTGTGTGTTGTTGTGACCTGCAGTGTGGTGAGTTAGTGCGTGTTTTGTTGTGACCTTCAGTGTGATGAGTTAGTGTATGTGTGTTGTTGTGACTTGCAGTGTGGTGAGTTAGTGTGTGTGGATGTGTTTTTGTGACCTGCAGTGTGGTAAGTTAATGTGTGTGTTGTTGTGACCTGCAGTGTGGATGGGACAAAACTCAAGTACATTACAACCTTGTCCATGCAATGCTCATATAGCTGTGTTATATGTCCCTTTATGTGACTGAAAAACCTAAATAGAGCGTAAAAACCAATAACGCTTGTCCTCCATAGATAAACATTATCGGCTCGCTGCACAACAGATGTCACACCTTTGCAGCAGCCAGCGTTGGGGCTGATACTGCTGTTGCATGGTTGGCACTTTAGCTCGTGATGCCGACATTGGCCGAATGGCCCGTGACCGATCTCGGATCTGAGACGCTAAGCAGTGCCGAGTCTGGGTAGTTTTTACATGCAGGGCCGTGTTACCCAATAGGCCACGGTCGGCACTTACAGGTTTTATGTTGTATCATAAAAAAAATGTAATCAAGATATCTTCTTGAATAAATATATTCACATGGACTTTTGGCGTCCTCTGGTCTAGCACCTTTTGAGACGAGGCTCCACAGAGAGCTATTTCTGGTGTGGACCAATCAGTTTAAAAGACAATGCCAATATTATCAGAGTATGTTTTTTGTTTGCATTCATGATTCCCTTTAAAAGGTTTCAGTTTGGTGGTTTAACATCTTAACACAGCTGTTTTGTTGCCATAAAAAGGGGAAAACCTATTCTCAGGTATCGAGTAATCAACCTTAAAATAACACAGTCGTAGAGTACAATATTTAGTCAAGTATAGTCGTAAAACGGAATGAATGGACTTAACCCTTATCCGTTCCGAGGCGTGTGCAAGTTGCAGGGTGGGTGTCCCGTTCACCTCTGAATCTCGGAGCGTGCAAGCGGCTCAGCGTTAATTTTATTTAGAGAAGCGTAGTAGCGCCGTTTTTGAAGACATTGTTACTCACCGCAGAGAACTGTAGCGACACGACCACCGCCACTCTACGATGGCTGGCGCCAACACCGTGCCACACGCAGCCCTCCCGCGTGGCCTTGTGGGAGCCTCGATACCGATAACGTTATTTTATTTTAGTTTTTCTTCCGGTTTCGTTTTGATTATGTACACGTACGTCATTGGAACGGACTTGGATGAAAAAACTGATGACGCACACGTAGAATTACGTCATCGGAACGGGTTAATTGCATGCTCATCCCAAATCCTACTGACCTCGATGAAGTCTTTTGGAGGCAGCTGATGAGGCACTGCACCCGAAAGCTGGTAACAATTCAACGGCTTCATACCGCTAAACACACGCGTGCATTCACAATCAGAATAAGAATATTTATACCGGTGGAATCCGATGAGCTGTAAAGCTCTTTTTTCAAAGATGTCCAGTAGGGGCATGGGTTCAGAACGTTATGACAACAAACACAATACACAAACACAGACACCGGTTTCACACAGTAAAAACGTGCACAACTTCACTATGGAACACCGAGGTGGAATAATGATGCTATCCTTGCGTATGATGGGCAACAGCAATGAGTTGAGGAGCTCGATGCCAACGTCGAGGTCTGCTGGCTATCACGGGAGGGCTTCAGGAGAGGACTACCGTGTAGTTATTCAGTTTACTATTCCGCTGAAGAAGAGAAAACCACATTGGTTTACGATACGGTCCAATATTTTGGGCTGAATGGCCGCAGTCGCACCACTGTGGCTTGTAATCTATGATGTATCTCCATGGATGTTCTATGGGTCTCACTGTGTATCAATGAATCTCTATGGGTCTCTATGTATCTCTATGAGTCTCTTATGGATTTACTATATTGCATGGTCAAAATCGCACTACCGTGCTGTGGCTTGTCTTTAATGACAGTATTTCCATTTAAATAACAATTGCTGCATGTAATTACGTCAATGCCAAGAGACATATACGGTATATAGGTTTCCCAAAAGCTCCAGTTTGTAGGTATGTTGAACTTCTTTCGCACCGTACGTAGCCAACTGTGCTAATCGGAGGTGTGAGGGAAGGACAACAAACTAAACACGAAAATAAGTTCTGAAGACATGAGTTTTCAATGGAGATTATTTAAAAGTTTAAAGACATCCGCAAGCGTGACCGATACCTGCCAACCCCTTATCAGTGCCCTACCTTATTACAGAACAATTCAGACCATATTGGTCGCCCCGTGCCCCTTATAAAGCTCAACGTTCATCCTTTCAAAGTCCCATCACAAGGGAGAAACACAAACAAATAGACAAAAACAAATTTGCCGGGAAAGTTCCATCACAAGGGAGAAACACCAAGAAATAGACAAAGTATTTTCTTTGGCTCATTTTCCCTGCACTAGAATACGGGTAAACCGTATGGGTTGACAGCGATGGTGACTTAATGCACCGTTTATATTAAGTTCAGACAATATCAACACCGACACGGGGGCAGCTGTGCCAAGAGACATGGGAAACTGGAAAGCGCCCGATCGAAACGTCGTGATTTGTTTTATATTTTATTTTTTATGACTTTACCGAAAGAGCCAAAAAGTATGGTAAGCGCCCTTCAGAAGACCGACCCATGTGAATGATTATAAATGTGTTAGTTTGTATTATTAACATATTCGTTATGACTCATTATGAATACATTAATAATGAATATGAATACGTATTTATTATAAGTAATAATAAAAATAGGCATAGTGCATATTCATTAGGCCGTATATGAATAATGAATATTCATTAGAATTTTTATTTATATATTCACTGTTTTCATAATACATTCATAAGGTTATTGAGTACAATCATAGTAACGTTTTTCGGGATAAATCACGTAAATGTGTCGTAAATCCACCTCCACCCGACACAAGCCAATCAGCGAGGTTTGGTCACGTGAACAGAACGTACCTATTAGTTACAACTTCAGCACCACCGGTGTATTGGAGAGCAAACCCACGACAGTAGTTTTAGTAGTGACAAACCCTTGCTAATTGTCTGTCGGGCGGGTGGTGGAGGGCGTACGACACATTTACAAGATATAACAACCAAGCGTGTGACCACACACCTGTACAGCCGTTTCAATACAGGCAATAAAAATTGTGTTGTCTATGTGTTTGTGTTTCACCCTTGTGATGGGACTTTGTAGGATGAACTTTGAGATTTATAAGGGGCACGGGGTGACCAATACGGTCTTAAATTGGTCTGTAATAAGGTAGAGAGGGCACTGATAAGGGGTTGGCAGGTATGTAGTAGTGTTTAGTGTAGCATATTGTAGTTTACAGTGTAGTGTATCGTAGTGTATAGTAGGGCACTGGTAAGGGGTTGACAGGGATATGTTACCATGAATAACAATTTGTCGCGCGAAAACCTGCGTGTTATTCACGAATGCATTTTGAGACGCGAAACTCGTTTAAGATGTCAAGGAGAGTTCATGGAGGGTGGTGGTGGGTCAGTGGGACGTGCACTATCGCAACATTTTAATCTTTTTTTACTTAATATTTTTTCGCTTAATCTTTTTCTTAATATATTTTTTGGGTGAGGTGAGAATTTCTCTCACCTGGGGATCGATGTCCCCCGACCGCCGGGCATGGCACCTGCGTCACCCCGCACACAACGAGCTCACGTTTAGATTAGACAATAACAACAACAACACAGCAATAATTGTGGTAAATAAAATAAAAAAAACGCTTTGAAGATCGATTCAACTACACCCGCTATACAGTCTACGACAACGACTGTGTACGCCGGTTGCTAGGGTTACCGGTTTGCATTGTTGCTATGGTTACCGGTTGAAAGGACCCCCAGAGGGGTGTCTATTTCATTGCCAGTTGAATTCGGTCAATAAGGGGTAGTGGGGGTCTTAGGAGGTGACACTTGTGTCAAATAAATTACGTAAAAAAATTATATTGCATAAAAAAAACATCTGGTCGTTTGCTACGCTTAAAAAAGTACGCAGGGTATGCCCGGCGTTTCGTGCGCGAGTTAACGCAATCTAATTCGCACAGGCAGTACAAAGGACAGCTACCACGGATTGGTACAAGGCGGAGAGGACATGCACCGCTTTTAGATCCGAACAATGCCTGTTGCGAGGTGCTTAAGCATGCACCTCAACCACATCAATTCCATACACCCAGCCATCAAATTCACCATAGAGGTAGATGCGGGTAGCATGCTCTCTTTCTTGGATGTCCTCATCATGTTGAAGTACCGAGTTAGACTGATGGCTTTAATCTAAGTTGTCTTGTGGTTGTTGTTGTTTTGATTTAAAGCTTTCGTGACTGCAGGGATTCATATTCTTGGTTCTTTCGGTAAAGTCACGTAGAAGGGAAACAATACAATAATAAAAAATATAAAACAATTAAATTATCACAACGTTTCGACTGCAACACAAGCGATCATCATCAGGTGTGAAAACCACAGCAAGAAATTTTGAAAAAAGTGGCGGTTTTCACACCTGATGATGATTGCTTGTGTTGCAGTCGAAACGTCGTGAGAATTTTATTGTTTTATATTTTTATTATTTTATTGTTTCCTTTCTACGTGACTTTACCGAAAGAGCCAATAATATGTTGTTGTTGTTTGACTTGCATCCCACTGGGATTGTTTGCACACAGCGTTGGTGTACGATGCTTTTTCTGGAAGATTTTTGCTGTTTTTTCCTGGATTTTTCTGTTTGCGCAGTCACATAGTCACTTTAAGATGTTTTCTTGTTCATGTTTTTGTTTTTTGTTTGTTGCGGTTGCACCCGTTTCAAGAGCCGAATGGCTCACAGGGCAGAATGGCTCATTGAGACCAGATGGCTCAATGAACCATTCTGTCTCCAGGAAAGTAACCCATACTGACGCCTAACTCAAAACTGACTCCCACCACCATCGATCCCAGAATAATTCCCTCATCAAAACGCTACACCACAGAGCTCAATGTATCTCCGACCATGAACACCTAACCAGTGAACTCAAACACGTACACGAAGCTCTCAAGGCGAATGGATAGTCTGACTACACAATCCGCAAAGCCATCACCCCAACCGCGAGGAAGGAGCCATCTGAGGATCCAATCAAAACCATCACCTTGGCATACACGGCAGGGGTCACCAAAAAGATATCCTAAATCAAACACAAGATCCAGGTCCGATTTAACACAGTACATAAAATGTGTGATCTGATCCCATCTGTGAAGGACACGATTCCTGACATGCAATACCCCGGCGTCTACAAACTAAGCTGTGTCTGCGGCATTATATTGAGGAAAATCAGTGACATTTCTCGGACAGTGTTCGTGAGCATGAGGCAGATTTGAAACACGGTCGGACCAATACTTCTGCCATGGCTGATCATTATTTTAATGCGGCTGGCTCACACGAAATTGATTTCTCTAAGACGATGGTACTTTGCAAGCCCACTGGATATCAACAAAGATTCGTTCATGAAGCCATCCATTTATACAGACACAATTTCAACCGAGAGGATGGTTATAGACTCAGCAATCATTGGAAAGATGTCATCAACTACTTTGGGTGCCGTCCATAAATGACGTCACGCGAATTTGGACGATTTTTGACCCCCCACCCCCTTCGTCACACGGCGTCACAAAAAGTCAGACCCCCCCCTCAAATATGACGTCACAAAGCTCTGCCCCCCCCCCAATTTTTTTTAAACATGCTTCAAATCGCTTTAAACTATTGTCATTGTAGTGCGTATTTAATGTGGCGCTGCACTCTGATGTTGTAGGAGAAAACATTTATAAAAAAAAAGTATATTGAATTAAGTAGACCGTGTTGTCTATATTTATTTAAAGTTGCGCATTTTTATGTGACGTCACATTTCTCAACCCCCCCCCCCCCCTCGTCACAAATCGTCACAAATGTCTGACCCCCCCCCCCCCCCCAGGTGCGTGACGTCATTTATGAACGGCCCCTTTGGGTCGTAACTTGATTTGTGTCGTTTTCTTGTTGTCTTGCCCCAGGGCACATATGCCCCGCCCACTTCGTTCTGACACGGAGACGTTTTGTGACACTGCATGTTCCGTGCTTCACATTGGTGCTCTCTGACCCCAGGGCACACATGCCCCGCCCACTTCGTTGCGCGGCAGGAGCTTTTTCTCTTGTGCCACGCCCATTTTTGAAACCTCTATAAACGGTTGCCTTAGGTGACCGTCTCCCTCTTTCCTCCTGAAGACGATCGCTTGTGTTGTGACCGAAGCGTCGTGGGTTTAAAAAAAAAAAATATCTTTATTTTTTATCATTTTTATTTTGACTTAAAGCTTTCGTGACTGCAGGAATTAATATTCGTTGGGTCTTTCGGTAAAGTCACGTAGTTAGGTACAAAGAAAACACAAGCGTTCGTCATCAGGAACACTTGTGTTGCGATCGAAACCTATCGACGTGACTTTACCGAAAGACCCAAAGAATAGTTTGAATTTTATTTTTTGTTACTGAAAGAACCAATAATACGTCTACATTATAGACTGCCAGTACGCTCACTCAGGTTAAGAACCAGGCTACAGTCTACATTATAGACTGCCAGTACCCTCCATCAGTTTAATAACCATTGCTACAGTCTACATTATAGAATGCCAATACGCTCACCAAGCTTAATAACCAGGCTACAGTCTACTTTATAGACTGCCAGTACACTCACACTGATTAAAAACCAGGCTACAGTCTACATTAATGGGTTTTTGTTTTTTATTATTATTTTTATTTTATTTTTATCATTTGAATTTTATTCACTTTATTTTCATTATTATTTTTCTATCGAGCACACATACTCATGCAATAATCACCCTAAATAAACTTGTTATCTATTAACAACAACTATAATCATAAATCGTTATTTTATACATCACGCAATCAATAAAAAAAATGGTCCCAAATTGCTTGACAAAATAAAACAAACAAAAAAACATAGTACAATTACGCAGAGCAATAATAATAATTGCTAACCGATGCAGAAATCAAGAAGAAATCAGGATAGGAAGTCTAATTGGTTAAGATTACCACGTAGGAGGCTTTTGCGACCAATATCATCCATAATATAGATTCATTTTTTGGGGGGGGGAGGTTAGATCGCGTAAATATTTTGGGCTAGATCGCATAATTATTACGGATAATTATGGATAATTGGAAAAGAGTCGGATCTGGTGATTGAGTCCTCTGATTAGTGGGAGCGCCGTGTTCAGAATCACAATTTGACTAAACTGCGATGCGATTCTTCTAAACGCGAGTACTTAGGATTCTTAAGAACTATATATACTTTGCCACAAATGTCCACGTGATGAGCCACTCTGTTGATCTGATCATTCGCGGTCAGGTCGCTTCTGAAAAAATAAGTCAAATAGCTCAGTGGGCTCTACCTTTTAAGATAAAACATAACACGTAGCAAGCTTTCGCCACCAAAATTATTCATAATAAAGGTTTTTTTGGGGGGTATTAAATCGGACAAATCGCCCGATGATGCCGGATGTAATTACCAGCGAAACGTCGTACTACTCAAATTGTAAATGTTGTGGATTTACTCTCCAACACACCGGTGGGCTGAAGTAGTAAACTAACTGGCGTGTTTGGTTTACATGACAAATCCCTTACTGATTGGCCATTTCGGGTGCTGGAGGGTTACGACACATTTATACTTACGAGATCCAATCCAAAAACCATTATTATGAAGATGAAACATAGTTTACGTTTATTTGTATACATTTATTTTTAAAGCGATTTGTTTACCTTCTCTATACTTTGCACTCCTATCGTGTTTTTGTTTTTGTTTATTTTTGTAACGTTCTGACCACGTGCCCCGACTTGGACAAAGAGCTTTTTAGTTCATCAGATTCCTCCTGCGGCAGTATAAATAAAATATTCTGATTTTGATACTCCTATGAATGACGTCACAGGGAATTTGATGTCCGCTGTGAAGTAGACGGCGGGAAAAATGACCGTGGTTATTTCACAACCAGGACAGGCCGATAGATTCGAACCCACAAACCTCAGAAACAACCGCGACCCTGACGCCCGTTGTGTATTTGGAGTTGGCGTATCTCTCTCTCCGTGCTCGCGTGGACTTTTCTCCGGGTTCTCAGGTTTTCCCTCCACAATTATAAACGTGCGTCTAAAGTATTTGGCTGCGATAAATGTCCACTTGATAAGCCACTTCGTTGCGCTATCCTTTGTAGCCAGGTCGCTTCTGACAAAGGGCAATATGTAGTTCAGTGGACACTACCTGATGAAATAAAATAAAAGTTAATAGTAATTGAGCCATTCTGCCGTGGAATTGTTAAAATGTTAGCGAATGTGGACTGTGCCACCAGCACTCGTTTAGAACGAAGTCACGCGGATCCTTAACGTCCACCGTGACGCAGAAGGCGCTGTGGTACCATAAAGGCGCACTGCGACGGAATCACCGATCTTGCTGAAGGGTGCCTTGAATTGTGGTTCATAAAGACCCGCGGTATTAACCAGGGCGTCCTGCCAGATGATTACGAACCGCGAACCTCTGGAACAATCTAATCGCGGCCTTCAATCTCGACAGCTCAAATCATCGCCACAGAGGTGGTGGTGGTGGGGCGGGGCGATCGTCCAATCACCACTTAGGGCCCCTACGCCCTCTTGCCCCTTATCTCTAAAGGCTCCTTGCATTTAATCTCCAGACTGCGTTCACAATGACATCGCGACGTGAGATTTTCTCCGAGCTTCAAGTCTGCTTACCCTGGGTGGCCCCGCACATCTCCCGCATATAACAACGTAACGACGTATAACGGCGTCACGGTGAACGTCGTTTAACGTTCACTGCAGGGTGGCGTGTCGAATGCTTTTTTTATGGTTAGTACACTCGCAGTATTAACCAGGGCGGCCGTCTTACGCGAACCGCTGCCGCGATTATGTCTCCTTCTTCGTATTTGTGGATCGGGGTGGCATTAACGTTATACGCTGGCGCGGTCATTTCTGGACGCTACTGGACCTTTTTTTTTATGTCCATTGGTGCCTCAGGTATCATCCGCATCTCCTGCCATGGTTTGTCCGGTGGATGCGGTTTAGCGTGGGACCATGAGCAGCTTCGTGGAAGGTCAACCCCACAAGGGAATTTTCTTGCGTTTGGGTCTTTCACAATGTGGTGTGTCCGCATCCACTGGCGCGGTTTGTGCAGTTGATGGGATTTAGGAGTGGACCATGAGCAGCTTCGTGGAAGATTAAACCCCCAGGGAGTCGTCTGCGTTTGGGTCTTTCACAACAACGTGTTTGTTTGTGAGCTATTTTGAACTCCATTCATTGAACCGCGAACCCTCTGCAACGAATGGCAACCCCCCCCCCCCCCCCCACTGCTGGACCATGCACATCGTACAAGTAGTTATGTATGGAGCCCTGCACATTGGGTGGTGACAGCGCAGTGGTGACACTGAGGCCTCGCGCCAGCAAGAGCCTGGGTTCGATTCCTGACTCGGCCCCCTTGCTTTGCGGAGTTTGTGGATTCTCCCCCCCCCCACTCCCTGTTCTGCATGGGGTTTTCCTCTGGGATCCCAAGTCTCCAGTTTCCTCCCATAGCTAGAAGAAATCACACATCCACAGTGCAAATTTTGTTGGACAAACAACATCTCCAATGCTGAAACAGTACTTGCCAATTACTCAATTGAAAGCACACAGCAGAGGCAGAATTGCTCCCCTACTCTGAAAACTTGGGCACAACCCTCCTGAACAGGAGTCCTGATGTTCAGTATGAAGCTCTCCTGGGTAAACGAGCGGAACAATCGTCACAATCGCCGTGAAAACTTGGCCACGAAATTCCACATAAGTGGCTGCGGAGTGATACCAACGCGAGCAGATCAGGCCACCGTATCCCTACGTGGGTGACCGCACTTGACACGGGTGTGGGGAAGTTTTGCGCAGCCATATCATTTGAAGATGATGTCCATAAAAAGGTGTATTTACCCTCCGCCGAAAATTACCTCTTATCTAAATTGGATTATCGCTGCAGGACTTTGGCTCCGGATAAGAATGGGGCAATAACCACAGCATTGCAAGATCTAATCATGGGCATACTGTCTTCGAGCAAAGGTTTTCCTTAAGTGTACTCCAGACCGATGTGTGTTGTTGCCTCGGTCATGTTTTTAATACCAATTAGCTGGTCAAGGAACCCGTGGGATTTTGAATGTTCAAGGAAGGCCCTGTAGGTGCCATTCAAATGGTCTTTGGGATTGTTAATTCTAGATTTGAAGCTTTCGTGACTGCAAGAATTAATACTCTTTGGTTTTATTCGGTAAAGTCACGTAGGTAAAAAAAACAAATTAAAATAAAATAAACAATTGAAACACGACGTTTCGGAGGCAACACAAGCTTCCGTCTTCAGGTGGAAACAGTCACAGCAGCGATTTTTTTGCTGTGACTGTTTCCACCTGAAGACGGAAGCTTGTGTTGCATCCGAAACGTCGTGTTTTAATTGTTTCTTTTACTTAATTTTAATTTGTTTTTTACCTACGTGACTTTACCGAATAAAAACAAAGAGTATTTGGGGTTGTTGTTAAGTTATTTTTGGTTGGGTGTGTGGGTAGATTTTGTGATTTTTGTTGTTGTTGTGCGTGTGTCGTTAAGAGCCCTCCACCACCCGACGCGGCTAAATCGATTGAAACCGTCACGCGGTGTACGGCAGTGCCGGATGAAGTTCGTGTGGGGACCTGTAGCATGATGTTATAAAAGGGCCCTAAATTACTAAAAAAAACACACGTGAATATTAAAACACAAATTGTTTAATTGCATAGTAAAGAAATTGTATTTTTTTTTATTTGCTATACAGCCAGATAATACGACAAATCGCTAACCTTAAACACCCGGTCGTTCATAAAAGTTGAAGGCGGTATAGTACTATAGTAATATAGCGAGAGCAGAATCACTGAACCGGAATTGATAGCTCTAAAGCATTTAGCTCAACCCACCCGGTGAGTTGAGGTGACGGCCGCGTCTCGCGATTAGATGCGGGACTAAGTTTCGCTCACAACTGCGGCGAGCATCTTCAGGACGAGATCCGGAAAGTGAGGATAAAATCCGGGTTGAATTTATAATCCATAACAGAGGGCGGGGGGGGGGGTGGGTTCGATCGCGTAAGTGTATATAAATATATAAATGTGCCGTTAAACCCGCCACCACCTGACACGGCCAATTAGTAAGGTTTGTCACGTAAAGAGAACGTGGCCAATTCGTTACTACTACAGCAACACCGTTGTGTTGGAGAGTAAATCCACGTAAAATAATATTGGTAGAGAAAGCCTACGTGTTAACCCGGGCTGAATTTGTTTGGGCTATGTCGGGTGGTGGAGAGTATTCACGACATATCAGAATTGTTTATATTATTTCTGGCAATAAAGCATTTTGTGTTCAGATCTTAAAACACCAAACAGAAATCTTTTGCAAGGAATTAATACCATGGGACATTTCTTGCCAGATACTCGGCAGATGCTTGGCAAGACGGGTCCCATGGTATTGACGACGCATATTTTTTTCCAATATTACTAACACACGAATACATTTTTGAATGATATTGTCGGGAAGAAAAAAAAAACCGACGTGCGTGAAGATTGGTGAAACATTTTGGGTTTTGTGAGATATTTAGATATTTTGTTTTGCTCACGGCCATTATACACGATTGTGTGTTAGGCTAAGCCCACAGTGGCACCATACAGTCGAGTCATAAGCCTCAATGTCATCCCGATCACTTCTTCCTCGACACTCTGGTCCACACAGAACGGCCTGCGGAAGTGGATACCACAGAGCCACGTCTGAGATCACCTTCTTCTTATGCAAGTGACCACTCTGGTCCACACAGATTGCCCCGCGGAAGCGGATATCACAGAGCTACGTCTGAGATCCCCTTCTTCTTCTGCCAGTGACCACTTTGGTCCACACAAAACGGCCCGCAGAAGCGGATACCACAGAGCTACCCCTGAGATCCCCTTCTTCTACTTCAAGTGACCGCTCTGGCCCACACAGATTGCCCCGCGCAAGCCGATATCACAGAGCGGGCAGCACGCTCCGACCCTTCGAACTTCGCCCCGGGGCTGACGCCGCGGTGGTCAGGGCAGCCGAGGAAGGGAGCCAGAGTGCGCGCTCGGCTCATAAACGGTGTCCGCACGACGCGCACTAAAAATCCTTGAGCCACGTGGAACAAAGTTCAGTTTGTGCCATCGCTACCGGCACCTGCCCGAGCCAGCGCGGCGAAGTTACCGGTCCACCCCCCGAGCCGGAGTGCGGCTTGCGGCAATCCCAAACGGGGTCGAGCGCGCCTGAGCAACAGGTACCTTTGCCTCGCGTTCTGATTTTAGCGCCCGCGTACGATGACTGATCACGAGCGCGTCTGTGGTATTGGCGCGACCGTTCTCGAGGCGATCCATTCGGGAAGGAAGGATGGTGACGGAAGGCGCTGGCTGGTGGTGTCGCGCGGACACATCCTCCGGTCGCTTGACCGTGGGCTGTGACGAAGGCCGTTTTGTCCATGCGACGCAGTTTGTGCTTTTTACTCTGACTTCTGTTGCCATCGCTGCTGGGTGCTTTAGTTTGTGTTGTCACTTTTGGTGAACCCCCCTCTTCCCCCCCCCCTCCCCCCAGGTTCCCCCACTCTTGCAAATGAGACTCCTATCCTGCTCTATAGAGTTCTCGCCTGGTTCCACAGCATCGACTTGAACACTTGAGCCTGTGGGTGTGTGAAAATAAATGATTGAAAGCACGCGATAATCTAAACATGCGTATTGATTTTTTGGCTGCTATGAATGCTGAACATGCTTTTAGATTATAATCTTGGTTCTTTCGGTAAAGTCACGTTGAAGGGAAACAAAATAATAAAATATATTTAAAAAATAAAATTCTCACGACGTTTCGACTGCAACACAAGCAGTCATCATCAGTCGAAACGTCTTGAGAATTTTATTGTTTTATATATATTTTATTGTTTCCCTTCAACGTGACTTTACAGAAAGAACCAAGAATATGAATCACTGCAGTCACGAAAGCTTTAAATCAAAATTTTATGCTTTTCGATTATTTATATTATTATTTGGCTGCTATAAATCTGAACATGCGTTTAGATAATTTTGATTATTTGTCTCGATCCCGACCCTGACATTATGGAGGGGGGCACGGTGGCTAGGAGATGTTAACTACCTCGCCCGGTGTGCAAGAGGTCGTGGGTTCGATCCCGACCCTGATGCCTGCTGCATACTTGGAGTCTGCAGTTTCTCCCTCCCCGTGGTCGAGTGATATTTTTGTACACCCACAATCCGGATCCCGTCTCACCGGAACTCGGAAGCTAAGCAGGTCTGATCCTGGCTAGTGCGTGGATGGGACTACGGAATGACTTGGATAGAGAAGGTGGCCGGCCGTGGTGCTGACCACCCAAACCCCGTCGTGTGCCGTGCCGACTTTGATAGATGCTGCTTCTCGCACACAGCACTTGCCCCAACAGTCCGTGAAGGCTATACGGGGGGGTCGTTGTTATGTGTCTCTGTGTGTCTGTCTCTGTGGGTGTGGGGAGCGGTAGTGTAGTAGCGGTAAGCGCTACGCTGCGCTACGAACCCGGCGACCCGGGTTCGATTCCCGCTCAAGGCAAACACCCAGTGACGATTATCTGAGCCGGTCCCGTGCCTCCCCTAGGTCGACTCAGCCTCCAATGACTACCTGGGGAGGTGTGCAGTAAACATCGCCACTGGGGAGACAAAGGCAGTCGGGCGTGGTGCTCGCCACCCACCACCTCGTGTGCCGTTCCGACCTTCATAGGTGCTCGCTAACAGCACTTGCCCCTACAGTCTGTTAAGGCTATACCGGATATCTTTGTTATTGTGTGTGTCTGTGTGTGTCTCTATGAAATAGCAGCACCAATGGAAACCCTTTTCCAAGGAAACGCAAAGGAATGCCCACAGCCGGTCCGTGCCGAACTACAGGGTAAGTCTAAGGGACGCCGGGTGTGTCCGTGTGTGTCTCTGTGTGTCCGTGTGTGTCTCTGTGTGTCCGTGTGTGTCTCTGTGTGTCCGTGTGTGTCTCTGTGTGTGGCTCTGTGTGTCCGTGTGTGTCTCTGTGTGTGTCTCTGTGTGTGGCTCTGTGTGTCCGTGTGTGTCCGTGTGTGTCCGTGTATGTCTGTGTGTGTCTGTGTGTGTGTCTGTGTGTGTGTCTGTGTGTGTGTCTGTGTGTGTGTGTCTGTGTGTGTGTGTCTGTGTGTGTGTCTGTGTGTGTGTCTGTGTGTGTGTCTGTGTGTGTGTCTGTGTGTGTGTGTCTGTGTGTGTGTCTGTGTGTGTGTCTGTGTGTGTGTCTGTGTGTGTGTCTGTGTGTGTGTCTGTGTGTGTGTCTGTGTGTGTCTGTGTGTGTGTCTGTGTGTGTGTCTGTGTGTGTGTCTGTGTGTGTGTCTGTGTGTGTGTCTGTGTGTGTGTCTGTGTGTGTGTCTGTGTGTGTGTCTGTGTGTGTCTGTGTGTGTCTGTGTGTGTGTCTGTGTGTGTCTGTGTGTGTGTCTGTGTGTGTCTGTGTGTGTCTGTGTGTGTGTCTGTGTGTGTGTCTGTGTGTATCTGTGTGTGTCTGTGTGGGTGTGTATCTGTGTGTGTCTGTGTGGATGTGTATCTGTGTGTGTGTGTGTCTGTATGTGTGTGTCTGTGTGTGTCTGTGTGTGTATGTCTATGTGTGTCTATGTGTGTCTGTGTGTGTATGTCTATGTGTGTATGTGTGTGTCTGTGTGTGTGTATCTGTGTCTGTGTGTGTCTGTGTGTGTGTATCTGTGTCTGTGTGTGTATGTCTGTGTGTGTGTGTCTGTGTGTGTATCTATGTGTGTGTCTGTGTGTCTGTGTGTGTGTGTATCTGTGTGTGTGTAAGTGGGGAGCGATAGTGTAGCGGTTAGCGTGCTGCACTATGAACCTGGCGACCCGGGTTCGATTCCCGCTCACGGCCAACACCAGTGACGATTATCTGAACCGGTCCCGGGCCTCCCCTAGGTCGACTCAGCCTCGAATGAGTACCTAGTGCGGTGGATAAAAACATTGCCACTGGGGAGACAAAGGCGGTCGGGCGTGGTGCTGGCCACCCACCCCCTCGTGTACCGTTCCGGCCTTCATAGGTGCTCGCTAACAGCACTTGCCCCTACAGTCTGTTAAGGCTATACGGGGGATCTTTTTTATCTTTGTGTATCTGTATATGTATCTGTATATGTGTCTGTGTGTATGTCTGTGTATGTGTGTTTCTGTGTGTGTATCTGTGTGTGTGTGTATCTGTGTGTATGTGTCAGTGTGTGTATCTGTGTGTGTCTGTGTGTGTATGTGTGGTTGGCACAGTAGGGGGCACAGGTGGTGCATCAGCCAGTCATCTCAGTCAGTCGACCCGTGGCACCTGGGTCTGCCCCGTGACCTGCCAGCGGGCGTTCGACACTTCACGTGGCCTCAGGGTGCACATAGCCTGGCACAAGCGTCGTGGTGACGTCACGGCCACTTAGTGGCGAATGGCGGTTGTTGTTGTTGTATCTATGTGTATGTATCTGTGTGTGTCTGTATGTGTCTGTGTGTATGTCTGCGGTGCATCGCTCACTCATCTGAGTCTACCCACGACGCCGTGGCTTAGTCCCCACCACGGTGCCAGCAGAGAGCCTTTCCACACGTCACGTGACAACCTCAAAGGGGGCGGGGGTGCACCTAGCCTGGCACGAGAGCTTTGGTGTCCTCACCGCCACCTAGCAGAAGGGCCCGCACGACGTGTTAGTTGTTGTTATTCTTAGCTCTTTCTGTAAAGTCACGTTGAAGGGAAACAATAAAATAATAAAATATATATAAAACAATAAAAATTCTCACGACGTTTCGACCATAACACAAACGGTCGTCATCAGGTGTGTCGGTTTGCATTAATTAATTTCTTTTTAGACGGTGTATTTATTTATTTAAAAAACCTCGGCGCCACGCGCAGCGATTTGGCGGTTTATTTAGAAGGACGAGTCCATCTATATTCTGAAAAGAGGAGGGGGGAGACGAAAAATTAATGTATGCTGTCTCCTCTTTTCAGAACACAGATGGACTCGTCCTTCTAAATAAACTGCCAAGTCGCTGCGCGTGGCGCTGACGTTTTTTAAAAATAAATACACCGTTTAAAAATAAATAAGTTAATGCAAACCGACACACCTGATGACGACCGTTTGTGTTATGGTCGAAACGTCGTGAGAATTTTTATTGTTTTTTATATTTTTTTTTATTATTTTATTGTTTCCCTTCAACGTGACTTTACCGAAAGAGCTAAGAATATGAATTACTGCAGTCACGAAAGCTTTAAATCAAAATGTTGTTGTTGTTGTTGATGTTGTTGTGTCGATCAGGCAAGCTTCCCGAGTGGTTGAGCGGAACGCTGATTCGCAATGGGCCGGCCCTGCACACGTTCGGGGACACTTCGTACAACCACTGGTTCGACGGCATGGCACTGCTCCACAGCTTCACGTTCCGCGGGGGTGCGTGTGCGGGTGTGGGTGGGTGTGCGTGGGTGGGTGTGTGTCTGTGGGTGTGGTTGAGTGTGTGTGTGGTGTGCGTGGGTGTGTGGGTGGCTGTGGGTGTGTATGTGGGTGCGTGGGTGGGTGTGTGGGTGTTGAGTTTCCCATACCTGGGCAGTGTGCTTATGACTGGCTCCAGTTTAACAGCAGAGGTCTCACTCCGAATCAGTCGAGCGGCAATATCTTTTCATCGGTTGCGTAACGCTGTGTGGAAGCTACCTGGTCTGTCGCTCCGCACTAAGCTTCAGGTCTTCTCGGCCACGGTCATTCCCTCCCTTCTCTACGCTTGCAAAACGTGGACCCCCCTAATGGAACATCAACGCCGGTTAGAAACATTTAGGCTGGCCTGCCTACGATCCATCCTGGGTTTAACCAGACTGGATTGTGTGAGGAGCTCACAAATCCTTGAAAGATCTGGGCAGGGTCCCATCGGTGAGCTCCTCCGGCAGGCAAGGCTGCGATGGCTGGGTCATGTAGCCCGCATGCCCAGCCACCGCATGCCGAAACAGCTTTTGTTTGGCCGGATTGAGGGGGCTAAGCGGGCGCGGCACGGGCTAGAGAAGAGATGGAGTGATGTGGTACAGGAGGACGTGGAGCTGAGTGGACTTGCCGGTGACTGGTACCAGCGGTGTCAAGATCGGCCTCTGTGGAGGAGGCTCGTGAAGGACGCTACTGGGCAGTTGGAGGCAGTCGCCCTCCAACAACAATGGAGGGCGGAGGAGCGACGCTCAGAACAACGAGCGGAGCGCCGGGTGGCTAAAGCACAGCAGGTTGGCACAGTAGGGGGCACAGGTGGTGCATCAGCCAGTCATCTCAGTCAGTCGACCCGTGGCACCTGGGTCTGCCCAGTGACCTCCTGCCAGCGGGCGTTCGACACTTCACGTGGCCTCACGGTACACATGGCCTGGCACAAGCGTCGTGGTGACGTCACCGCCACTTAGTGGCGAATGGCGGTTGTTGTTGTGTGTGGGTGGGTGTGTGGGTGGCTGTGGGTGTGTGGGTGGCTGTGGGTGTGTGCATCAGCCAGTCATCTCAGTCGGTCAACCCCATGGCACCTGCTGGGTTGGTCCCGAGCGGGCGTTCGAAAATTCACGTGGCCTCAAAGTGCACCTAGCCTGGCACAGGCACCGTAGTGATGTCACCGCCACGTAGTGGTGAATAGCAGTTGTTATTGGTGTGTGACCTTGAGGAGCGGTGGTGCAGTGGTTAGCGCAACGCTGCGCTACGAACCCGGCGACCCGAGTTTGATTCTCGCTCACGGCCACCACCAGTGACGATTATCTGAACCGGTCCTGGGCCTCCCCTAGGTCGACTCAGCCTCAAACGAGTACCCAGTTCGGAGTGTAGTAACCATCGCCACCGGGGAGACAAAGGCGGCCGGGCGTGGTGCTGGCCACCCACCCCCTCCTGTTGCCGTGCCGGCCTTCATAGGTGCTGCACGCTAACAGCACCTGCCCCAACAGTCTGTTAAAGCTACACGGGGGCTCTTTGTCTTTGTACCTGTGCAATCATCAAAATAACACCCGAGCCTTCCACACTGCACACGGCGGCCTCAAGGTGCACCTAGCCTGGCACGAGCGACGCGGTGACGTAGCCTCCACTCGGTGACGAATGGCTAATGCTGCTGCTGTTGTTGCTGCTACTGTTGCTGCTGTTGCTGCTGCTGATGTTGTTGCTGCTGATGTTGTTGCTGCTGCTGCTGTTGTTGTTGCTGCTGCTGCTGTTGTTGCTACTGCTGATATTGCTGCTGCTGTTGTTGTTGCTGCTGCTGTTGTTGCTACTGCTGATATTGCTGCTGCTGTTGTTGTTGCTACTGCTGATATTGCTGCTGCTGCTGATGTTGTTGCTGCTGCTGTTGTTGCTACTGCTGATGTTGTTGTTGCTGCTGTTGTTGTTGCTACTGCTATTGTTGCTGCTGATGTTGCTGCTGCTGATGTTGTTGCTGCTGCTGTTGTTGCTACTGCTGATGTTGTTGCTGCTGCTGTTGTTGTTGCTGCTGCTGTTGTTACTGCTGCTGCTGATGTTGTTGCTGCTGCTGCTGTTGCTACTGCTGCTGTTGTTTCTGCTGCTGTTGTTGCTGCTGCTACTGTTGTTGTTGCTACTGCTGTTGTTGCTGCTGCTGTTGTTGTTGCTACTGCTGATGTTGTTGCTGCTGCTGATGTTGTTGCTACTGCTGTTGTTGCTGCTGCTGATGATGTTGTTGCTGCTGCTGTTGTTGCTACTTCTGCTGTTGTTGCTGCTGCTGTGCCCGCACACCTGTGCGCAGGTGAGGTTCACTACCGCAGCAAGTACCTGCAGAGCGACGCATTCCGCAAAAACTCGGAGGCCAACAGGATCGTCATCTCGGAGTTTGGCACTATGGCCCACCCCGACCCCTGCAGGAACGTCTTCGCCAAGTGAGGGAGCTCGCAGCTGATGCAGTCAGCTGTGGGGGGGGGGGGGGGCAGGGGGGGGGCAGCGGGGTGGTGTGCTGGGCAGTGGGGGTCGCACACCGGGTCAACCCACACGGTCTAGCCCGTGTTCTTGTGCAGGGAAATTGAGTTTTGAGGTCCACACGATGGCGTACAGCCGTTTCAATACGGGCAGCAGCAGCAGCAGCAACAACAACAATCAATGTGCCTGTTTGTGTTTCTTTCTCATGATGGGACTTTGCTGGATGAACGTTGAGATTTATAAGGGGCACGGGGTGACCAATAAGGTCTGAATTGGTCTCGAATAAGGTAAGGGCACTGATCAGGGGTTGACAGCTGTGCAGTTAACACCCCGCCACATTTACATTCTGAAGGCCCGACGTTCCGTGATATCCCCCACCCCCCCCCCCCCCCGCACGCGCAGGGCCTTCTCCTACCTCTCCTACTCCGTGCCAGAGTTCACCGACAACTGCCTCATCAACGTAATGAGGTGCGGGGAGGATTTCTACGCCACCACGGAGACCAATTTCATGCGACGGATCGACGCGAGCTCCCTCAACACCCTCGAGAAGGTCACCGCCGCTACCCGCCGGGGCACGTGGCACGCGCCGGTCGCGTACCTGTCAGCCCCTTGTCAGTGCCCTACTACATTATTACACGAGCCACTCGGACCTTACGGGTCACCCCGCGCCCCCTTATAAACCCCAACGTTCATCCTACGAAGTGCCATCGCAAGGGAGAAACACAAACAGACGTTAAATTTCGATTGAAAGCTTTCGTGACTGCGGGGATTCATCTTCTTGGTTCTTTCGGTAAAGTCACCACGTAGAATGGAAATAAAATAATAAAAATAAAACATCATAAAATAAAATAACAGACGTTATTTTTTTTGTGTGCCCGTATTGAAACGGCTGTAGGCCCTATGGACCTGAAAACTCGATTTCCCCTGTACAAGGACACGGGGTGAACCGTGTGGGAAGCTGTGCCGAGCCGTGCCGTGCCACGCGCGTGGTGGTGATGATGCGGTGACGCCGCGAGACGTAACGAGACGGACAATGATTGCGAAGGTGGCGATGCACGTTGGTGAGGTTGTTGCCAGCGTGTGGGAGCGGTAGTGTAGCGGGTAGCGCTACGCTGCGCTAGGAACCCCCCCCCCCCGAACCGAATTTGACTCCCGGCTCACGGCCACCAACACCGGTGACGATTTTCTGAACCGGTCCTGCGCCTCCCCTAGGTCGACTCGGCCTCAAATGAGCACCTGGTTGCGGTGTGTAAACATCGCCACTGGGGAGACAAAGGCGGTCGGGCGTGGTGCTGGCCACCCACCCACCTCCTGTGCCGTGCCGACCTTGATAGGTGCTCGCTAACAGCACCTGCCCCGACAGTTTGTTACAGGCTATATGGGGGAGCTGCATCTTTTGTCTTTTGCTATTGCTAGTAGCAATGATACCAGTGTTGATGTTAATGATTATCACGGTGACAGTGATGATGGTGAGAATGACGACGATGACGATGTTGGAAACTCACCCCCCTAGGTGGACTACACCAAATACGTGGCCATCAACATCGCCACGTCCCACCCGCACTACGAGCCGGATGGAACAGTCTACAACGTGGGCACATCCATCGCAGACAAGGGCCATACCAAGTACACCTTCATCCGGGTGCCACCCACGTTGCCAGGTTGGGCACTTGGCACATTTTTATTACAACTCTCCACATTACGTCTGTGACTTCAGCATTCCTCTGCTTGCCGTAGCTCGCTCGCTCCGCTTCCTCCCCTATCTCTCACTGTCGCTCTCCGTCGCTCGCTGTCTCTGTCTCTCTCTCTGTCGCTCACTGTCTCTCTCTCACTGTCTCTGTCTCTCTCGCTACGTCTCTGTATCTCGCTCTCGCTACGTCTCTGTCTCGCTCTCGCTACGTCTCTGTCTCGCTCTGTCTCTGTTCCACTCTGTCTCTGTCCCACTCTGTATCTCTGTCTCGCTCCTTGTCTCTCCTTGTCTCTGCTCGTCTCTGCTCGTCCCTATCGCTCTCAGTCGCTCCTTGTCTCTGCTCCACTGCTAGCCTGTTCTGTCTCCTATGTCTTCTCCTCGTTTCTCCCCGACCTGCTCCGTCCCAGTCCCAACCACAACTCCCCTCGCTCTCTCCGTCTCCCGCATATATCCCCGGTCTCATCAACAACCAATTAATTAGGCCGCGTGCCCACGAGGCCCCGCGTCCCCCGCACCTGTCGCTCGCCCCCCCTCTATCTCCAGACACTCCGGCGCCACTTGGCCCCTGACAACAACCCCGGTCAATCACTGCCGTACGTCGCTCACAAACTTAATTGGGCCGTTTCTATTCCACGGTTCCCCCGCTGCCGCACGTGGCCGGCCCGACGTGGCCGCACGTGGCCGGCCAGACTTGGCCCCACCGTCCGTAACTCGCGCGTCTTTACCATCCACCCTGTATGCGCGTGTTAATCCACTACACTAAGATAGGGCGCTGATGAAGACTTGGAAAGGTATGTGAATTGGCCTGTACTAAGGTAGGGCGCTGATGAGGACTTGACTGGTATGTGCATTGGCCTGTACTAAGGTAGGGCGCTGATGAGGACTTGACTAGTATGTGAATTAGTCTGTACTAAGGTAGGACACTGATGAAGACTTGACTGGTATGTGAATTAGTCTGTACTAAGGTAGGGCGCTGATGAGGACTTGGCAGGTATGTGAATTGGCCTGTACTAAGGTAGGGCACTGATGAAGACTTGACGGGTATGTGAATTAGTCTGTACTAAGATAGGGCACTGATGAGGACTTGGCAAGTATGTGAATTGGCCTGTACTAAGATAGGGCGCTGATGAAGACTTGACGGGTATGTGAATTAGTCTGTACTAAGGTAGGGCGCTGATGAAGACTTGACTGGTATGTGAATTGGCCTGTACTAAGAAAGGGCGCTGATGAAGACTTGACAGGTATGTGACTTAGCCTGTACTAAGATAGGGCGCTGATGAAGACTTGACTGGTATGTGACTTGCCCTGTACTAAGGTAGGGCACTGATGCAGACTTGACTGGTATGTGACTTGGCCTGTACTAAGATAGGGCGCTGATGAAGACTTGACTGGTATGTGACTTGGCCTGTACTAAGGTAGGGCACTGATGAAGACTTGACTGGTATGTGACTTGGCCTGTACTAAGATAGGGCACTGATGAAGACTTGACTGGTATGTGACTTGGCCTGTACTAAGATAGGGCGCTGATGAGGGCTTGACAGGTATGTGAATTAGTCTGTACTAAGGTAGGGCACTGATGAAGACTTGACGGGTATGTGACTTGGCCTGTACTAAGGTAGGGCACTGATGAAGACTTGACTGGTATGTGAATTGGCCTGTACTAAGGTAGGGCGCTGATGAGGACTTGACGGGTATGTGAATTGGCCTGTACTAAGGTAGGGCGCTGATGAGGGCTTGACTGGTATGTGAATTAGTCTGTACTAAGGTAGGGCGCTGATGAAGACTTGACTGGTATGTGAATTGGCCTGTACTAAGAAAGGGCGCTGATGAAGACTTGACAGGTATGTGACTTAGGCTGTACTAAGATAGGTTGCTGATGAAGACTTGACAGGTATGTGACTTGGCCTGTACTAAGGTAGGGCACTGATGAAGACTTGACTGATATGTGAATTAGTCTGTACTAAGGTAGGGCACTGATGAAGACTTGACTGATATGTGAATTGGCCTGTTCTAAGATAGGGCGCTGATGAAGACTTGACTGGTATGTGACTTGGCCTGTACTAAGATAGGGCGCTGATGAAGACTTGACTGGTATGTGACTTGGCCTGTACTAAGGTAGGGCGCTGATGAAGACTTGACAGGTATGTGACTTGGCCTGTACTAAGGTAGGGCACTGATGAAGACTTGACGGGTACGGCCACTGTTCGCCACGTGCAGGCGAGCGCCCCAACTCCGGCCTCCGCGGCCTCGAGGTGCTGTGCACGGTGCCTTCTCGCTGGCGCTTCAGCCCCAGCTACTACCACAGCTTCGGCCTCACGCCCCGCTACCTCGTCTTCATCGAGCAGCCGCTCAAGCTCGACCTCGTCAAGCTGGCCACCGCCTACTTCCGCGGGGCCAACTGGGCCAGCTGCATGACCTGGCTGCCCGACGACAAGGTGAGCCCCCATGGGGGAGGGGGGGGGCTGCGGCGCGAAACGTCGGACAGGTGACAGCGCTGGTGGCAGTGTTCGGGCCTGGGTTCGATTCCCGAATAGGGAGCACTTTCTGTGAGTGGAGTTTGTGTGTTCTCTCTCTCTCACTGTGTTCTACAGAGTGAGTGTGAGTGAGTGGAGTTTGTGTGTTCTATTTCCTTGTGTTCTGCAGAGTGAGTGTGAGTGAGTGGAGTTTGTGTGTTCTCTCTCTCACTGTGTTCTGCAGAGTGAGTATGAGTGAGTGTTATTTGTGTGTTCTTTCTCCTTGTGTTCTGCAGAGTGAGTGTGAGTGAGTGGAGTTTGTGTGTACTCTCTCGTTGTACTACAGAGTGAGTGGAGTTTGTGTGTTCTCTCTCACTGTGTTCTATAGAGTGCCTGTGAGTGAGTGGAGTTTGTGTGTTCTATTTCCTTGTGTTCTGCAGAGTGAGTTAGTGAAGTTTGTGTATTCTCTCTCTCCCCTGTGTTCTACAGAGTGAGTGGAGTTTGTCTGTTCTCTCTCTCTCACTGTGTTCTACAGAGTGAGTGTGAGTGAGTGGAGTTTGTGTGTTCTATTTCCTTGTGTTCTGCAGAGTGAGTGTGAGTGAATGGGGTTTGTGTGTTCTCTCTCTCTCTCTCTGTGTTCTGCAAAGTGAGTGTGAGTGAGTGGAGTTTGTGTGTTCTCTCTCACTGTGTTCTACAGAGTGAGTGTGAGTGAGTGGAGTTTGTGTGTTCTATTTCCTTGTGTTCTGCAGAGTGAGTGTGAGTGAGTGGAGTTTGTGTGTTCTCTCTCTCACTGTGTTCTGCAGAGTGCGTGTGAGTGAGTGGAGTTTGTGTGTTCTCTCTCTCTCTCACTGTGTTCTGCAGAGTGCGTGTGAGTGAGTGGAGTTTGTGTGTTCTCTCTCTCTCACTGTGTTCTGCAGAGTGAGTGTGAGTGAGTGGAGTTTGTGTGTTCTCTCTCTCACTGTGTTCTGCAGAGTGCGTGTGAGTGAGTGGAGTTTGTGTTCTCTCTCTCTTTGTACTACAGAGTGAGTGGAGTTTGTGTGTTCTCTCTCTCTCTCACTGTGTTCTGCAGAGTGTGAGTGAGTGGAGTTTGTGTGTTCTCTCTCTCACTGTGTTCTGCAGAGTGAGTGTGAGTGAGTGGAGTTTGTGTTCTCTCTCTCTTTGTACTACAGAGTGAGTGGAGTTTGTGTTCTCTCTCTCTGTGTTCTGCAGAGTGAGTGTGAGTGAGTGGAGTTTGTGCGTTCTCTCTCCGCCTGTTCTTCAGATCGTGGATGTTTCTCCGGGTCCTCCGGTTTTTCCCTCCACATTTCGAACCAACATCACCACACATATCGGAGTATTTGGCAGCTGCAAATGTCCACGTGTTGATGGGCCAGCACGCTGAGCTACAATTTGTGATGTGCAGGTCACTTCCCCCAGGTGTCCTCATTCCCAGGTCGACCCCTGGAAAAGCGGAATTGCTGCACAGCGGTGGCTAGGAGATGTTAACTACCTCGCCTGGTATGCAGGAGGTCGTGGGTTCGATCCCGACCCCCAACGCCTGCTGCTGTATATTTGGAGTCTGCGTGTCTGTCATCATCATCACGGTGGCTAGGAGATGTTAACTACCTCGCCTGGTTTACAGGAGGTTGTGGGTTCGATCCCGACCCCCGACGCCTGCTGTATATTTGGAGTCTACGTGTCTCTCATCATCACGGTGGCTAGGAGATGTTAACTACCTCGCCTGTTATGCAGGAGGTCGTGGGTTCGATCCCGACCCCCAATGCCTACTGCTGTATATTTGGAGTCTGCGTCTCTCTCATCATCATCACGGTGGCTAGGAGATGTTAACTACCTCGCCTGGTTTGCAGGAGGTCGTGGGTTCAATCCCGACCCCGACGCCTGCTGTATATTTGGAGTTTGCGTCTCTCTCATCATCATCACGGTGGCTAGGAGATGTTAACTACCTCGCCTGGTATGCAGGAGGTCGTGGGTTCTATGCCGATCCAGGCTCCTGCTGTATATTTGGAGTTTGCGTCTCTCTCATCATCATCACGGTGGCTAGGAGATGTTAACTACCTCGCCTGGTATGCAGGAGGTCGTGGGTTTCGATCCCGACGCCTGCTGCTGCTGCTGTATATTCTCTCCCTGCGCTCGCGTGGATTTTTCTCCGGTTCCCCCCCCCCCACGCCCTCCTCTCCAACATTTAGAATCAACGTGAGCGCCCGTTCAGAGTTATTTGGCTGCCCGCTATAAATATCCACGCGACGACGATGACGAGCGGCCACTTCGTGGGGGGGGGGGGGGGGCTTTGGGGGGGGGGGCTTCGGGGGGGGGCTTTCCCCTATCGAAAATAAAACTCCAAAAAATGAGTTCGCGGCTCGTTTATTTCTAGCTCAGCACGTGCCCCCCCCTCCCCGGCCCCCCCCCCCCCCTCTCCCCTCTCCTCCTTTTCCAGAGCCGCTTCTACCTCATCGACCGGCGTACGGGCAAGGCGCTGAGCACGCACTTCGTGAGCGAGCCCTTCGTGGTGTACCACCACGTGAACGCGTTCGAGCGCGCCGGCTGCGTCGTGTGCGACGTCGTCGCCTACGACGACAACAGCCTCTACGACATGTTCTACCTGCGCAACCTGCGCAAGGGCGCCGCCGACTTCGCCGAGGACAACAAGATGAGCTGCCTGCCGCAGTGCCGCCGCTACGTCCTGCCGCTGGGCGTCGGCAAGGTGGGCCGCGTGCCGGTGGCCCCCGTGCCGTGCGGTGGACAAGGTGGTGGAGGCGGTGGACGCGCCTATTTGTACCCACATCCAACTCCATACCCACACACAACGAGCTGCACAAAACCAACTCAAATTCCCAACTACTTACTCAATTACACACCAACACAGCCACATCCAGACCGTGTGTCACTCTACGTGACTGTCTTTCGCGAGTACGCGTGGGGTGGTGTGTCTTGATGAATACCTGTACGGGTAGGGATGCTTTGTCTTTGCGAATTCCTATACTGTACGTGTGGGGCAGTGTGTTTGTCTCACGGGTACACGTGGGGCAGTGTGTTTGTCTCACGGGTACACGTGGGACAGTGTGTGTATCTCACCCGTATAGTTTAACCGTATTCTTGTGCAGGGGAAATTGAGTTTGCAGGTCCATACGGCGTACAACCGTTTCAATACGGGCACACAAAATGTCTTTGTGTTTCTCCCCTTGTGATGGGACTTTGTAGGGTGAACGTTGAGATTTATAAAGGCGCACGGGGTGACCAATAAGGTCTGAATTGGTCTCTAATAAGGTAGGGCACTGACAAGGGGTTGACAGGTATGTGATGCTGATGAGAATGGCGGTGATGGTGGTGGTGCTGATGAAGCTGTTGATGAGAATTCTGGTGGTGATGGAACTGCTGATGGTGGTGGTGGTGAGGGTGATGGAACTGCTGATGAGAATGGTGGTGGTGGTGATGGACGCGGCGGCTGTCCCATGGAAACGAAGGGCACTAGTGTCGTCTGCGACGATGAGTCTGTGACGATGAGTCCGCGACGATGAGTCCGCGACGATGAGTCCGCAACGATGAGTCCGTGACGATGAGTCTGTGACGATGAGTCTGTAACGATGAGTCTGTGACGATGAATCCGTGACGATGAGTCTGCGACGATGAGTCCGTGACGATGTGGCGTGCGTCACAGGAGTCTCCCGTCTCCCGGAACCTCGTGACTCTTCCCGGCTCAAAAGCGAGCGCCGTCAAGGAGGGGGGAGGACACGTGGTCTGCACTCCAGAGCTTATAGCAGAGGGTGCGATGCGCACACACTCCCATCATCTAACTCAATCATCATCCCACTCATCATCCCACTCAATCATCATCCCACTCAATCATCATCCCACTCATCATCCCACTCAATCATCATCCCACTCATAATCCCACTCAATCATCATCTCACTCAATCTTCATCCCACTCATCATCCCACTCAATCTTCATCCCACTCATCATCCCACTCAATCATCATCCCACTCATCATCCCACTCATCATCCCACTCATCATCCCACTCAATCTTCATCCCACTCATCATCTAACTCAATCATCATCCCACTCATCATCCCACTCAATCATCATCCCACTCATCATCCCACTCAATCATCATCTCACTCATCATCTCACTCAATCATCATCCCACTCATCATCCCACTCATCATCCCACTCAATCATCATCCCACTCATCATCCCACTCAATCATCATCCCACTCATCATCCCACTCATCATTCCACTCAATCTTCATCCCACTCATCATCCCACTCAATCATTTACCCACTCACACCCCCATCTCAGTTGTACACGCATGCATCCACTCAGTGGCGCACTCACCCACCCACCCACGAACTCAACGACAAAGATCCCCCTCGTCGCCTTCACGACAGACTGTAGGGGCTAGCGCTGTTCACGGGTAGCGCTTATGAAGGCCGGCACGGCACACGAGGGGGTGGGTGGCAACGCACCACCACGCCCGTCTGCGCTGTCCGTGTCTCACCGATGCCGATGTTTACACACCGCCCCAGGCAGAGTGCTCATTTAAGGCTGAGCCGACCTAGGGGAGGCCCACCCGCTGGTTCGGACACATCCGTCAGCTAGCGGAAAAACGAACTCGCATCGCCTTGCTCGCAGCGCAGTGCGCCAACCGCGGCGCCACCGCTCCACAAATACAAATGCACACACACGCACGGGGATACACGCTGCTGGTGATCGAGGTGCTCGCTGATTTGTTTGACCTCTTGACCTCACAACAGGCATCGAACTCCCTCGCATCAACTACAACTACAACGGCAGGGAGTACCGCTACATCTATGCAGCCCAAATCGAGTGGAGACCCGTGCCCACCAAGGTACCTGCTCTGGTTTCTTTACGAGCATACCAAAAAAAAACCACAGGGGTCCCTTTAAGGCCATCCTTACAGGGTCCCTTTTAAGAGCATGCAAAAACAGGGTCACTTTACGAGCATTCTATAACTTGATCCCTTTAAGAATATGTTAAAACAGGGTCCCTTTAAGAGCAACCTATAAATGGATCCCTTTAAAATTATGCTAAAACAGGGTCCCTTTAAGAGTAAGCCATAGCTGGTCCCTTTAAGGACATCCCCAAACAGGGTCCCTTTAAGAGCAAGTCAAACTGGATCCTTTTAAGATTATGCTGAAACAGGGTCCATTTAAGAGCAAGCTATGACCGGGTCCGTTTAAGAGCATCCCAAAAAGAGCGTCTCTTTAAGAGCATGCTATGACCGGGTCCGTTTAAGAGCATCCCAAAAACAGGGTCCCTTTAAGAGCATCCCAAAAACAGGGTCCCTTTAAGAGCACGCTATAACTGGGTCTCTTTCCATCATTTGACCTCCTTTGCCAGTACCAAAATATAATCATCGGGTTTCTCCCCTTTTTTACTGGCAACAAAACTGAACCCTTTTGAGACGAGGCTCAAAAGAAAGCCGTCTCTGGTGTGGACCAATCAGTTTCAAGGACAATGCCACGTAGATTATCAGAGCGTGTTTTCTGCTTGCATTGTGACCACAAGTATCGTGGTTAACGCAGCCATGATTCCTCGTAAAAGGGTTTCAGTTGTGTTGCCATAAAAAGGGGGTAAACCCTATTATTATTATTATTAGTGGGTCCCTTCACGTTTGGTTTGATACTACTGGTAGGAACCTCCTGGTTACTACACCACCAGCCCACAGGGGATTATTGTGTCTGTACGTCCGTCGTGCATCCAAAAATGGGAGGGGTGGGGCTGGGTGGGGAGGGTGGGGCTAGGTGGGGAGGGGGCTGGGTGGAGGGTGGGGAGGGGCTGGGTGGGGAGGGTGGGGAGGGGCTGGGTGGGGAAAGTGGGGAGGGGCTGGGTGGGGAGGGGTGGGGAGGGAGGGGAGGGTGGGGAGGGGCTGGGTGGGGAGGGTGGGGAGGGGCTGGGTGGGGAGGGTGGGGAGGGGCTGGGTGGGTGGGGAGGGGTTGGGGTGGGGAGAGTGGGGAGGGGCGGGAGGGGCTGGGTGGAGAGGGTGGGGAGGGGCTGGGTGGGGAGGGTGGGGAGGGGGAGGGGCCCCCTGTGGCCCCAGTCCGTGCTGCGTCTGCACGCGGGAGATCCGCGGCGGGTGTGAGCACAGCAGCGAGATGACGGCAACGAGATAAAGACGACAACAACAACGACAACAATCAAGGGGCCGTCCATAAATGACGTCACGCACCTGGGGGGGCGGTCAGACATTTGTGACGATGTGTGACGATGTGTGACGAGGGGGGGGGGGGGTTGAGAAATGTGACGTCACATCAAAATGCGCAACTTTAAATAAATATAGACAACACGTTCTACTTAATTAAATAGATTTTTTAATGTTTTCTCCTACAACATCAGAGTGTGGCGCCACATTAAACACGCAGTACAATGACAATAGTTTAAAGCGATTTGAAGCATGTTTTATTTTTGTTTTGTGGGGGGGGGGGGCAGAGCTTTGTGACGTCATATTTGAGGGGGGGGTCTGACTTTTTGTAACGCTGTGTGACGATGGGGGGGGGGGTCAAAAATCGTCCAAAATCGCGTGACGTCATTTATGGACGGCCCCCCAACATTGCACCGTAAGGGGGGGGGGTCATTAAGGGAGGGGGGGGGTCATTGAGGAGCACGGCGCAGATCACGAGTGCGGCGCTTAACGGTTGCGGGGGGCCTCGTTCGAGGCCGAGTCGACCTGGGGGGGGGGGGCGGGAGGGGAGAGTCCCAGGAAGCGCCGCGTGGCCGGCGGTCGAAGCCGGCCTTCGACGGCGTCGCCCGTGCGTCCGTCGGCCTCCCGCACGCAGATCGTGAAGGTGGACACGCACACGGGAGAGAAGCTGGAGTGGCAGGAGGGCGGCTGCTGGCCTGCGGAGCCGGTGTTCGTGCCGACGCCCGGCGCTAGGGACGAGGATGACGGTGAGCCGGGGCCTCTCCGTTAACCGGCACGCCGCAATCTCCCACCACCACCCACCACCCACCACCCACCCACCACCACCACCCACCATCCGCTTCCTTCTGTCTGTCCTCGCCGCAGTCCCTTGTCGGACGCCCTCGCTCGCTCCGGGGATTTACCCGTCATCGTGGTGGTCGTGGTGGTGGTGGTCGTGGTGGTGGTGGTCGTGGTGGTGGTAGTCGTGGTAGTGGTGGTCGTGGTGGTGTTCGTGGTAGTCGTGGTAGTGGTGGTCGTGGTGGTGGTGGTGGTCGTGGTGGTCTTGGTGGTGGTCGTGGTGGTGGTCGTGGTCGTGGTGGTGGTGGTGGTCGCGGTGGTCGTGGTGGTGGTGGTCGTGGTGGTGGTCGTGGTGGTGGTGGTGGTCGCGGTGGTGGTGGTGGTCGCGGTGGTGGTGGTCGCGGTGGTCGTGGTGGTCGTGGTGGTGGTGGTCGCGGTGGTCGTGGTGGTGGTGGTGGTGGTGGTCGCGGTGGTCGTGGTGGTGGTGGTGGTTGTGGTGGTGGTGGTCCTGGTGGTGGTGGTGGTCGTGGTGGTGGTGGTGGTGGTCGCGGTGGTCGTGGTGGTGGTGGTGGTTGTGGTGGTGGTCTTGTTGGTGGTGGTGGTGGTCGTGGTGGTGGTCGTGGTGGTGGTCGTGGTGGTGGTCGTGGTGGTGGTGGTCGTGGTGGTGGTGGTGGTTGTGGTGGTGGTGATGGTTGCGGTGGTCGTGGCGACGCTCGCACCCCACAGCGAGAAAGGGCCTGGGTGTGAGATGTTAACCGCGAGGAGATGTTAACTCCCTCGCCTGGTATGCAGGAGGTCGTGGATTCGATCCCGACCCTGACGCCTGCTGCTGTATTTGGAGTTTGCGTGTCTCTCTCTCCCCGCGGTCACGTGGATTATTTTTCCTGGTCCGAACTTCTCTCGCATCTCATCGGAGGTGCGGCGAGCAAGAAGAACACCGAACACCAAACGAATCGAGGGCCGTTTCAAAGGGGCGAGTTTTTAAATCGAGACGTGAACGTGTCTCGAGACTCGTGCGAGGCTTTCATGGACAAACGAGCGTCGGCCAGAACGGCTCCTTGCTTCTTACTCTATGGGTCTTTCGGGTAAAGGCACGGAGATAGAAAAATAATAATTAAAAAAATCACGACGTTTCGATCGCAACACAAGCAATCGTCTTCAGGTGAAAGAACACAGCAGGCGGACTGCAGAGACAGAAAAGAATCGACATATGTTTCTATAATACATATATTTCTTCCTGCCTCAGCAGTCCGCCTGCTGTATTTTTTCGCCTGAAGACGATTGCTTGTGTTGCGATCGAAACGTCGTGTGTTTTTATTATTTTTTCTTATTTTTCTATCTATGTGACTTTACCCGAAAGACCCAGAGAGTATGAATTCCTGCAGTCACGAAAGCTTTAAGTCAAGATTTATTTTTTTATTGTTATCCACACTGACTTTTCCCTTTTCCTCCACGACCCTTGACCCCCTGACCCCCCTACCGACGCAGGCGTGGTGCTGTCGTCCATCGTGACGAGCGAGCCCGGGATGCCGGCGTTCCTGCTGGTGCTGGACGCTCGCTCGTTCCGCGAGGTGGCACGGGCCACCGTCCACGGCGCCGATGTGCCCCTTGACCTGCACGGCCTCTTCCTGCCAGACCCCAAGTAGCGGCCAAGCCACCAGCAGCAGTAGCAGCAGCAGCAGTGGCAGCAGTAGGCGGTAGCAGCAGCAGTGGCGGCAGTAGGCAGCAGCAGCAGTGGCAGCAGTAAGCAACAGCAGCAGTGGCAGCAGCAGTGGCAGCAGTAGGCAGCAGCAGCAGTGGCAGCAGTAGGCAGCAGCAGCAGTGGCAGCAGTAGGCAGCAGCAGTGGCAGCAGCAGCAGCAGTGGCAGCAGCAGCAGTGGCAGCAGCAGCAGTGGCAGCAGCAGCAGCAGTGGCAGCAGTAGGCAGCAGCAGCAGCAGTGGCAGCAGCAGTGGCAGCAGCATCAGTGATAGCAGTAGGCAGCAGCAGCAGTGGCAGCAGCAGCAGTGGCAGCAGTGGGCAGCAGTAGGCAGCAGCAGTGGCAGCGGTAGGCAGCAGCAGTGGCAGCAGCAGCAGCAGTGGCAGCAGTAGGCAGCAGCAGCAGTGGCAGCAGTGGCAGCAGTAATTAGTCGTGCGTCACGGGAAGGTGACCATGTCGCGACGATGAGAACATGTCGTAGTGTGGTATCAAGATTGGGATATTCACAATATGATATCATGATGGTAATATCACAATATATGATGGGGATATCTCACAATGCGATATCATGATGTAAATATCTCGCAATATATCATGATGTAAATATCTCGCAAAATGACATGATATGATGAGTGTATTTCGCGACGTCACGATCTCGCGGGAGGAATATTACCGTGGCAAAATATCGCGCGAATAATGGCGCACCAAAGCAGAGGATCTAATGTGGGTTGGAAGTGGTGGGGGGGAGGGGTGGAAGTGGTGGGGGGGAGGGGTGGAAGTGGGGGGGGGGGGGTGGAAGTGAGGGGGGGGGCGATGGAGACAATTCCCCCCCCCCCTCTAAACCCCGATAGACCGTGGACATTCTTACAATCGGCCAAGAAAATGATATTGAATGTAAAATTTCGATTTAAAGCTTTCGTGACTGCAGGGATTCATATTCTTGGTTCTTTCGGTAAAGTCACCAGGTAGAAGGGGAATAATAAAATAATAAAAAGAAAACGCTTAAATTCTCACGACGTTTCGATTGCAAAACAAGCAATCATCATCAGGTGTGAAAAACCACAGCAAGAACATTTGACCGCCACTTTTTTTCAATTTTTCTTGCTGTGGTTTTCACACCTCAAGATGAGTGCTTGTGTTGCAATCGAAACGTCGTGAGAATTGTATTGTTTTATCTTTTTAAATTTTAAAAATTTCCCTTCTACGTGACTTTACCGACAGAACCAAGAATACGATATTGAATGTGTTGGTGTTCACGTAGTTCAGGGTGAGAGGTGGAGGGGGGAGAGGAGGAGCCCCCCCCCCCTTCGAAACAAAAATTTCCTCCCGCCCTTGAACTACGCGCAGTGACAAAGTTCCACGCGGTGGCCACGTGCCCGGTCTGATGTTCGCGCTAAACATAACCAGTAGTGGAACATATTCACCGTACCCCCAACATGTCTTTTTTTAAAATAAAGCACCCAAATGAGAACCCATGGTCCATGTGGCTCAGAGGTCAGAGCACAGAGGGAGCCGGTACAGCCGAGATCTTGGGCTTCGCTGGAGCGTTCCTTCCCATCGAGTGCCCCCCGTACCCGCATCCACGACCTCGAGAAATTTCTGGTCGTCCCGCGTCGTTCGGAACGACGTCCGACGTGGGAATATCACAATACGATATAATGATGGGAATATCTCACAATGCGATATAATGAGGGGAATATCACAATATGATATGATGATGGGAATATCTCACAATGTGATATGATGGGAATATCACAATACGATATAATGATGGGAATATCTCACAATGCGATATAATGATGGGAATATCACAATATGATATAATGATGGGAATATCTCACAATGCGATATAATGATGGGAATATCACAATACGATATGATGATGGGAATATCTCACAATGTGATATGATGGGAATATCACAATACGATATGATGGGAATATCTCACAACGTGATATGATGGGAATATCACAATATGATATGAGAATATCACAATATTTGATGGGAATATCTCACAATGTGATATCATGATGAGACGTTTTTCGATCCACCGTCCTGGGACCGTCGTTGGATGCCGGAAGCTGAGCGCGGTTCTTGAAGGGCCATGGATGGGCGACCGTCAAACCCCGCTCGCTTGTTTACGGGCTTACGTTGTGAGGCAGCAGAAAGAAGTCCACTGTTGTGCCCTAACGATGTCCCCCGCGTCTGTGTTTCCACGACCGACCTTAACCAACCCGCGCTGCCCCGCGTGGGTGAACCAGTGGCGGATGATCCTCGTAGCAAAAGTAGCTGCACAAGCTACGGACCCCGCACTTTCAAGGGCCCCGCGCTAAATTCTTTTGAGCTATCAATTCCGGTTCAGTGATTCTGCACTTGCTCTATTACTGTAGTACTATACCGCCTTCAACTTTAATGAACGACCGGGTGTTTAAGGTTAGGTATTTGTCGTATTATCTGGCTGTATAGCAAATGAGAAAATACAATTACTTTACTATGCAAGTGAAAAATTTGTGTTTTAATATTTACGTGTTTATTTTTATTGAGGGCACTCGCTTCATCCGGCACTGGGGTGAAGTATTGTCAAGTGACCCCCTAACGACAACCGGCTAGGCGTGGGGAGGCCCTCATCCAGCAGTGGATTGTCAACATTGTGTACATTATGGGTTTTTAAATTTCTGATTATTTTGCTATTTAAAAAAAAACGAATCTATGCCTCGAGTTTCCCGGCTGGCTGCTCGCTGGGCTTCCTGTTGTTGTTAGTGGCTGCTGTGGGCACTTGCCACCGAAACTAGCTGGGTAACTGGCTGCACGGGATTTTCCGTGCAATAAATTAACATTGATTTGAAGTTAAATGGCGGAAGAAGTTCACAAGAGGTTTATAACAACAACAACAACAATAATAAATTAACACGTAAGGCTTTCTCGACCAATATTATTCATAATAAAGGTTGTTTGGGTAGATTGCGTAAGTGTACAATGTGTCGTTAAACCCGCCACCACCCGACACGGCCAATTAGTTTAACACGTAAGGCTTTCGCGACCAATATTATTAATAATAAAGGTGTTTTTGGGGTTAGATTGCATAAGCGAGGGGTTTGTCACCGGTTGTGTTAGAGAGTTAATGCGTTGCGACAATAATCGTGAAAGCAAAGATGTGGGAGGTTCTGGAACAAAGAAGACTTTGACACGGCTCACTTTAAATCGCTCTATCCCATTTTGCTCTCCCGCTGATTTAATTAAATCGCCAAAATATTCTTTAAATCCTAGGAAATATTAAACAACAAAAACACCTCACAATGTATATTATCTTGGCAGTCGTATTACTACTACGACTACTACATAACAAAGCGGAATACAGGGACTCCTCTAGTTACGAACGAGTTAGGTTCCAGAGGCCAACTTTACTCCCGTCGATTCCAAACACGTTTTACGGCATGTACACTAAACACGGGAAATTGCTTTACAAGTTGTATAATCTCCTGTCAATGCAGATGCCGCTGGTGTCTTTGTGTTCTGCAGATGTAGATGCCACTGCATCTTCACGTTCTGCAGATGTAAATGCCACTGGTTCTTCACGTTCTGTAGATGTAAATGCCACTGGTTCTTCATGTTCTGCAGATGTAGATGCTACTGGTTCTTTATGTTCTGTAGATGTAGATTCCACTGGTTGTTCACGTTCTGTAGATGTAGATGCCACTGGTTCTTCACGTTCTGTAGATGTAGATGCCACTGGTTGTTCACGTTCTACAGATGTAGATGCCACTGGTTCTTCACGTTCTGCAGATGTAAATGCCACTGGTTCTTCATCTTCTGTAGGTGTAGATGCCACTGGTTCTTCACGTTCTGCAGATGTAAATGCCACTGGTTCTTCATCTTCTGCTGATGTAGATGCCACTGGTTCTTCATGTTCTGCAGATTTAAATGCCACTGTAGATGTAGATGCCACTGGTTCCTTCACGTTCTGCAGATGTAGATGCCACTGGTTCTTCATGTTCTGTAGATGTAGATGCCACTGGTTCTTCACGTTCTGTAGATGTAGATGCCACCACCGCCATCTATTGCACGGCGGCTCCCCTTACGACTCTGGGTCCGAACGGGCAACTGGACGTACGGACAGGTTTCGTTCGTATCTCTGAAACTGCCTAAGTCCAGTGTTCATAAGTAGAGGAGTCCCTGAACTTTAAGCGCAGGATACTTGTGGGAAGGGCATGAGACATGACGGCTGTCACTTTTCTCTCTCCATTGAAGAGTAACCGGTTTCTCTATCTCGCGTCGACTAAACATCTCTCGTTTTTCTTACGATCAGAGGAAACAAGAAGATGCTCGGTGTAGTCGGCACTTTGCTTCGTTCATCATTTCGGTTTTTTTTTCAATGCTTTGCTTTATGTAAACACCCCCCCCCCCCCCCCCCCCCCCATTTTTAAAAAAGAAAGATTTAACAAAAGATTTCTCGTTCTGCTCTCCTTACTCCTTCCCTCTCTCTCTACCCCCCTCTCTGCCCCTCTCCCTCTCTCTCTACCCCCCTCTCTGCCTCCCCTCCCCCCTCTCTCTATACCCCCTCTGTTCCTACTCCATGTCGCTCTCTCGCGCTCTCGAGATCCGTCGGATTTGCAATTGCGGTATTTGGACCGTGTTGACGTTTCAGATGTGCCCATGTGAAAGCGTTATGTTGTTGATATGCCCCGTCGGGAAACTCACGTGACAGAGAGTTCAAGAATATTTGCCCTTTGTGCAGCAATGGCTCGGCTTACAGTTCGGGGGGGGGGGGGGGGGGTGACACTCTCGGTCTCACGCCGTGTCTCACCGAATATTTACCCCCGACCCAGACTTAAGTACGTGGCGCGTGACTAACAGTAGGTACGGCTCTAGCAAGAGGGTGCATACTGGGTGTGGTGTGCCGGCAGACACTGATTAAAATAAGGTTCGTCGTGCCGCACAACGAGATTGTTGTGATGTCGAGATTTTCCCTGGCTTTCTTCTTCTATATACAGAGTGGTCTGATGAATAACTAGCTGTACTACCCGGCTTCGCCCGGGACTTGGATCCACCACGCCCGCCGCCTTTGTCTCCCCAGTGGCGATGTTCACACACCACAGCAGTTACTCGTTTGATGCTGAGTCGACCTAGGGGAGGCCCAGGACCGGTAAAAATAATCGTCAGTGGTGGTGGCCGTGAGCGGGAATCGAACTCGGGTCGCTGGATTCGTAGCGCGGCGCGCTAACCGCTACACTATCGCTCCCCCCCTCGAAGCCCGCACGCGAGATACACACACACACAGACACACAAACACACAGATACACACAGACACACACACAAATACATATACACGCAGATACACACACACAGACACAGATACACACACACAGACACACACAGATACACACACAGACAGCGCGCTAACCGCTACACTACAATGCGTTACGCTTCCACGTGCGCGGGTCACGTGACAGATTTGACGTCACAGCTCACTTGCCGTGCAAAAAATAAATGCACTATTGAGCTCCCCCCCAAAAAAAAATACATACAAAAGTGTATTTTTATAATTTCTGCATGGTGTACAGTCTGGAAAGTACCCACATGGCAAATTTCAAGTTTGTTGCATGTCGGGAAGTACGCTAAACATTTTGAACAGACACACATAATCACAACTTTACCTTTTATATATATGGAGATATATTTTTTTAACACGCCTGACTGCTGATGAGACCCCAGAGGTTCTAAACCGATCCAGAGGCTGCTTGCTTCAATATAGGGGAGCTACCAATGCTGCTCTGGTTAGCAAACCCGCCTTGCAGTAGTCGCCTGTTTGATGACATTCTTAAATCACCGCTTGCCTCCTTTGTCCACTCAGCAGTAGCTGCAGCTGGTAGGTTCACCGAGTTAGTCAATATTACAGCGAGCGTGGTAGGGGTTAAGTGTTGGGTACAGCCGCCTCCTCCCGCACGTCTGGTCAACGTGGAAGAGTAGACCAAGTAACCACGATGGGGATTCGCTCCCTTATCCGCCAGCAGTGGCGTGAGCCGGACATTGCAGGCCTGCGCCTTTAGCTTCATCAACGATCACGCGAGGGTCGCCCCGCACTTGGCACGTGGCTGAAGCAGGAGGGGCGGGGGAGGGGGCGGGGGCGGGGTAGAGGGCGGAGTCTCTCATATGTCCCGCCCACCATAACCACGCCTCTCCTAGCTCCTCCCCCCTCGGCTACCGCCTCTCTGATTCGCACAAACATATAGACCCGCCCCCCGTCCCCTTAAACCACGTCCACACGCGTGGCCCCGCCTTCAGCCACGGCCCCTCCAGCTTCCACGCTTCCCTTTAGCCCCGCCCCCTATAACTAGCCCCGCTCCGTGAGACTAACCCCGCCCATCCCCTGGAGGCCCCGCCCCCTGTAACGAACATCGACCCCTGTAACTAACTAGCCCCGCCTATCCCCTGGAGGCCCCGCCCCCTGTAACTAGCCCCGCCTATCCCCTGCAATCTCCGCCCCCCTTCCCTCTGTCCGTGGCCCCTGCCTAGCCCCGCCCCTTCGTAACCGCCCCCCCCGCTCCACGGCGGGGCCCGTGACCTTGCAGCGGTGGCGAAACCTAGATGCGGGCTGGAACTGTTCACTTGGTCACTTGCAAGGTCGGAACTGGCAACCAGCGACGACAACAACAACAACCAAACAACAGTGGCTGGCTGCTGCCATCCCGGCTGGAGATGTAACCGCGACCGTTAACGATAAACAACCCAGCCATGTGTTGATAGGCGCGGTGTGGTCGCGAGTGGCCATGTGGGCTGCCCTGTCCAGGACGCGTGGCCTGCTTCACGCCACGTCCGCCGGCGGGCCGCGCTTCGATTGCCGGGCGCGGCACCTCGCCGCTCGCTTGGGCGGCTGCGAGGCCGCTACGGGCGTGGGGAGTGCGCGCGGACGCGGGGAAAACGACCGGCGAGGTGGAGGAGGAGGTGGAGGAGGAGGGGGAAGCGGTGAAGAAGTTCGACCCCCGCCTCGAGGCGTTGGGATCAAGCCGCAGGCCGCACGCCGCCTTGGTCGCTCCGAGCCCCGGGGTGAGGGACGGCTCAGAGCGGCCCCTCACCCCAAGGCCTACCCCGCCAGGGGTTATCGTCGACGACCCGAGGCCCCGGCAGGCCCACGCGCTCAACCAGCGGCTGCAGCGCAGGGTCACGCGGCCCTCGGCTGGCACCCCGAACCCCGCCTGGGCTGGTCTCGTACAGCCACATCGTCTCACGAGCGGGAGGTCAACGCCGCCCGCTTAGAACCGCCGCGGTTTCAGGCTGGGTCGACCATCCCCTGGTCAACTCTCCCCGGGTCAACTCTACCCTGGTCAACTCTCCCCGAGTCAACTCTACCCTGGTCAACCCTCCCCTGGTCAACTCTCCCTGGGTCAACCCTCCCCGGGTCAACCCTCCCCTGGTCGACCCTCTCCGCGGAGGCCTGCTCGACCAGCCGTCTCGGCGCCCCGCAGCGGGACCTTGCCCACAGCCCATCGCCCATGGACCCGGACCCCCGGGGCCTGACCCCGCCGCGCCCCGACCTCCACCGCGGCCACCCGGCTTGCCAGGCGGCCCCCCCGCGGCCGACGGCGCCCCGAGGCGGCCCTCGGGCCCGCGCGAGCCCCTGGCCGGGTGACGGCGGCCGCCGGCTCGTCGCCTCGTCTGCCGGGAGGCGCGAGGAAGACAAAGACGGCGGTGGCGAGGAGACGTGGGGGGCCGCGCTGAGGGCCGCCGTCGACGCGGGGCCCCGGGCGGGCCCCGCGTCGGCGGCTCGCGGGGACGGAGAGGGTCCCGGGGCGGAGGAGGCCGCGACGGAGCTGGCCCGATGCTACGCGGCGCTGGGGCCCGCAGGCCGCCGGGCGCTGCTGAGGGCCCTGGCCCGGGACCCGCACGGTGTGGATCACGAAGCGGCGGCCACGCTGGCGGCCAGGGTGGCGCACATGCAGGTGGGGACGTGTGGTGGTGGTGGTTGGTGGTGGTGTTGATTGGTGGTGGTGTTGATTGGTGGTGTGTAATGGTGGTGGTTTGTAGTGGGTGTTGGTTGTACTGGTTGGTGGTGGCTGGATGTGTGGTGGTTGGTGGTGGTAGTTGGTGGTGGTGGTTGGTGGTGGTGGGTTGTGTTGGGTGGTGTTGGTTGGTGGTGGTTGGTGGTGGTGTTGGTTGGTGGTGGTGTTGGTTGGTGGTGGTGTTGGTTGGTGGTGGTGTTGGTTGGTGGTGGTGTTGGTTGGTGGTGGTGGTGTTGGTGGGGGTGGTGGTGGGTGGTGGTTGGTCGTGGTGGTGGTTGGTCGGTGGTGGTGGTGGTGGTTGATGGTGGGTGGTGGTTGGTCGTGGTGGTGATTGGTGGTGGTGGTTGGTGGTGGTGGGTGGTGGTGGTTGTTGGTGGTTGGTTGTGGTGGTGGTTGGTCGTGGTGGGTGGTGGTGGTTGTTGGTGGTTGGTGGTGGTTGGTGGTGGTGGTTGGTCGTGGTGGTGATTGGTGGTGGTGGTTGTTGGTGGTTGGTGGTGGTGGTGGCTGGTGGTGGTTGGCGTGTGTGGCCAGAAATCCGGGCCACCTGAGTTGGATTCCCGGCTCACGGCCACCAACACGAGTGACGATTATCTGAACCGGTCTTGTGCCTTCCCCTAGCTCTACTCAGCCTCAATTGAGTACCTGGTGCGATTTAAAAAAAAAAAACATCGTCACCGGGGAGACAAAGGCGGCCGGGCGTGGTTGCTGGCCACCCACCCCCATCGTGTACCACAGTGCCGGCCTTCACAGGTGCTGCTCACCAACAGCACTTGCCCCAACAGTCTGTTACAGGCTACACCGTGGGGGGGGGGGGGGGGGGGGTGGAATCTTCGTCATTTTCGACGTACGCTGAACCTCTTTCGCAGCAAACCGTGCACATCGGAGGTGTGGAGGGTAGGGGGGGAAGGACAACAAACTAAACAACAAACACAACGCAGCCTCTACACAAAACACGTTCTCCTGCGGAGGGAGCTGGTAGGAACGTTGGGTTGCTCGGTAAATGGGCAGGGTCAACAACGGCAGCACCACGTGGTGTATTCAGCAAATATTCCCGACTGTGAGGGCGGGCACAAGCTGGCGTGAGTAGGTTAAACGTTGAGTTTTATAAGGGCACCACGGGGTGACCAGCCCCTCCCCACCCAGCCCCATCCAGCCCCACCCAGCCCCTCCCCATCCAGCCCCTCCCCACCCAGCCCCTCCCTACCCTCCCCTCTCCACCCAGCCCTACCCCTCCCACGTGGACAGACATCCACAGACATACACCATTAATCCCCTGCCTCCTCTGAACTAATCCCGGTTGTGCTTCCAGCCCACTACGTTTCCTACCAGTATGAGCTTTGTCTACCCAGTCGGCGATAGAAGACAGCCACGGCTACGGCGGCTTCCTAATAACCGGAAGGGGGGCCCTTCCCCCCCTCCGCACGCAGGGAGAGGGGACGCGGGACCCGGCCACGCTGCTGCAGGCCGAGGAGAGGCTGCGGCAGGCCCTCGCGCCGCGGTACAAGCACCTCCTGGTGCGCCTCAGCCGCCTGGAGGGAGGCGTCAAGCTGCTGGTGGACATGCGCGCCGACGCGCTCGCCGCCATCGCGGCCCGCGACGCGGCCGACGGGCCCCACCTCAAGGCGAGTGCCCGCGGGGGGTGCCACGGTGAGAGCGGTGGCCCTCGCCGCGCTTTGTCTCCGGTGGTCTACCGGACCACCACGGTGAGAACCACTGCTCTCACAGCGGTCCACCCCTTGTCAGTCGTCCTGCCTTGTCACAGACCAACTCGGACCTTAATCGTCACCCATTGGCCATTATAAATCTCAACGTTCATGCTACGAAGCCCCATCACAAGGGAGAAACACAGACAAATAGACGGATTATTTTTTTTGCCCGTAGTGAAACGGCTGTACGCCGTATGGACCTGAAAACTCAATTTCCCTGTACAAGAATACGGGGTGAACCATATGGGTTGACAGCTCTGTGCTCTCGACGACACTGAGAACCACTGCTCTAGACCACACTGTGAGAACCACTGCTCTAGACCATACTGTGAGAACCACTGCTCTAGACCACACTGAGAACCACTGCTCTAGATCACACTGAGAACCACTGCTCTAGACCACACTGTGAGAACCACTGCTCTAGACCACACTGTGAGAACCACTGCTCTAGATCACACTGTTAGAACCACTGCTCTAGACCACACTGAGAACCACTGCTCTAGACCACACTGTGAGAACCACTGCTCTAGACGACTGAGAACCACTGCTCTAGACCACACTGAGAACCACTGCTCTAGACGACTGAGAACCACAACTCTAGACCACACTGTGAGAACCACTGCTCTAGACCACACTGAGAACCACTGGTCTAGATGACACTGAGAACCACTGCTCTAGACCACACTGTGAGAACCACTGCTCTAGACCACACTGTGAGAACCACTGCTCTAGACCACACTGAGAACCACTGCTCTAGACCACACTGAGAACCACTGCTCTAGACCACACTGAGAACCACAGCTCTAGACCACACTGAGAACCACAGCTCTAGACCACACTGTGAGAACCACTACTCTAGACCACACTGAGAACCACTGCTCTAGACCACACTGAGAACCACTGCTCTAGATCACATTGTGAGAACCACTGCTCTAGACCACACTGTGAGAACCACTGCTCTAGACCACACTGAGAACCACTGCTCTAGACCACACTGAGAACCACTGCTCTAGACCACACTGAGAACCACAGCTCTAGACCACACTGAGAACCACAGCTCTAGACCACACTGTGAGAACCACTACTCTAGACCACACTGAGAACCACTGCTCTAGACCACACTGAGAACCACTGCTCTAGACCACACTGAGAACCACAGCTCTAGACCACACTGAGAACCACAGCTCTAGACCACACTGTGAGAACCACTACTCTAGACCACACTGAGAACCACTGCTCTAGACCACACTGAGAACCACTGCTCTAGATCACATTGTGAGAACCACTGCTCTAGACCACACTGTGAGAACCACTGCTCTAGACCACACTGAGAACCACTGCTCTAGACCACACTGAGAACCACTGCTCTAGACCACACTGAGAACCACAGCTCTAGACCACACTGAGAACCACAGCTCTAGACCACACTGTGAGAACCACTACTCTAGACCACACTGAGAACCACTGCTCTAGACCACACTGAGAACCACTGCTCTAGATCACATTGTGAGAACCACTGCTCTAGATCACACTGAGAACCACTGCTCTAGACCACACTGAGAACCACTGCTCTAGACCACACTGTGAGAACCACTGCTCTAGACCACACTGTGAGAACCACTGCTCTAGACCACACTGAGAACCACTGCTCTAGACCACACTGTGAGAACCACTGCTCTAGACCACACTGAGAACCACTGCTCTAGACCACACTGTGAGAACCACTGCTCTAGACCACACTGAGAACCACTGCTCTAGACCACACTGTGAGAACCACTGCTCTAGACCACACTGAGAACCACTGCTCTAGACCACACTGTGAGAACCACTGCTCTAGACCACACTGAGAACCACTGCTCTAGACCACACTGTGAGAACCACTGCTCTAGATCACACTGAGAACCACTGCTCCAGATCACACTGAGAACCACTGCTCTAGATCACACTGAGAACCACTGCTCTAGACCACACTGAGAACCACTGCTCTAGATCACACTGTGAGAACCACTGCTCTAGACCACACTGTGAGAACCACTGCTCTAGATCACACTGTGAGAACCACTGCTCTAAATCACACTGTGAGAACCACTGCTCTAGACCACACTGTGAGAACCACTGCTCTAGATCACACTGTGAGAACCACTGCTCTAGACCACACTGAGAACCACTGCTCTAGATCACACTGAGAACCACTGCTCTAGACCACACTGAGAACCACTGCTCTAGACCACACTGAGAACCACTGCTCTAGACCACACTGTGAGAACTACTGCTCTATACCACACTAAGAACCACTGCTCTAGACCACACTGTGAGAACCACTGCTCTAGACCACACTGAGAACCACTGCTCTAGATCACACTGAGAACCACTGCTCTAGACGACACTGAGAACCACTGCTCTAGACCACACTAAGAACCACTGCTCTAGACCACACTGAGAGAACTACTGCTCTAGACCACACTGTGAGAACCACTGCTCTAGATCACACTGTCAGAACCACTGCTCTAGACCACACTGTGAGAACCACTGCTCTAGACCACACTGTGAGAACCACTACTCTAGACCACACTGAGAACCACTGCTCTAGACCACACTGAGAACCACTGCTCTAGACCACACTGTGAGAACCACTGGTCTAGACCACACTGTGAGAACCACTGCTCTAGACCACACTGAGAACCACTGCTCTAGACCACACTGTGAGAACCACTACTCTAGATCACACTGTGAGAACCACTGCTCTAGACCACACTGTGAGAACCACTGCTCTAGATCACACTGTGTGAACCACTGCTCTAGACCACACTGTGAGAACCACTGCTCTAGACCACACTGTGAGAACCACTGCTCTAGACCACACTGTGAGAACCACTGCTCTAGATCACACTGTGAGAACCACTGCTCTAGATCACACTGTGAGAACCACTGCTCTAGACCACACTGAGAACCACTACTGTAGACCACACTGAGAACCACTACTCTAGACCACACTGTCAGAACCACTGCTCTAGTTCACACTGAGAACCACTGTTGCTACCTCTGTTGCTATTCCTGCTGCTGCTGCTGTTGCTACCTCTGTTGCTATTCCTGCTGCTGCTGTTGCTACCTCTGTTGCTATTGCTGCTGCTGTTACTAGGAGCTGGCCATGGTGCTGAAGGCGTTGCTGTCCGAGTGGTTCTCGATTGGACTCCTGCATCTGGAGAGAGTCACGTGGCAGTCCCCGTGTGACATGCTGCAGAAGATTGCACAGTGGGTAGCGCCCCCACAACCCACCAACGCACTCCACCCCCTCACTATAGCTGTGCCGTCACCATAGGTGTGCCGTCACTATAGCTGTGCCGTCACCATCGGCTGTCCATCGCCATAGCCTGGCCATCACCGTAGGTGCACCGTCACCATAGGTGCGCCATCATCGTAGGCTGGACATCACTATAGGTGTCCCATCACTATAGGTGTGCCCTCACTATAGGTGTGCCACCATTGTAGGTGCGCCATCACTGTAGGTGCGCCATCACTATAGGTGTGCCATCACTATAGGTGTGCCACCATTGTAGGTGCGCCATCACTGTAGGTGCGCCATCACTGTAGGTGCGCCATCACTGTAGGTGCACCATCACTGTAGGTGTGCCATCATTGTAGGTGTGCCATCACTATAGGTGTGCCATCACTATAGGTGTGCCATCACTATAGGTGTGCCATCATTGTAGGTGTGCCATCACTGTAGGTGCACCATCACTGTAGGTGTGCCATCACTGTAGGTGCACCATCACTGTAGGTGCACCATCACTGTAGGTGTGCCATCACTGTAGGTGCACCATCACTGTAGGTGCGCCATCACTGTAGGTGTGCCATCACTATAGGTGCACCATCACTGTAGGTGCGCCATCACTATAGGTGCACCATCACTATAGGTGCACCATCACTGTAGGTGCGCCATCACTATAGGTGCACCATCACTATAGGTGCGCCATCACTATAGGTGTGCCATCACTATAGGTGTGCCATCACTATAGGTGTGCCATCATTGTAGGTGTGCCATCACTATAGGTGCACCATCACTATAGGTGCGCCATCACTATAGGTGTGTCATCACTGTAGGTGCGCCATCATTGTAGGTGTGCCATCACTGTAGGTGCACCATCACTGTAGGTGTGCCATCACTGTAGGTGCGCCATCACTGTAGGTGCACCATCACTGTAGGTGCACCATCACTATAGGTGCACCATCACTGTAGGTGCACCATCACTATAGGTGCACCATCACTATAGGTGCGCCATCACTATAGGTGCGCCATCACTATAGGTGCGCCATCACTATAGGCGCGCCATCACTGTAGGTGCACCATCACTATAGGTGCACCATCACTATAGGTGCACCATCACTGTAGGTGCGCCATCACTATAGGTGCACCATCACTATAGGTGCGCCATCATTGTAGGTGCGCCATCACTATAGGTGCACCATCACTGTAGGTGCGCCATCACTATAGGTGCACCATCACTATAGGTGCACCATCACTGTAGGTGCGCCATCACTATAGGTGCACCATCACTATAGGTGCACCATCACTGTAGGTGCGCCATCACTATAGGTGCACCATCACTATAGGTGCGCCATCATTGTAGGTGCGCCATCACCGTAGGATGGCCATCACCATAGCCGCACCGCGCCGGCCTTCGCCGGTGCCGCTCGCCGACAGCACTTGCCCCAGCGGCGCGCGAGGGCTACCCGGGGTACCTCTGTGCGTGCGTGCGTAGATACGAGGCGGTGCACCCGGTGCGCCACTGGACGGACATGCGGCGCCGCGTGGGGCCCTACCGCCGCTGCTTCGTCTTCACGCACGCCGCCATGCCTCGCGAGCCGCTCGTCGTGCTGCACGTGGCACTCACCGACACCATCTCCAGCGACATCCGGGTACCGCCCGCTCGCCCCCTCGCCCGCTCGCCCCCTCGCCCGCTCGCCCGCTCGCCCCCTCGCCCGCTCGCCCACCCCCCTCGCCTGCTCGCCCACCCGCCCGCGTGCGTGGGGGCGGCACGGGGGGCCACCGCCGGGTGCTGGCGGTGGCTCCTCGTGCCGCCCCCCATGGCTGCGTGAGTTTGTGTGGATTCATCCCCCCCCCCGTTCTTGAGAATGTGGGTGAGTGTGAAAGTGAGAGTGTGTGAGAGTGAGAGAGAGTGTGAGAGGGTGTGGGAGTGAGTGTATGAGTGTGTGTGTGTGTATGAGGCAGTGCGTGTGAGAGTGAGAGAGTGTGAGAGAGAGAGTGAGAGAGAGTGAGAGAGTGAGAGAGAGTGAGAGAGTGAGAGAGAGTGAGAGAGTGAGAGAGAAAGAGAGTGAGAGAGTGTGAGAAAGTGAGAGAGAGTGTGAGAGAGAGTGAGAGAGAGAGTGTGTGGGAGTGAGTGTATGAGAGTGTGTGTGTATGAGGCAGTGCGTGTGAGAGTGTGTGAGAGTGAGAGAGTGTGAGAAAGTGAGAGAGAGTGAGAGAGTGTGAGAGAGAAAGAGTGTGAGAGAGAGTGAGTGTGTGGGAGTGTGAAAGTGAGTGTGTGTGTGTATGAGGCAGTGCGTGTGAGAGTGTGAGAGTGAGAGAGTGTGAGAAAGTGAGTGTGAGTGAGAGAGTGTGAGAGAGAGTGAGTGTGGGAATGAGTGTATGAGTGTGTGTGTTTATGAGGCAGTGCGTGTGAGAGTGTGTGGATCACAGAATGTGGGTGACAGACTCTCTACTCCCCCCCCCCCCTTCTGCATGGGGTTTCCTCCCGCAGCTATTGGCCAAAACATGCCAATGCTGAAAGATTACTCGAGTTGAGAGAAGCAAGATCGCCCCCTAGTGACAGGCCAGGTGCCGGGTCCCCCTCGTGCCCCACAGGGACAGCTGCCACCGGGGGTGCCCTCTCAAACGTGTGAAGCGCTCTCAGGCTTGGCGCGGAGGAGGGCGTCTCACGACCGCCATGAGCATCGAGGGCAGGGCTCTGTCGCTGCTAGCCCCATCCTGCCTCGTCCTCCCACCTCTCTCTTCCCTCCCTCCTCCCTCCCTCCCCTTTCTCATTCTCCCATCCCACTCCCCTCTTTCCCCCTTCCCCTGCATTCTCCTTCCTCCCCCTCTCCCCCCTTCTCATTATTATCTCTCCCCTCTCATCCCTCCTCCCTCTTCCTCTTCCCCCTTCTCCACCCCCCTCCCCCCTTCCCTCTCCTATCCCTTCTCATTCTTTTCCCTCTCCTCTCCTTCCCCCTCACCCTCCTTCCTTATCCCTCCTTCCTCCTCCCCCCTCCTCCCCCTCCTCGTCCCCTTTTCTCCTCCCCCCTACTCATTCCTCTCTCTCCCCTCTCATCCCCCCTCATCCCCCTAACTTCCTCCTCCCTCCCCATTCCCACTCGTCCCTCCCCTCCCGTTCCCCCCCTCCCCCCGTCGTCCGCCGCCCCGCCCAGTCCATCGTGCGGGAGTCTCCCACGGCCGCCACCCCGGCCCCCGCGGGCATCGTCGCGCCCCCCGAGGACGCGGGCAGAGTCCGGGCGGCCGTCTTCTACTCCATCAGCGCCACCCAGCGCGGCCTGCAGGGCATCGACCTGGGCCACCACCTCATCAAGCACGTGGTGCGCCAGCTGCAGGTGAGGCCGGCCGCCGCGCGCTCACGGCGGAGCAAAGTACGAGCCACCGCCAGTGACGGGGTTTTGGGGTTAGCTCGCGGCAGTGCCGGAGTGTCGTTAAACCCGCCGGGCCCCGGGGCGGTTAACGTCTCGGCGCTGCGGCGAGGGGGGGCCCTAGGGTACCCCCCCCCCCCCCCCCACCGCTGACCGGGCAATATCTTGTTTCACCACGCTGGGTTACGGGTGGATGTTGAGCAGGGAGACAACATCGTTGGGTAAGGACTTGAGGGTTTATTAACTCCATGTAGCCGGAGATTACGGGAGTTTTCACTCAGAGCAACGTGAGGTTCAGCTCACCCCCCCACCTCCTTATGATGGAAAAGCCTCCACCTACTCTGGGGGGTCCTGACAAGAGTTTGGGGCACCGCGGTGGCTGTGAGATGTTAACTCCCTCGCCTGGTATACAGGAGGTCGTGGGTTTGATCCCGACCCTGACGCCTGCTGTATATTTGGAGTGTGCGTGTCTCTCTCTCTCATCATTATCACGGTGGCTAGGAGATGTTAACTCCCTTGTTAACATCTCCTAGCCACCGTGAGCTAGGAGATGTTAACTCCCTTGTTAACATCTCCTAGCCACCGTGAGCTAGGAGATGTTAACTCCCTTGTTAACATCTAGATGTTAACAAGGGAGCCGGAGAGGTAACTCTCAATCCCCCACCCCCCGTACGGCAAGGGGACATTAACCCGCTTGCTGTACTGCCCTGGCACGCCACAGTTAGAGGGAGCCTCACGAGTTAGCGCCCTGCTGCGCGACAAACTCGGCAATGGTGACGATTATCCGCAGCGGTCCTGGGCCTCCCCTAGGTGGACTCGGCCTCAATCGAGTGCCTGGTGCGATGTGTAAAAAAGCCGTTCAGTCTGTCAATTCTACACGGGGGGATCTTTGACTCGACAAACTCCGGCTGCCTCCACGGTGCACGTGTGGCCTGCTACGACCCCTTTCCCCCCCACAAGGCGGAGTTCCCGTCGACCCTGCGCGACTTCTCCAGCCTCTCTCCGATCCCGGGATTCACGCGCTGGCTCGCGGGCGTGCTGGCGTCGCACGACCCGCGACCCCTGACCTCGGCCGCCCCCCTCCCGCGCTCGCCCTCCTCCGACACGGAAGGGGACGCCGCCGCCGCCGCCGCCGCCGCCGCCCTCCCGCCCTTCCTGCTGCCCGACGAGGCGGCCAAACTGGAGGCCCTCACGGGCCTCCCCGCCGTCTCGGCGTTGCGCGCGGCGCTCTCTCGCTCGCACAGCTGCCCCGACGACTCGGACGAAGACGGCGGCGGCGGCGGCGGCGGCGGAACGACGGACGGAGCCGGAGCGGCCGCCCTGGACTGGTGGCGCCGTGCCGATCTCCGCGAAGCGATGCGCGCGCCGCTGACGCGTCTCTGCGCGCGCTACCTGGTGGGCGAGCGGCGCCGCGGTCGGGCGCTCGACCCGGTGGCGCACTTCCACCTGCGCAACGGCGCCGAGGCGTGGCGGCTCAACTGGATGGCGGACGCGTCGCCGCGGGCCCTCCGCGCCTCCGCGGGCCTCATGGCCAACTACCGCTACTGGCCGGAGCGAACGGTGCACAACGCCGCCGACTACGAGCGGCACGGGCGCGCACCGGCGTCCGCCGACGTGGCGACGCTGGCGGCGGCGGCGGCGGCGGCGGCGGCGGCGGCGGGGCACGACGACGCCAGCAAGCTGTGACGACGGCGGTGGCGGTGATGACGGCCTCCAGTGATCGTGGGTTTTGTGGAGTTTTGTCGAAAGGGAAAAAAATTGTAATTTATATCGATTTCAAGATTTCGTCGCGCGATCGTTTTAGCTGGCGTGCCCAAATGATTGTTTTAATTTTGAAAAAACAAATCTAAATCTCGCTTGCGTTGAGATTTTACGGAGATGTTCACCACCCCCCCAACCCACGCCCCCTCGTCATCACTCGAACCGCGGCCCCTTCGAAACGACTCACGGGGACGCTTGGCGTGAGAATCGCGTGCGACGCCGTGACGGATTGGCGCGGCGCGGTAATTTGTTCACCGGTGGTCACCGCACGCGGTGGTGCGGGTGGAAGCGTTCGCGGTTAAACGGGTGCACAATCGCGAGAAATATTTACGAGTTAAGACATAGTTAAAAGGTTCATTTTAAGAATTGCGTGATAATTGCAAAGAGTGCACTCGGTCAATTCTTGAGGATTCGTTAAGATGAGAAAAAAAATATGTTCGGCGCGATAACTTTAGCGTCGGCGTACGGCAGGACATGGTCTAATATGCGAACTGTGTGGTATTAATAAGCTGTGCGCACCCTAGCCTTTGCTTTAAAAAGTACAGGGCCATGCGGTCCTACAGCAGTCCAGAGAACACGGTCATTCTCGATGGCAGATAAACACGCCGAAATCTCCGAAGCTGAGCAGGGGTGGCGTGAACCTGGGGGGCAACGCCGCGCGGGGAATCGGCGCTTCTCCGCCTTCGCCGCTTCTCCGCCTTCGCCGCAACCCTCCGCGTTGGCCGGCTCGGCGAAAAGCGCGCTCGGGCAACAATCCCCCCCCCCCGGCCCCCAACCCCGGCGTACCCGCGCCGGCGTGACGGTCTCGGGGGGGGGTGGGGGGGCGGAATCGAGAGACGTCCGCGCTTCTTGACGCCGCAGATCCAACCGCCGCACCGCGGACGCTTCGAGCGGGGTGCCACGCTCGCGGCTGCTCCTTTTGTCCGACGAGTCCCCTCGGTGGTGCGACGGGTTTCCGCGACCCCTTTTTTTTTGCCGAGAACGGGGGACGGAGGCTGCGCGAGTGAAAGTAAAAATGAAATAAAACATTTCGCCGAACGGCTCGACGAGAGTGCTGCCGCACGTGACGTGTGACCCCGCGAAGGAGTCGTCCGCGGTTGCGGAGGTTTCCGCGGTTCGCGCCCACCGACGGCCGGGCCTGGTTGCTACGGCGAGTCCTCGCCCGTCAAAACGTCGCGACGCGGTTCCCTTCCTTGAGCCGCGTGGCCGCGCGGCGTGGGAATTGGGGGTGTACGCGCGCGGAAATTACACGGTACGCCCCCCCCCCCCCCTCCCGACGTCTCACCGCGTGCGGGTACGCCGTATATCTCGCCGAACGCTCCCCATCTATCACGGCCCTGCCGCGGAAATAACCGCTCGCCGCAAGAGACTGGCCGCACTCGGGACTGCTGCGACTACGCGCCGTCTGCTTCGATCGCGGCGGGGCCGGTAGCGGTCCCGTGGCGCGTCGTCCGGTCAAGGGCGGTAGGCCGTCGTGTTCCGGCGTCGGCACGGTACCAGAAAAAAATGTTATCTCAAAATTTTCTAAAACGACGAACTCCCCTTGCCGAGTTTGGGGTAAAGTGGCACAGGGGCGTCACCGCCTCCCCCTCCCCCTTGCCGGCAGGCTTAAAACTAAAAACGAATCAAATGTTTTGTTATTTTACCAGGTAAGGCCCACTACCAAAAGAGCTACGCAGCTCTTTTTCACAAATGATTGCCCAATTAAGTGGCTTATTATCATCACGTGGAAATTGTGGGCATTTCTAGCAGCCAAATACTCTCTAAATGCACGACGTTGATTCAAAATGTGGAGGGAAAAACCGGAGGACCACGGAGAAAAATCCACGCAACCAAGAAGAGAGAGAGAGAGACGCAAACTCCCAATATACAGCAGCAGGCGTCAGGGTTGGCATCGAACCCACGACCTCCTGTACACCAGGCGAGGTAGTTAACATCCCCCAGCGACGGTCGCCTCCACGTGCTGTAGGAACGTCGCCATAGGAATGCCGTTGTCGGAACGTCGCCGCTGTAGGAACGCCGCTGTGGGAACTTCACCGTGGGAACGCCGCTGTGGAACCTTGCCGCTGTGGAACCTTGCCGCTGTAGGGCCGCCGCTCCTGGGAACGTCGCCGTAGGAACATCGCGAATGGCGAAGACACGGAGGGCTGTCGTGTGACATTTATTGATTTAGTCCAAACAAACAGGAAGGTGGCGCTCAGTCTCCTTGAGGGGAATCCCGCTCCGGTGTTTTGCCAGGCACGGAAGCGCGATGCAGATGGGGGGCCGGGGGGGGGTCAGCCGGCCGACCACGGCGTCATCACGATGTTTTGACGCGCAACCGCAACCACGACGGCAACCACGACCGAGAGCCAAGGATTGAACGGGCGAATTCTGCGGCTGGGACCTATCAAAAGACTACATTTTGAAAACGAACTTATTTTTATTTGACCAGGTAAGGCCCCACTGAGCCACGTAGCTCTTTTGCAGAAGCGACCCTGGCTGTCTTGAACGAGAGTGCGACGAGAAGTGGACATTTCTCTCGGCCAAATACTCTAGGCGCGGGACGTTCATTCTAAATGGCGTCGGGATAGAACCCGCGACCTCCTGCCTACCAGGCGAGGGAGTTAACATCTCCTAGCCACCATGATGATGATGATGATGAGGGAGCGCTCGGTGCGAAACGCCGGACGCCGTGGCCGGATAACGGCTCGGCGGCGGTGCCTACCGGGGAAAGGGGAAGGCCCCTTTCCGAGTGGAGGGCGGAGGTGCTTGTCGCGAGTTGTCCACCCGTTGGGGGGGGGGGGGGGGGGGGGGGGGGGGGGTCCTCAGCCGCGACGAAGTTTCTCGCGTTTGACGGTGACCTGCCGTCGCACGTCACCGGCCGTTTGTCTTCACAGCGTCTCCTCAAAATCACGTGGCCGCGTGACGCGGCCTCACGATTGGCCGCGTGGCGCGGCCTCACGATTGGCCGCGTGGCGCGGCCTCACGATTGGCCGCGTGACGCGGCCTCACCATTGGCCGCGTGGCGCGGCCTCACGATTGGCCGCGTGAGGCGGCTTAACGATTGGCAGCGTGACACGGCCTCACGATTGGCCGCGTGGCGCGGCCTCACGATTGGCCGCGTGAGGCGGCTTAACGATTGGCCGCGTGACGGGGCCTCACGATTGACCGCGTGACACGGCCTCACGATTGGCCGCGTGGCGTGGCCTAGCGATTGGCCGCGTGACGCGGCCTCACGATTGGCTGCGTGGCACGGCCTAGCGATTGGCCGCGTGACGCGGCCTCACGATTGGCCGCGTGGCGCGGCCTAGCGATTGGCTGCGTGGCGCGGCCTAGCGATTGGCGGTTCGAACCCGGCAGGCCGCCCGCCCCCCCGATGAATCTTGCCGGCATCAGCGCAGCTTCGCTCGCAGTGGACGTTGGGAGCCCCCTCTCCCCGCAGAACGTCCCAAAGATTCGGAAAAAAAATATTAAAAAGAATGAACGGTCTCTCGATTGGGGGCGGCGGCGGTGGCAGCGACATCGGGACCCCCCGCCCCCCCCCCCCAGGGACCCCCCCCCCCTCTCGAGATTTTGGTGAGGCTCTCCCGGGCAAAACGAGCCGGGGGCGAGGGGGGGGGGAAGACGATAGCCACGTGGGGACTCGGTGTCCCGCGGCGCATGGGCGTTCTTCTTGTGCACGTGGCCGTGCACCGTGACGACTCTCGGAGGCGGCACTTGCAGCAGCAGCAGCAGCCTGTTGTGGTGCTGCAGTGGTGGGGGTCTTGGCACACGCGTTGGGTCGCACGGTTGTGAGATCCCGGTGTGGTGCGTCGTAAACATCGACGCTAGGGAAGACAAAGGCGGCCGGGCGTGGTGCTGGCCACCCCCACCCCCTCGTGTGCCACAGTGCCGGCCTTCACAGGCGCTACTCGCTAGCAGCACTTGCCCCTAAAGTAAGTTCAGGCTATGGTGGGGGGGGATCTTTGTATTTGTCACGTTGGGTGTGGACTTCGACGTGACTTTGTGTGCGTGTGTCGGGCTTATAGAGGCTCATTGTGTGCGCGTGTGTGAACATGTGTAGGCTATATAGAGGGTCTGCGTGTGTGTGTGTGAACATGTGTAGGCTATATAGAGGGTCTGCGTGTGTGTGTGTGCAGCGGTAGCGATGGTGAAACACCCCCCCACGTGACCCAAGCTGCCAAGCTGGCGCCGTGGGAGAGCGTGGCGCGGGGGCGGAGGGGGGCACGGGGGGCACGGGGGGGGGGCGCAGGGGGGTGGGGCACGGGGGGGTGCGGGGTGGGGGCACGGGGGTGGGGGGGCGCGGGGGGGGGGTGCGGGTGGGGGCACGGGGGTGGGGGGGGTGCAGGTGGGGGTGCTCGTGCCGTATGTACATCTCTGGTCGCACCGCGGAGCGCGGCCTGCTCCCCCTCCGTGGGGGGGGTGGTGGTGGTGGTGGTGGGGGGGGGTGGTGGGGGTGGGGTGGTGGTGGGAGGGTGGGGGTAGGTTAGTTGGGTGGTGGGGGGGTGGTGGTGGGGGGGGGGGGGTGTGGTGGGGGTGGTGGTGGGGGGCTGAGTCCGTGTTCACGAGGTCTTTGGTTTCCGTCGGAACTCGGCTGCGACCCGGAGCTTGGGAACCCACCCGAATCCACCCACCTGCAGGCGGAGACGCACGGGGGGGGGGAGGGGCCGCGACGAACGGTGATGAGAGACAGTTACATCGACTCGCTATGCGAGTCTGTAGCTCGCTATGCGAGTCTATGGGTTACCGTGCGAGTCTGTGGCTCTCCGTGCGAGTCTGTGGGTCTCTGTGTGAGTCTGTGGTTCTCTGTGTGAGTCTGTGGTTCTCTGTGCGAGTCTGTGGTTCTCTATGTGAGTCTGTGGGTCACTATGTGAGTCTGTGGGTCTCTATGTGAGTCTACGGGTCTCTCTGTGAGTCTATGGGTCTCTGTGTGAGTCTATGGCTCTCTGTGCGAGTCTGCGGCCCCCGTAGGCGGCACTTGTCCCAGCAGCAGCAGCCTGTTGTGGTGCTGCAGTGGTGGGGGTCTTTGTCCACGCGTTGGGTCGCACGGTTGTGAGATCCCGGTGTGGTGCGTCGTAAACATCGATGCTAGGGAAGACAAAGGCGGCCGGGCGTGGTGCTGGCCACCCACACCCCCTCGTGTGCCACAGTGCCGGCCTTCAAAGGCGCTACTCGCTAGCAGCACTTGCCCCTAAAGTAAGTTCAGGCTCTGGTGGGGGGGATCTTTGTATTTGTCACGTTGGGTGTGGACTTCGACGTGACTGTGTGCGTGTCGGGCTTATAGAGGCTCATTGTGTGCGCGTGTGTGAACATGTGTAGGCTATATAGAGGGTTTGCGTGTGTGTGTGTGTGCGTGTGTGTGAGCAAAAACAACCCCCTACCTCCTCGCGCTGCCGGACAGGCAACTCTGTCGTGGACAGTGCTGTGGAGAGAGGGCCAATTTCGATTGGCCCTCTCCCCTCATGGCGTCTGAGACCACCACAGTGGCTAAACGGGGGCTCTGGACGGGTGCGAGGGGCTGGCAACCCCTCCACCTTCAAAAAATTACCATGAAACCACGGCTTAAATATATAACTAATAAGCTTGTTCCGGAGGCCCCGGGGGGACAGGCGTCTATGACGTCTCCTGGCCAAACCCCAATTGGCGGAGCCAGGAGATTGAATCTCTACCCTCGGGGCTCCTCAAGAAACAACGAAAAGCCACTTTGTGTGGCCACGTGGAATGTTCGAACGCTCACTGCGGAGGAGAGGCTGCCACTCCTCTGTCGGGAGCTGGACCGGTACCGCCTGGATCTCTGTGGCATTCAGGAGGTAAGGTGGACCGGTTCTGGCTCCTGCCACCATAAGGGATGGACAGTCCTCTACTCGGGGCAGCAGACTGCCAAACAACAGGGTGTGGCTCTGCTTCTGAACAAAATAATGAAGGGGGCATGAGAGCGTGGCGGTAAGGTGTGGGAAGCTGTAAGCCCCAGGCTACTTTGGGCTCGCCTTCCCATCAACCGGAGGCGAGGAGTGGTGGTCGTGGTTACTTACGCCCCCACCGAATACAAACATCCGTGGAGCGATGCAGGCAAAGCCGATGAGTCAGATGCCTTCTATGACCTCCTGTCACAGGTGCTGGCTAAAGTGGCCCCTCGGGATAGAGTCATCTTGTTTGGTGACTTCAAATTGCCCGAGTTGGTCATGATGCTGGCACCTGGTTTGGAGTGATTGGAGGGCATGGGCCAGATCAGCTCAATAACAACGGTAGGAGGCTGCTAGATTTTTGCACAGTCACAATCACTTTAAGATGTTTTCTTGTTCATGTTTTTTGTTTGTTGCGGTTGCACCCGATTCAAGAGCCGAATGGCTCACAGGGCTATACCAAATAAATGAACTATGAACTATGAGCATCGTCCCCCACTCCTGATGTCGAGGGGAAATGGGCAAGGTTATGGACTGTGGCTCATGCAGCTGCAATGGCTGCTTTGAGTACACGGTCAAGACCTCCCCAGAGACCCTGGCTGACAGAGGAGGTGTTCAGGCAGGCTGAGAAAAAGCGACAGGCCCACTCTCACCATCTACAGCATCCCACGTCAGAGAATGAGGAGGCTTACCGAGCCTTCGCTCGGAGGTTCGGAGAGCCGTGAGGCGCTGCAAGGATGGGTGGTGGTCGCGGGTTGCTGAGGAGATGGAGTCTGCCTCAGTGGCCCGCGATCACAAATCTCTAACTCCATCAAAAAAGTAACCTGCAGCGCCACACCTATTACCATCAGAGGTAAAAATGGTGTTCCAATCTCCGACCCCCAGGAACAGGTTTGCAAATTTGCTGAGCATTTCTGTGAGGTCCTGGGGGAGGGGAAACCCCTCAGCCACGAAAACATCGTGGCACAAAGTGGGAATGACCCTTCTGAGGCTGCGGTGCCTCAAATATTGGAAGAAGTCACCCCCTGTGAGTGGCTGGCTGAGGTGTCATCTGTTGAGGAAGTACTGAAGGCGATCCGGTGTCTGAGACCAGGAAAGGCACCGGGCAGAGATGATCTCCCAAGCGAAATGCTGAGGGAGGGTGGCGTTTGTGCACAGACTGCCCTATATGACATAACAACAGTCTGGACTACTGGATGGGTTCCGCAAGATTGGAAGGATGCCCGGTGGTCCCCCTCTTTAAGAAGGGGGAACGCACAGACTGTAACAACTACAGGGGCATCTCACTCCTCAGTGGGCTGGGAAAGGTCCTGGCGAGGATTATTCAACATCGCCTTGCCAGGCACGCTGAGGAGAGGCTTGCGGAGCCCCAATGCGGTTTCAGGAAAGGGCGGTCCTGCACAGATGCCATATTTTCTGTTCGTCTGCTACAGCAGAGGTGTAGGAAATTCCAACAAGACCTACATCTCTGCTTTATTGACCTGGTCAAGGCCTATGATACCATCAGTAGGCCTGGGCTCTGGGTTGTTCTCCGTGCTTTTGGAGTCCCCGACCCCTGCTCACGATCATTAAGGACCTTCATGATGGTGAGCGGGCCCGGGTAAAACTACGTGGCTGGGAGTCAAAGCCATTCCCTGTACACCTTGGGCTGCGACAGGGATGTCCTCTGGCTCCCACATTATTTAACATCTATTTTGATCACGTCGTTCGTGAAGTCTTCAATAGCTGTACCGGGGTATCTCCATTTGGTACAGATATAATGGGAGGCTGATTGATGCCCGGGTGCGATCAAGGGATGGCTCCCTATTGCTCAACCACGTTATGTATGCCGATGATTTGGTAATAGCTGCTCATTCAGAGGAGTTGGAGACGCTCCTGCTGAGACTGGAGCGTGCCACTAAGAGATGGGGCCTTACCATCAGCCCCACCAAAACTAAGCACCTGCCTGGGTATTTTGTACCATCAGACACTCCACCCCCACAACTCCCAATCGGTGATGGGGCAGTTGTGGAGAGAGTGGAGAGTTTCCCATACCTGGGCAGTGTGCTTATGACTGGCTCCAGTTTAACAGCAGAGGTCTCACTCCGAATCAGTCGAGCGGCAATATCTTTTCATCGGTTGCGTAACGCTGTGTGAAAGCTACCTCGTCTGTCGCTCTGCACTAAGCTTCAGGTCTTCTCCGCCACGGTCATTCCCTCCCTTCTCTACGCTTGCGAAACGTGGACCCCCTTAATGGAACATCTTCGCCGGTTAGAAACATTTAGGCTAGCCTGCCTACGATCCATCCTGGGTTTAACAAGGCTGGATTGTGTGAGGAGCTCACAAATCCTTGAAAGATCTGGGCAAGGTCCCATCGGTGAGCTCCTCCAGCAGGCAAGGCTGCGTTGGCTGGGTCATGTAGCCCGCAAGCCCAACCACCACATGCCGAAACAGCTCTTGTTCGGCCGGATCGAGGGGGCTAAACGGGCGCGGCACGGGCTAGAGAAGAGATGGAGTGATGTGGTACAGGAAGACGTGGAGCTGAGTGGACTTGCCGATGACTGGTACCAGCAGTGTCAAGATCGGCCTCTGTGGAGGAGGCTCGTGAAGGACGCTGCTGCTGCTACTGGGCAGTTGGAGGCAGTCGCCCTCCAACAACAACGGAGGGCGGAGGAGCGACGCTCACAACAGCGAGTGGAGCACCGGGTGGCTAAAGCACAGCAAGTTGGCACAGTAGGGAGCACAGGTGGTGCATCTGCCAGTCATCTCAGTCAGCTTAGTCAGTCGACCCGTGGCACCTGGGTCTGCCCCGTGACCTCCTGCCAGCGGGCGTTCGACACTTCACGTGGCCTCAAGGTGCACATAGCCTGGCACAAGCGTCGTGGTGACGTCACCGCCACTTAGTGGCGAATGGCGGTTGTTGTTGTGTGTGAGCGCGCGCGTGTGCGTGTGTGTTTGTGTGTGCAAGCGTGTGTGTGTGTGCGTGTGTGTTTGTGTGTGCGCGTGTTTGTGTGTGTGCAAGCGCGTGTGCGTGTGTGCTCGTCGGTAGCAATGGTGAAACACTCCCCGCGCATGGGGGTGCAGGTGGGGGGGGGCGCAAGGGGGTGCAGGTGGGGGGGGGGCGCAAGGGGGTGCGGGTGGATGGAGTCTACGGCTCCCTATACGAGTCTCTGTCTCTCGCTGCGAGCCACACGGCCCCCCCCCCCCCCGCGCGAGCCAGCCAGCCCACCTGTCACCACCCCCCCCACGAGCCAGCCAGCCCACCTGTCACCCTCCCCCCCGCGAGCCAGCCAGCCCACCTGTCACCCCCCCCCCCCCCACGAGCCAGCCCACCTGTCACCACCACCCCCCCCACGAGCCAGCCCACCTGTCACCACCGCCCCCGCGAGCCAGCCAGCCCACCTGTCACCCCCCCCCCACGAGCCAGCCCACCTGTCACCACCCCCCCCCACGAGCCAGCCAGCCCACCTGTCACCACCCCTCCCCCCACGAGCCAGCCCACCTGTCACCACCCCCCCCCACGAGCCAGCCAGCCCACCTGTCACCACCCCCCCCCCACGAGCCAGCCCACCTGTCACCACCCCCCCCCCCCACGAGCCAGCCCACCTGTCACCCCCCCCCCCCCGCGAGCCAGCCAGCCCACCTGTCACCCCCCCCCCCCCCACGAGCCAGCCCACCTGTCACCACCCCCCCCCCCACGAGCCAGCCCACCTGTCACCACCCCCCCCCCCCCACGAGCCAGCCCACCTGTCACCACCCCCCCCGCGCGAGGAGTGCGGTCACGACGAGCGCCGCTGCCGCGGCCCCCCCCGGCGCCGAGCCACCGCCGTGGTCCCCCCGGGGCCCCCGAGCTGCAGTCGAGGGGCTGCGCCGCGCCGCCCGAGCGTGCCGCCGGCGGTGAGCAGGAGCACACGGAGGCGTTGAACACGAGCAGCGTGGTCTGTGGCGGGCGGCCCGAGTCGGCCACGCTGACGGGGACGAGGTGCTGGCCCCGGGACACCTCGGAGAGCGACACCAGGTCGGCGTGCGTCTCTGTGTGTGGGGGAGGGGGGGGGAGGGGGAAGGGGAGTGAGATGGTGGTGGGAGGAGGAGGAGGGGGGAGGAGGAGGAGGAGGGGGAGGGGGAGGAGGGGGAGGGGGAGGAGGAGGAGGTGGAGGGGGTGGTGGTGGGAGGAGGAGGAGGGGGGGGGAGTGAGGTGGTGGTGGGAGGAGGAGGAGGGGGGGAAGAGGAGGAGGGGGAGGAGGAGGAGGGGGAGGAGGGAGGAGGGGGGAGGGGGTGGAGGGAGGGGGTGGTGGTAGGAGGAGGTGGGAGGAGAGGGGGGGAGGAGGGGATGGAGGAGGGAGGTGGGAGGAGGATGGCCGAGGAGGGGAATGGGAAAGGAGGAGGGGGAAGGAGGAGTGAGGTGGTGGGAGGAGGAGGAGGAGGAGGGAGGGGGGAGGGGGAAGGAGGAGTGAGGTGGTGGGAGGAGGAGGAGGGAGGTGGGAGGAGGATGGCCGAGGAGGGGAATGGGGGAAGAAAAAGGAGGAGGGGGAGGTGGTGGGAGGAAGGAGGAGGGGGGAAGAGGATGGGCGAGGAGGGGGGTGGAGAAGGAGGGAGGGAGGAGGTGAATGAGAAAGGAGGAGGGGGAAGGAGGAGTGAGGTGGTGGGAGGAGTAGGGGGGGCGGAAGGAGGAGGGGGAGGGAGATCTTTATTCATACAGGAGGAGGAATCCGATGAGCTATGAAGCTCTTTTTTCACAGATGTCCAGTAGGAGCACGGGCTCAGAACGTCACAACAACAACAACACGGTACACAATGAGAGTACAAGGTATAGGAAAGGTAAACACATCACTTAAACATACATGCTAATAAAACTAGGATAGCTACCATGATGTAGATGATCACCCCGAGCTCGCATTTCTCTGACAGTGGCATTCTCTTTGTGCTGTGTGCGCCTTGTGGCGCTGTCCTCTGGTCTCTTAACACCGCTTTGAGACGAGGCTCACAAGAAAAGCTGTCTCTGGTGTGGACCAATCAGCTTCAAAGACAATGCCACGTAGATTATCAGAGCGTGTGTTTTGTTTGCATTCTGACCGCAAGCGTTTGCGGTTAATGCAGACGTGATTCCTTATTAAAGGTTTTTATTTTGGTGTTTTAACAACTTAACACCTGTTTTGTTGCCAAAAAAAATTGGGGGAAAACCCTATTGTCAAAACTAAGATGTTAGTTTATTTTTCTTAACAAGTACTGCCCACTGAGCTGTTAGTTTATTTTTCAGACGCGACCTGGCCTTAACAAATGACAGCTGGCAAACGAAATTTGGGCTCATCGCCATCGTGCGGAATTTCACAGCAGCCAATGAATCGACGTAATCTCAGCGCGCGTGTCTCCAATGTGGAGGGTCAAAAACCGGAGGACCCGGAGAGAGAGACAAAAAAATCACACGGGGAGAAAGAGAAACACGCAAACTACAAATATACAGCAGCAGGCGTCAGGGTCGGGGTCGAACCCACGACCTCCTGTACACCAGGCGAGGTAGTTAACATCTCCTAGCCACCGTGATTATGATGAGATAAAGACAAACTCCAAATATACAGCAGCAGCAGGCGTCAGGGTCGGGATCGAACCCAAGACCTCCTGTATCCTAGGCGAGGTAGTTAACATCTCCTAGCCACCGTGATTATGATGAGATAAAGACAAACTCCAAATATACAGCAGCAGCAGGCGTCAGGGTCGGGATCGAACCCAAGACCTCCTGTATCCTAGGCGAGGTAGTTAACATCTCCTAGCCACCGTGATTATGATGAGATAAAGACACAAACTCCAAATATACAGCAGCAGCAGGCGTCAGGGTCTGGGATCGAACCCACGACCTCCTGTACACCAGGCGAGGTAGTTAACATCTCCGAGCCACCGTGATGATGATGAGAGAGAGAGAGAGAGACACGTAAACTCCAAATATACAGCAGCAGCAGGCGTCAGGGTCGGGATCGAACCCACGACCTCCTGTACACCAGGCGAGGTAGTTAACATCTCCTAGCCACCGTGATTATAATGAGATAAAGACAAACTCCAAATATACAGCAGCAGCAGGCGTCAGGGTCGGGATCGAACCCAAGACCTCCTGTATCCTAGGCGAGGTAGTTAACATCTCCTAGCCACCGTAATTATGATGAGATAAAGACACAAACTCCAAATATACAGCAGCAGCAGGCGTCAGGGTCTGGGATCGAACCCACGACCTCCTGTACATCAGGCGAGGTAGTTAACATCTCCGAGCCACCGTGATGATGATGAGAGAGAGAGAGAGAGACACGCAAACTCCAAATATACAGCAGCAGCAGGCGTCAGGGTCGGGATCGAACCCACAACCTCCTGTACACCAGGCGAGGTAGTTAACATCTCCTAGCCACCGTGATGATGATGGTGAGAGAGAGAGACGCGCAAACTCCAAACATACAGCAGCAGGCGTCAGGGCGTACCAGGCGTGGGAGATCACATCGCATCACTGTGGTGTCTTAAATAAGTGTATTTATATAAAGTATATCAATCTTGACTTAAAGCTTTCGTAACTGCAGGAATTCAGTAAAGTCACGTAGATAGGTTCAACTTTCTTTTTTCCTGATGACGACCGCTTGTGTTGCGGTCGAAACGTCGTAGTTTTTTTTGTTATTTTCTTTGAACCTATCAACGTGACTTTACCGAAAGACCCACAGAATATAATGTATATAAGTTCAAATTGCATTTGTACAACAATTCCCCAGGTTTTGGGGAAATGTTGAAGTGGTGATTGTTGGTGATGGTGGTGGTGAAGTCGGTGATGGTGGTGAGGGAATTTATTTACCTATCATCAACAACAACAACCACCATTTGCCACGAAGTGGCGGTGACGTCACCACGACGCTTGTGCCAGGCTATGTGCACGTTGAGGCCACGTGAAGTGTCGAACGCCCGCTGGCAGGAGGTCATGGGACAGACCCAGGTGCCACCGGTCGACTGACTGAGATGACTGGCTGATGCACCACCTGTGCCCCCTACTGTGCCAACTTGCTGTGCTTTAGCCACCCGGCGCTCCGCTCGTTGTTGTGAGCGTCGCTCCTCCTCCCTCCGTTGTTGTTGGAGGGCGACTGCCTCCAACTGCCCAGTAGCGTCCTTCACAAGCCTCCTCCACAGAGGCCGATCTTGACACCGCTGGTACCGGTCATCGGCAAGTCCACTCAGCTCCACATCCTCCTGCACCACTTCACTCCATCTCTTTTCTAAGCCATGCCGCGCCTGTTTAGCCCCCTCGATCCAGCCGAACAAAAGCTGTTTAGGCGTGCGGTGGCTGGGCATGCAGGCTACATAACCCAGCCAACGCAGCCTTGCCTGTCGGAGGAGCTCACCGATGGAGCTTGTCCAGATCTTTCAAGCATATGTGAGCTCCTCACACAATCCAGTCTGGTTAAACCCAGGATGGATCGTAGGCAGGCCAGCCTAAATGTTTCTAACCGGCGAAGATGTTCCATTAGGGGGGTCCACGTTTCGCAAGCGTAGAGAAGGGAGGGAATGATTGTGGTCGAGAAGACCCGAAGCTTCGTGCGGAGCGACAGACCAGGTGGCTTCCACACAGCGTTACGCAATCGATGAAAATATAATGCCGCTCGACTGATTCGGAGTGAGACCTCTGCTGTCAAACCGGAACCGGTTATGAGCACACTGCCCAGGTATGGGAAACTCTCCACTCTCTCCACAACTGCCCCATCACCGATTGAGAGTTGTGGGGGTGGGTGTCCGATGGTACAAAATACCTAGGCAGGTGCTTAGTTTTGGTGGGGCTGATAGTAAGTTCCCATCTCTTAGAGGCACGCTCCAGTCTCAGCAGCAGCGTCTCTAACTCCTCCTCTGAATGAGCAGCTATTACCAAATCATCGGCATACATAACATGGTTTAGCAATAGGGAACCTTCTCTTGACTGCACCCGGGCATCGATCAGCCTCCCATTATATCTGTACCATATGGAGATTCCCCCGGTACAGCTATTGAAGGCTTCACGAACTACGTGGTCAAAATAGATGTTAAATAATGTGAGAGCCAGAGGACATCCCTGTCGCACCCCAAGGTGTACAGGGAATGGCTCTGACTCCCGGCCACGTAGTTTTACCCGGGCCTGCTCACCATCATGAAGGTCCTTAATGATGGTGAGCAGAGAGTCAGGGACTCCGAAAGCACGAAGAACAACCCAGAGCCCAGGCCTACTGATGGTATCATAGGCCTTGACCAGGTCAATAAAGCAGAGATGTAGGTCTTGTTGGAATTCCCTACACCTCTGCTGTAGCAGACGGACAGAAAATATGGCATCTGTGCAGGACCGACCTTTCCTGAAACCACATTGGGGCTCCGCAAGCCTCTCCATCAACACCACCACCTCTACTGCCACCACCTCTAGCATCACCAAAACCACCATTTCAACAACCACTACCATCACCACCATGACCACCACCGCCGTCTCTACCATCACCACAATCGCCACCATCTCTCCCGCCGCCACCATCGCCGCTGCCGCCCCCACCATCACAATCACCATGTCAACAATCGTCGCACCGTCCGCAACCACCACCAGCACCACCTTCACCATCGCCGCCGCCACCATCGCCGCCTCACCGTTGACGACGTCGAGGCGCCAGCTGAGGCGCAGCTTCTCCTCCTCGGTGGGCACCCCGAGGAGGGCGAGGAGGCGCTGCGCAGGCCCCGCGCTCTGCGCGCGGTGGCCCAGCCGGAAGGTGAACGGCCCCGCGTTGCCCGGGAGGTCGTGGGGGTCGGAGGCGACGAGGGTGGCGAGGGAGCGGTTGGCGAGCGAGCCGCGCCCCGTGCACACGAGCGCCCACGCCGGTGACACCGCGGGCGCGTGGTCGTTCTCGTCGGAGAGGCGCAGCAACAGCGTGGCCGTGGACGACGCCGGCGGGTGGCCTGCGGGGTGGTGGGGGCGGCGGGGGGAGGGGGGGGGTCATCGTGACTGGGTGCCACGGTGGCTAGGAGATGTTAACTAGCTCGCCTGCTGTGCAGGAGGTCGTGGGTTCAATCCCGACTTATGCCTGCTGCTGCTGTATATTTGGAGTTTGTGTCTCTCATCATCATCATCATCATCACGGTGGCTAGGAGATGTTAACTAGCTCGCCTGGTGTGCAGGAGGTCGTGGGTGCGATCCCGACTGACGATGCCTGCTGTTTATTTGGAGTTTGCGTGTCTCTCTCTCATCATCATCATCATCACGGTGGCTAGGAGATGTTAACTAGCTCGCCTGGTGTGCAGGAGGTCGTGGGTGCGATCCCAACTGACGATGCCTGTTGTTTATTTGGAGTTTGCGTGTCTCTCTCATCATCATCATCATCACGGTGGCTAGGAGATGTTAACTAGCTCGCCTGGTGTGCAGGAGGTCGTGGGTGCGATCCCGACTGACGATGCCTGCTGTTTATTTGGAGTTTGCGTGTCTCTCTCATCATCATCATCATCACGGTGGCTAGGAGATGTTAACTAGCTCGCCTGGTGTGCAGGAGGACGTGGGTGCGATCCCGACTGACGATGCCTGCTGTTTATTTGGAGTTTGCGTGTCTCTCTCTCATCATCATCATCATCATCACGGTGGCTAGGAGATGTTAACTAGCTCGCCTGGTGTGCAGGAGGTCGTCGGTGCGATCCCGACTGACGATGCCTGCTGTTTATTTGGAGTTTGCGTGTCTCTCATCATCATCATCACGGTGACTAGGAGATGTTAACTAGCTCGCCTGGTGTGCAGGAGGTCGTGGGTGCGATCCCGACTGACGATGCCTGTTGTTTATTTGGAGTTTGCGTGTCTCTCTCATCATCATCATCACGGTGGCTAGGAGATGTTAACTAGCTCGCCTGGTGTGCAGGAGGTCGTGGGTTCAATCCCGACTTACGCCTGCTGCTGCTGTATATTTGGAGTTTGTGTGTCTCTCATCATCATCATCATCACGGTGGCTAGGAGATGTTAACTAGCTCGCCTGGTGTGCAGGAGGTCGTGGGGTGCGATCCCAACTGACGATGCCTGCTGTTTATTTGGAGTTTGCGTGTCTCTCATCATCATCATCACGGTGGCTAGGAGATGTTAACTAGCTCGCCTGGTGTGCAGGAGGTCGTGGGTGCGATCCCAACTGACGATGCCTGTTGTTTATTTGGAGTTTGCGTGTCTCTCTCATCATCATCATCATCACGGTGGCTAGGAGATGTTAACTAGCTCGCCTGGTGTGCAGGAGGTCGTGGGTGCGATCCCGACTGACGATGCCTGCTGTTTATTTGGAGTTTGCGTGTCTCTCTCATCATCATCATCATCACGGTGGCTAGGAGATGTTAACTAGCTCGCCTGGTGTGCAGGAGGTCGTGGGTGTGATCCCGACTGACGCCTGCTGCTGTATATTTGGAGTTTGCGTGTGTCTCTCCCCGTAGTCGCGTGGATTTTTCCCCGCACCCTCCCCCTCCCCCCGCACGCGTTTAAGATTATTGGGCTACTATCAATTTCCCGCACGATGACAAAGCCACGTCTCGTTGGGCCAACCATTCGTGCTGGCCTGGTCGCGTGTGGGAGAGAGCTGCATCCCTGCAGTGGGCCTTTACCTGTTAACATTTCGGAGAAAAAAAATTGTTAAATTGTTAGTTTCATTTAGATTGTTATTATGGCTTTTATTTTGAGTCTTCCGCTCGTTTGCCGAGTGGAGCCACGCTGCCGAGTCACAGGACTCGAGTTGAAGAGGGCCCTGCCCCTGAAGCTGACACATTTTGGCGTTTGTCTGCAAGATGATTGCAGCGCACAATTAACGATGATGATGCTGATGACGAGGACGAGTCGTGTTTATTATTCACGTGCGGAGGCCACGCCTTGTGCGAGGGGGCAACGCTCTATCCCCACCCCCGTACCGATGGAATCAACAGACGGCGATGAGTCCACACACTCTGCTGCTGCTGCTGTACCACCACCGCGTGCTACCTGTCAGGGGTACGGCTCCTCCTCGACACCCACCCACGGGAAGGGAGTTTCACAACCCATCTGTGCGTGATCCACCAACCCTGTCTGCTGCATCGACAGCGCTGGGTCACAGGAGCCATGACGTGGTAATTGAGGCGGTGGTGGTGATTGAGGAGGTGGTGGTGATTGATTGAGGTGTGGTGGTGATTGATTGAGGTGGTGGTAGTGATTGAGGTGGTGATTGAGGTGGTGGTGGTGGAGGTGATTGAGGTGGTGGTGATTGAGGTGGTGGTGGAGGTGGTGGAGATTGAGGTGGTGATTGAGGTGGTGATTGAGGTGGTGGTGGTGATTGAGGTGATTGAGGTGGTGGAGGTGGTGGTGATTGAGGTGGTGGTGATTGAGGTGGTGGTGGTGATTGAGGTGATTGAGGTGGTGTTGGTGGTGGAGGTGGTGGTGATTGAGGAGGTGGTGGAGGTGATTGAGGAGGTGGTGGAGGTGGTGGTGATTGAGGTGGTGGAGGTGGTGGTGATTGAGGTGGTGGAGGTGGTGGTGGAGGTGGTGGTGATTGAGGTGGTGGAGGTGGTTGTGGAGGTGGTGGTGGTGGTGGTGGAGGTGGTGGTGGAGGTGGTGGTGGTGGTGGTGGTGATTGAGGTGGTGGTGATTGAGGTGATTGAGGTGGTGGTGGAGGTGGTGGAGATAACTACAGTCAGGCTGACTCCGAGGTTGCTGCTCGCAACCTCGCGTCCCTGCGCCCCCACGTCTCCATGTGCCCGTGTCTCCCCCTGCCCCCCACTCCCACGTGTACCCCCCACGTGCCCCCCACGTCTCCATGTGCCCGTGTCTCCCCCTGCCCCCCCCTCCCACGTGTACCCACCACGTGCCCCCCACGTCTCCATGTGCCCGTGTCTCCCCCTGCCCCCCCCCCCACGTGTACCCCCCACGTGCCCCCCCACGTGCCATTGTCGGTGGCGAGGAACGTGGCCTCGTAGTCGTGGCCGTGGTTGACGTGGACCGACTCGCGGTCGAGCACCGCGGTGGTGGTGACGACGCCGGAGAGGGCGTCCACGCGCAGCCAGCGAGCCGGGTCGCTCAGCACCGAGTAGCTGCCGGGGCGGAGAGACACACAGACAGAACTGTGAGACACGGAGACAGAGAGACACGGAGACAGAGAGACACGGAGACAGACAGACAGAACTGTGAGACACGGAGACAGAGAGACACGGAGACAGAGAGACACGGAGATAGAGAGACACGGAGACAGAGAGACACGGAGATAGAGAGACACGGAGACAGAGAGACACGGAGTCAGAGAGACACGGAGATAGAGAGACACAGAACAGACAGACAGAACTGTGAGACACAGAGAACAGTGAGACACGGAGACAGAGAGACACGGAGACAGAGAGACACAGAACAGACAGACAGAACTGTGAGACACGGAGACAGAGAGACACGGAGACAGAGAGACACGGAGATAGAGAGACACGGAGACAGAGAGACACGGAACAGTGAGACACGGAGACAGAGAGACACGGGGGCGGAGAGAGACAGAACAGTGAGACACGGGGATGGAGAGAGACACAGAACAGTGAGACACGGAGAGAGAGACAGAGAACAGTGAGACACGGAGAGAGACACGGAGAGAGAGACAGAACAGTGAGACACGGAGAGACAGAGAACAGTGAGACACGGAGTCAGAGAGACACAGAACAGTGAGACACGGAGAGAGACACGGAGAGAGAGACACGGGGGCGCAGAGAGCCAGAATTTGTGAGACACGGGGACAGAGAGAAACACGATAATAGCAAGAGAGAGATTGAGTTAACGTGAAACATAATCTGACGTTACCACCACCATCACCTCCACAACCATCATCGCCATCACCACCGACACCGCAACTGCCACCACCACCGCTCCCATACAACCACATCCACCACACCAAAGACAAAGTTCCCCCGTGTAGCCTGTAACAGACTGTAGGAGCAAGTGCTGTTAGCCAGCACCTACGAAGGCCGGAACGGAACACGAGGGGGTGGGTGGCCAACACCGAGGCCCGGCCGCCTTTGTCTCTCAAGTAGTCATGTTTAGACACCGAAGCAGATACTCTTTGAGGCTGAGTCGACCTAGGGGAGTCCCAGGACCGGTTCAGGCAATCGTCACCGGGTGTTGGCCGCAGAGCGAGGAATCGAACTCGGATCGCGGCGGCTCGCAGCGCCGCGTGGTGCTAACCGCTAACACCGCCGCTCTCCTCCGGCACCGCCACTCCCCTCTCGCGCTACCGCGTCCACCGCCTCCCATCGCCGCCGTCGCCAAAACCGCGGCCTCCCCGCGGCCCTCACCGCACGATCTGCTGCTGCGCGTGGTCGGGGTCGCTGGCGTTGAGGCGCGCCACCGTGGCGCCCGGCCGGAGGCCCTCCTGCTGGAGCGCCACCACGGTGGCATTGGGCCCGTGGTGGAACACGGGCGGCTCGTTGGTATCCAGCACCGACACCACGATGGTGGCCGTCGACGCGTGGGGGAGGCGCACGTGGGGCACCAGTGGGGCCAGGTTGTCCGCGCGCACCAGCAGGGCGTGCACGCGCCACGTCTCGTAGTCCAGCGGCTGGGAGGGGGGGGGGGGAGTGCTGTGTTAGCGAGCGTGGTGGTGGTGGTGGTGGTGGCGGCGGTGGTGGTGGTGGTGGTGGTGGCGGTGGGGACGTGGTCGTTGGGGGGGTCGTGGGTCTGGAGAGGTGGTTGTGGGGCAGGGGAGGCGGTGGTGGTTGGGGAGGTGGTGGTGATGGTGCTGGGGAATTGGTGGTGGTGGTGGTGGGAAGGTGATGGTTGGGGACGTAGTGGTGGTGGTGGTGGTTGGGGAGGTGGTGGTAGTGGTGCTGGAGTGGTAGTGGCGGTGGCGGTGCGTGAGCCGCGTTACCTGCGCCAGGCCGAGGATGCCGCGGTTGCTGTGTGGCCGCGTGCTCACGTTGAACGTGCCGTCCGTGTCGCCGCTGATGATGGAGAAGGAGACCTCCCAGTTGGCGCTGCCACGCTCGTCCACGTCGCGCACCGTCAGGTTCAGCAGAGGCCTCACCACGTTCTCCTCCACGGACACCTCGAACTGCCCCGGTGGTGGGGGGGGGGCGCGGGGGGGATAAGGGGGGAGATAAAATTATAAAACCATAAACTCTTTTGGATTTTACCAGGTAAGGCCCACGGCTGAGCTACTATGTAACTATTTTTCACAGGGGGGCCTGGCTCTCACAAATGATAACCCAATGAAGCGGCCGCTTATAGTCATCGTGTGGAAATTTTAGAGCAGCGGCCAAATTCTCTAAACGCGTGGCGACGTCGATTCTATTCGCGTGAAGGGAAAAATGCGGAGGACCCGGAGAAAAATCCACGCGAGCACGGGGAGAAAAAGAGAGAGACACGCACACTCCAAATATATAGCCGGCGTCAGGGTCGGGATCGAAGCCACGACCTCCTGTAGACCAGGCGAGGTAGTTAACATCTCATAGCCACTGCGGCGGAGCCGCTGGAGAGACAGCAGGAGAAAGTGTGAGCTAGAAGATGGGGAGACGAGGAGATACACACGAGACGGGAGATGGGGAGAGGGGGCGGAGGAGGAGACGGTGTGAGGGAGGGGGTGTCCCCGTGGTGTCCCCAGGGTGTCCCCGGGGTGTCCCCGTGGTGTCCCCGCGGTGTCCCCGCAGTGTCCCTGGGGTGTCTCCGTGGTGTCCCCAGGGTATCCCCACGGTGTCCCCGGGGTGTCCCCGGGGGTGAAGGTCCAGTACCCGCGTGGTCGGGTGGAAGACGGGTGGGTTGTCGTTGATGTCGGCGATGGTGACGGTGACCGTGCTGCTCCTCACCAGGCCCGAGTCTCCGCCAGCCATGTCCGATACGCTCACCACCAGCTCGTAGGTGAGCGTGGCCAGCGCCTGCACTCGGTGAGGGTGGGGAGACAGGGTGACGGCGCGGTGGCCGCTGTCACGGCGCGTTGGGAGGGGGGGGGGAGGATTCGCGGTTCGGGGCCCGGCGAATGGCCGCGCGGGCCGCCCTGGTAAATATATGTGCGGTGTGCGAGTGCGACATCGCGGCAGGGAACGCCAAAGGTCGGCGTTGAAAATGGGCAAGGCTATCGTGGAGTCCGGCAATTGCCGTTGGCGGCGATCTCCGCTTTTTTTGCCGGGCTCGCCAATCGCTGCACCTCGCGGTCGAGCAGCTGCGGGTCGGAGGTCGTCGTGATGTCGCCGCTGAGGGGGTCGATGGCGAAGCTGACGGCCGAGCGGTTGGCGGGCGGTGGGCGCGGAGGCCCCAGCGAGTAGCGAAGCTCCGCGTTCCCCGTCTCCGGGTTGTCCGGGTCATCCGCCTCCACGTGGATCACGTGGTGACCTGCGTACACGGAGGGAGTGCGGGGCGGGGGGGGGGGGAGGCATATTCCCTCGACCGATCAAAACATTTTCAATCTCAATACGCGAGATCTTTGTCTCCGTGAATGTGTCCATCACACCTCCGATAAGCTCCGGTTGACTGCGTACGTTGCGAAAGAAGTTCGAAATACACATATATAATAACAGCACTTGCCCCAACGGTCTGTTGAGGCTACATGGGGGACCTTTGTCTTTGTGTGTGAGTGCGCGCGTTACCGCGGGGTGCGTGCTCGGGCAGCTGCGCGTGGAAGGGCTCATGCTGGAAGCGCGGGCGGTTGTCGTTCTGGTCGAGCACGTGGACGAGCATCACGGTGGGACCCTCCACCACGTCGCCCGAGCGGTTTCATCACCGACACCGTCAGCTGTGGGGGATGTGGGGGGGGGGGGGCGGCAGAGGGGCAGGGAGGGGGGGGAGATGGGAGGACATTGAGATGGGAGGATATTGAGATTGGAGGACATTGAGATGGGAGGACATTGAGATTGGACATTGAGATGGGAGGATATTGAGATTGGAGGACATTGAAATTGGAGGACATTGAGATGGGAGGACATTGAGATTGACATTGAGATGGAAGGACATTGAGATTGGACATTGAGATGGGAGGACATTGAATTGGACATTGAGATGGGAGGACATTGAGATGGGAGGACATTGAGATGGCAGGAGATTCAGATGGGAGGACATTGAGATTGGACATTAAGATGGGAGGACATTGAGATGGGAGGACATTGAGATGGGAGACAATTGAGATCGGAGGACATTAAGATTGAAGGACATTGAGATTGGAGGACATTGAGATGGGAGGACATTGAATTGGACATTGAGATGGGAGGACATTTGAGATTGGAGGACATTGAGATGGAAGGACAATGAGTTTGGACATTGAGATGGGAGGACATTGAATTGGACATTGAGATGGGAGGACATTGAGATGGGACGACATTGAGAATGACATTGAGATGGAAGGACATTGAATTGGACATTGAGATGGGAGGACATCGAATTGGACATTGAGATGGGAGGACATTGAGAATGACGAAGAGAACCGCAGAAGGGGAGGCGTAGCAATGGAGGATAACCAGGAAAGAGGTCGCGCGGAAACAATTGACGATCAATAACGCGGGACGAGAAGCGGCGAGGACGAGAAGCGGCGAGGACGGGGCGGGGAGGAGCAGGAGGGGACACGTGGGGATGCCGCGCCTGGTGGGTGGCGTTGCGCTCGCGGTCGAGGGCGCGGAGCACGTAGACGTCGCCCGACGCCGCGTCGATGGAGAACGTCCGGGTGGGGTCCTCGATGCTGCCCGACGCGGACAGCGTGAACCTGTGGCCATCCTCCGCGTTGCTCGTCCTCCACACCTGGGGTGGCCCGGGAGGTTCGGGCGATTTTTTTTAAAAAGCGATCCGCGCCTCGTCGTCATCGGGCCGCGACGTAAGAGGAACCAGCACCCCCCCACCTACCCCCCCCCCCTTGCCCCGCTCGCGTCGTTTTACGGAGGCCTCCCCCACCGCAACACTGACGAATAGACATTCGGGCGCACGTGCGTGCCTACGTGCGTACGCATGTAGGCACGCACACGTAGGTACGTGCGTGCGTGCGTGCGTACCACAAGTCTTGCTGCGCGGGCTGCGGTATCCGCGGCAAGACTCGTCATACGCACGTGCACACGCACGCACGTACCCACGCGTGCTTGCGTGCGTGTGCACGTGTGTGTGTACATGCGCATACACACAACAACAACAAACAATACAAAAATACGACAGGAGTGCAAAGTATAGGCAAGGTAAAAAAAAGTATATTACAAAAAATACAAACAAATAAAACTAAACTATATTTTTTCTTATCGTGCCAGGTAAGGCCCCGACTGAGCTGTCCGCTTCTTTTTCAGAAGCGGCCTGGCCACCGCAAATGAGAGCTCAAACGAGGTGGCTGATATCGACGCGTGGAAACTTATCGCAGCAAAAGATATCTAAAATAATCCAGACGCGCGTTTCTATGCGTGATCATGACGAGGCGGTGGCCGGGCACTTGCCGCGTCGGAAGAACGCTTTCGTGCTCACTCGATAAATCGGAGTCGTTAGCGCCGTTTAAAAAAAACAAAAGAAAACTCTCTTCTTCAAGTTGGCCTTCATCCACCCACCAACCTGCCCAGTGACGGGGCCTTTAGCCCCCTGCAGGTCCCGTTCATTTCCCGGCTCTCCAACACGCACGCGGGCGGCGCGTTGGAGGGATCTTAGGGTGCGGCGCGGTCGTTATCGAGAAGAACGAGTCGGTGGGTCGGAACGGCCTCGTGGATTATTGCCAGGAAGGGGTAAAAGCTGTTCTTGCTTTTTCATACTTGGACGCTGGCAGAATAGGCCCCGTGTGGTTATGTCGTGGATTATTTGCACGTCCGCGCGCGTGCCCCGGACCGGTTGCGTTCGTTGCTTGACGTTCGGTTCTCAAAACGGTTACCGGTTTTTTTAAGTGGTTAGAACCCCCCCCCCCCTCCCCCGCCACTACACCACCCTGAGTTTTGTGTGGAGAGCGAGAGGGGTGGGGGGGGGGGGGCAGACCTTTCCGATGCGACGTGGGAACGGTGGCCGCTGATTCTCGGATACCAGGAGCTCAGGGGCGAAGATGGCTCTCCTGCTCCTCCTGGCATTGAACGGCGCCGCCTGCTCACGCCACCAACACCGCCGCCATCATCAACATCATCATCAACATCACTATCAACACCGCCGCCATCATCATCAACATCACCATCAACACCGCCGCCATCATCAACATCATCATCAACATCACCATCAACATCGCCATCATCATCAACATCACCATCAATATCGCCACCATCATCAACATCATCATCATCAACATCATCATCAACATCACCATCAATATCATCGCCATCATCATCAACATCATCATCAACACCGCCGCCATCATCAACATCATCATCATCAACATCACCATCAACATCGCCATCATCATCAACATCATCAACATCACCATCAATATCGCCATCATCATCAACTTCATCAAATCGCCACCATCTACCCACACCGCCAACACCGCCACCATCATCAACATCGCCACCATCATCATCAACATCACCATCAATATCGCCATCATCATCAACTTCATCAGCATCGCCACCATCTCCCCACACCGCCAACACCGCCACCATCAACATCATCAACATCGCCACCATCATCATCACCATCAACCACCGTTACCATGGTGATTTGAGGAGGTACTCACCCATTCACAGCCCAGCCTGTCAGACGGATCTGCAGATCCTGAGCACACACAGAGACAAAGACAAAGATCCCCCGTGTAGCCTCCATAATAAACTGGGCAAGTGCTGTCAGCGAGTAGCAGCACCTATGAAGGCGGGCACGGCACACGAGGGGGTGGACGTCCAGCACCACGCCCGGCCGCCTTTGTCTCCCCAGTGGCGATGTTTACTACACACCGTACCGGCTACTCATTTGAGGCTGAGTCGACCTAGGGGAGGGCCCAGGACCGGTTCAGATAATCGTCACCGGTGGTGTTGGTGGCCGTGAGCGGGAGTCGAACTCGGGTCGCCGGGGTTCGTAGCGCAGCGCAGCGCTAACCGCTGCGCCACCGCTCCCCACAATTAAGACCGGCACAGACACAGACAAAGATCCCCCGTGTAGCCTGTAACAGGCTGTAGGGGCAAGTGCTGTTAGCGAGCAGCAGCACCTATGAAGGCCGGCACTGTGGCACACGAGGCGGTGGGCGTCCAGCACCACGCCCGGCCGCCTTTGTCTCTCCCCAGTGCGTACTCATCTGAGGCTGAGCCGACCTAGGGGAGGGCCAGATAGCCGTCACTGGGTATTGGCCGTAGAGCGGGAATCGAACTCGGCTCGCCGGGTTCGTAGCGTGGCGTAGCGCGCTAACCGCTGCGCCACCACTCCCCGCACGCTCGCGCGCGCGCGCGCACGGTGCAGACGGCTGTTACTGGAGGTGAGCCGATGGTGGCTCAGGGAGGAGGAGGATGACTTCATCCAGCAGTGGATCGACCACGGCTCATGATGATGACGACGATGATTTTACCTTGGAGGCATCGTGGTGGGGCGTACGGTGCTAAAGACTCGATCACGTGGCAGATCTGAAACACACCCGGACGGACAGCACACACACACACACAGAGGCATCACACACCCATTGACCACACAGACAAAGGTCCCCCGTGTAGCCCACCGACTGTTGGGGGCAAGTGCTGTTTGAGAGTAGCACCGCCTATGAAGGATGGAACGGGACACGAGGGGGTTGTTGGGTTCGGTGGCCAGCACCACGCCCGCCCGGCCGCCTTTGTCTCCCTTGTGGCGATGTTGTTGTCACTTTACACGTAGCGTCAGTTACTCGTGTTTAAGGCTGAGTCGACCTAGGAGAGAGCCAGGACCGATAATCGCTGGCGGTGTTGGCGGCCGCGAGCGAGAATCGAACTTGGGGGGGGGGGGTCTCTGGCGCAGGGTTCATAGACGCGGCTCCACACACACATACAGCTACACACACACAGCTACACATACAGCTACACACACACAGCTACACACACACAGCTACACACACACAGCTACACACACACACCACACACACACAGCTCCACACACACACACACAGCTCCACACACATCACACACACACAGCTACACACACACACCACACACACACAGCTACACACACACACCACACACACACAGCTACACACACACCACACACAGCTACACACACACGACACACACACACAGCTACACGCACACAGCTACACACACACACAGCTCCACACACACCACACACACAACTCCACACACACAGCTACACACACACACAGCTACACACACAGCTACACACACAGCTACACACACACACAGCTACACACACACACACAGCTACACACACAGTTACACACACAACTACACACACACACAGCTACACACAGCTACACACACACCACACACACACAGCTCCACACACACACACACACCACACACAGCTATACACACACCACACACACACAGCTCCCACACACACCACACACAGCTCCACACACACAGCTACACACAGCTACACACACACCACACACACACAGCTACACACACACCACACACACACAGCTCCACACACACCACACACACAGCTACACACAGCTAGACACACACCACACACACACACAGCTACACACATACCACACACACAGCTTCACACACACAACTACACACAGCTCCACACACACACACAGCTACACACACACCACACACACAGCTCCACACACACACAGATACACACACACCACACACACACACACAGCTCTACACACACACAGCTACACACACACACACACAGCTCCACACACACAGCTACACACACACAGCTACACACACACAGCTCCACACACACACACACAGCTCCACACACACAGCTACAAACACACCACACACACACAGCTCCACACACACACAGCTACACACACACAGCTCCACACACACAGCTACACACACACACAGCTACACACACACAGCTCCACACACACACACAGCTACACACACACAGCTCCACACACACACACACAGCTACACACACACACAGCTCCACACACACCACACACACACAGCTACACACACACACACACAGCTCCACGCACCACACACACACAGCTCCACGCACGACACACACACACAACTCCACGCACGACACACACACACAGCTCCACACACACCACGCACACAGCTCCACACACACACACACAGCTCCACGCACCACATACACACACAGCTCCACGCACCACACACACACAGCTCCACGCACGACACACACACAGCCCCACGCACCACACACACACACAGCTCGACACACGACACACACACACAGCTCCACGCACGACACACACACAGCTCCACGCACGACACACACACAGCTCCACGTACGACACACACACAGCTCCACGCACGACACACACACAGCTCCACGCACGACACACACACAGCTCCACGCACGACACACACACAGCTCCACGCACGACACACACACAGCTCCACACACACACACCACACACAGCTATACACACACCACACACACACAGCTCCCACACACACCACACACAGCTCCACACACACAGCTACACACAGCTACACACACACCACACACACACAGCTACACACACACCACACACACACAGCTCCACACACACCACACACACAGCTCCACACACACAGCTACACACAGCTAGACACACACCACACACACACACAGCTACACACATACCACACACACAGCTTCACACACACAACTACACACAGCTCCACACACACACACAGCTACACACACACCACACACACAGCTCCACACACACACAG